GATGCTGTAGTGACATGGAGAGAAATTACTGGAGATCTACCAGGAGAAAAGCTGACGCTTTTTACAAAGAAACATAAATGTCAGCATGTTTCTCTGAGCAGCTTACAGTACAACGTGGCAGCCAGCTATCAAGCAGCTGCTCTGGGGAAAACACCAGAGCGCAGCTCTTTTGCATACTTTAAAAAATAGTTTAAAAGCAATGCAAAGGCCTTTTGAAGCTTGGACATCCCACCTACCTTGTGTTTCTCTTACTTTTCAGACTGTTAATTTATGTTTTGTTGAATACTTCTGTTTTGTGTCACGGCACTTTGTTGGTGCATGAGCACAGGGGAGCAAAGTGAACTAAGCAGCAATGTGTAGGCATATACTTTGTGGATTATGCACAACCCTGACAAATAACTGACAAATAATCTGACTTCCAAAACCAGAACAAATACACTTGAAAACATAAAAGTAAATATTTATTGAATTATTTTCCCATACATGTTTGAAATATTGCAGCGTCCAGGGTATTTATTGATCTGGTAAGTATAAATCTCCTGGGTGAGTCTATTTGATCATGGAACAATGTTGTCAGTTTGCCACAGTGCTCTCAGATTACCAATACACCAGATTTACAGATTTGATCCTCTCCACCAGTCTTTCCATAGCTTGGACAAATATTTCTTTGGAGTTGCTCGGGAAAACCTGTAATTGCTCTGAAACACCCCTTAGCAATCATCCAATCACTTTATTCTCCAAATACCAGCTCAATGAAAGGACTTTCATGTCAGAAGGCACTGTATATAGAAATTCCAGTAACAAAAATACTGTCTTGAAAATCATAACAAATTCAAAGTGAACTTTTCTTTGGTTTTACCTAGTGGTTAGTCCCCAAAATGTGCTAGCAGGCTGACTAGTCATGCAAGTGAAATAGGCTATAGGGTCTATTAAAAATGACTGGTGTTGGGTAATTTCTGTACACAGAACGGATTCTCCATAAATTGTGTACATACTAAGTGACAGGGGAATGTACTCCAAGAATTTAGAGAAATCCAGTTTACAACTTCCCGTTTGTAGGACTTAGAAGTTAAAGCAGCATTTCGGACATTTCCATGCTGTATGCACAGGAGAAAGTTGTAAATGCGAATTCGGAAGAGGCATGGGCTCTGTACTGTGACCAGGGGAAGGAAATAGATGTGCATAATGTGACACTGCAGACAGCCTTGTAATCTTGAGTAATGGGAGTACATGCAGGGAACAAGGGAGGTGTTAGGCAAAACCCTGACAAAATCGGTTGCTTTGTCTTGCTATGTGGTCTTGCCAGCTGAAGATAAATGGTTTCATGGACACATTGATGCGTTTAGTCCAGTAAGATGCTGTAATGCAGTTGGAACAGGTAAATGATCAATATTTTCACTTTTCACTCCCAAGACCAAAGAATAGTATCAAACAGGTGTGGAAATCGATCATCCTTCACCTATCTGCCACCAGCTCCTGTCAGAATGAAAGGTTGTCTAAAACAAGAAGTCCTTCTTAGTGAGACGGGATATGTAGAATCAGGACAAAATATTTAATACATGTCACAGGTACTTGACCAAGTGCTAACTGTTTTGCTGAGTGCTTCAGGAGCCACTTCTGGTGGTAATTAAAATGATATTTGAGACAGTCCACTCAAATGCTGCTTCTGATCTGGGGCTTGGAGCCCCAGGAATGCAGCGTGGCGATAGCCTCTGCTTTCCTTTGTGCTGTCTGTTGGATCTATGGAGGATAATGAAAAGTAACGTGGCAAGTTTTTTTGGTAGCTGCTGGTGTGTATTTTCAGAAAAAAATGCGAAGGCTCCCAGCTGAGACTCTCTTTAGGAATTTGAACACTCTGGAGAACTGAGCTGATGAAACAGTTGTTCGTCATTCCAACGCCTGTACCTCTCTTTATTTCTAGTAATAGTTACACATAAGCTGTGCTAGGCTTGCTTTTTGTTTTCTCCTCACTCTGAGTATTTACCAACTTCTGAACTTGAAGGATATTGAAGCAAGATCTTTACGCTAATGAAATAGCTCACTAATTATGCTGTCACAGGCTTTAGATACTATTTGCACAAATATACCATACTCTGATGACTAGAAAGCTTTGTCACCTGCCCTTCAGCAATAAATAAATAAGTAAAAAAAAAGTCATGAAGTCATTAGTGCATAAGCATGGCTACCATAGCAGATCAATAAATGATCTGTTTGGGTCACTGGATATCCATCACCAACACGCGTGTAACTGCACAGGCTCCGGCGTTTGCTGGCAGCTGCTGAGCAGGGCAGCGCCTTTCCCCCTGTGCTGATTAGCAGATGCACATTCTCGGCTCTCTCCCCTAATTGTAGCAACAGTGCTGCAATTTTCTTCTGACATATTTTTCCTAAACAGGTCATTATAGGTGACTGGGCATCTCACACATACCGGCAGGTCTTAATGCAATTGCTAGGAAAAATTCCTTAACAGTGAAGTGTTTCTCGCTTCAATACTAGTGCCTTTAAAAGTGAAGCAAACTCATGAACTAGTAAAGTGGAAAGATGGCCAGTTTGAGAAAGTCGCTCAGCAGTGACTCAAGATGGATATTAACCTCTGCTGGTGTTCTCTCTTCTTTCCCATCCCAGGCCCTGATCTCTCTCTTGCTGCTGCAATTAGCAGTGATAGACTCTGTCGTGAGTAGGCTTGCAGAAAGAGCTGCTCATGGAGAAAAGGCTGAAGGACTAAGGCCTTTGTGGACGGGTGTATGGCAGCTAGCTCGTGTGTGTCAGCGATGTGAGACTTACAGCCTGCTTCAGAGGTAGACTGAACACTGCAAGCTGAATGCAGTGTGTTGGATGAAAATTTAGGTAGGGGTCTTATTATGTATCACAGGTCCACAGAATGCAGCGTTATGCGCAGTCTGCGTTCTGTGTCAAGTAGCTGATGCTAATTCAAGCCTTCCCTGTAAAACCAAGAGTCTGATTCAGATTTTTGGCCAAAAATGGGTCAAACTGCCTTGCTTTAGACATTTTTTTTTTTTTTTTAGTAGAGCAACACACAGCATTTTAGCTTCCCCAATTGAAAGAAAAACAATACCTGTGACAGTATTTGATCGCTTCTGACAATCCCACAGACTGTAGGTTGGCTGGGTGTGCTGCTGGTGTCGGGTCCAGGCTGTGGGCTGCACCTGCGGCTGGTCCAAGGTGCCAGGGGTGGCTGATGCTTGACCACCGGGCTGTGCGGCCCTTTGGCTTGCAGCTGAGGAGTTCTCTGCTTTCCTGATTATTCTGTTATTTAAATATTACAATAAATGCACGTGAAAGGGAAATGATTTGCTGTGACAGTTCTTATTCACTGGTTCTTCCTAGCAGCTAGTGCAAGGTTTACAGTAAATCTAGGAAATACTGATGTCTATTGGCATGCCAGTGGGCGTAAGACCAGAAATCACTTGAAACGATTTCTTTTGGTACAAACAAGCAGGAATGGCAATATCTCACTCTTAGTTGAGTTCTGACGTGTTTGAGTTTGGCAGATGAGGGAGGACGGAGCAGACTCGGAGCTTTGGTTTCTGCATCTCCCTGTGGGAAATGTTCTGTGGCTGAGCTGGCACGGGCTGGGAAGGAAGCATGGCAAATGGTTCAAATGAAAAGCAATTTTTTTTCCTTTTTTAAGCATCTGCCGCAATACATAAGACCACACTGTGATGAAACACATCAGGCAGCTGTGGTAAAAGATGCTGCTTTAGTCCTTTTTGTGTTGGAGGAGTGGCAAGAGTAAAATTCCAATGCGAATCTTTCTCAAGGACATAAAGGATTAATATGCTTTAAAGTGGACACCATTAACTTAGAAATAGATTTTCCGGGTTTGAGTATGATGAATATTGCAGTGGAAAGATTGCAAATAATGGTGTTTTTCTTTTCCAGCTTGTTTCTGAATTTTGAGATAACCTGTTTACAAGACAGTTACATCTTGCAGAGTCTGGAGAGCTGCTGTGGTCTTACGTGCTGCCAAGTAGCCGTGCATGCTTCCATTTTGCAGGGTTATTTTAAGTTCTGGTGGTTGCATGGCATCACAAACAGTCTTTGCTGGTTGCAGGAGGCAACCTGGAGGCGGGCAGCAAGCCCCCAGGCTGGCAGCAGCTGCCCCGGGTAGGACACTGCCTTCAGGAGGGGCAGCTGGAGCCAGGGCCACATCCTGTTTCTGACACCTTCAGGGGACAAGCATCTTTGCAATTTGTCCCTTTATTTTTCTGAGTCCCCAGCATGTTTGGTTTGGTTTTAAATGGAGTAGATTGTGTTCTGCCAGCTTGGTTAGTAACTCGGATACTTGCTGCTGGGGGCCCGCTGCAAAGCCAGGCAAGGACAGAGCTGCCAGCTCTGTGCACCGCGCACCCTCCCTCTGATGGCACTGACGCTGCTGCAGGAGTGGAGTGAGCGTGGCACGTCCTAACCCCTGTACGCCTGCTTATTTATTTATGCATTCCGATCCATAATAGCATAATAACACACTTGAAACAATGCGATAATTATTTCACTTCTTGGGTGGTTAAAATTAACTGTGCTCATTGCATATTTATTCTGTAAAAAGACACAAGATGTTTAGTAATTGCCCAGAAATTCATTATCTGGATAATGTTCTGTTTCTAAATGTGTATTGCATGACCATTAATCTGTGCCAACAGCAAGCACGCAGCAATATCTGATGTAATTAGTTTTTCCTGTACATGCCAGAGAGAACATCTGGGCTAATTGTGTGTTGTTGACAAAAGTTGCTATTCTGATGGGGGTCCCTGTTTGTTTGCACATACAATGAGCGTGTGTGCACATACTCGTGATTTCGGATTATCCTCAAGCAAGCTGATAGCTCCTCCTGATGAGATGCTCTTGTTGGCTTGTTACGGGGGTCATGCTCACAGTGTCTGTGGGCAGCTTTAGTAAGTATTAGGAGAAATAATATATTCTCCTTTCAAACAGAAAACAAACAAACTGGTAATACTGTTTCTTCTCCTTTGTTTTACCAGCCTCCACTGGTCCAAGCGATTTTCAGTGGTGATCCAGAAGAGATTCGGATGTTGATCTACAAGACCGAGGATGTCAACGCCTTGGTATGTAGCTTGGCATATGTTTGTGCCTGGGACATGCAAGTGCCATGCCTATGAACTCCTGCAATGCTAATATTAATCATGTCCTTAGCAATTAACACATAACAGAATAGAAAATATTTGGAAGTTGGAGATTCAGGGCTTGAATGTAATCCTAATTATTAGTCTGAAATATAATTATCTCCAGCAGGTGGTTTTAAATTTTCTAAATATATGGTAATTATTCCAAATGTGCAGGTTACTCAGGGACACTGTTTTCTTGTGTACTGAGAAAATGAATGAGAACAGCTGAAAGCTGCATATTTTTACTCTCTGTAGAGTTTCCTTTTTTGAAGAGCCTCTACAGAACAGGAGCTTTTATTCAGCATCTGACTATGCTTGAAATAAAGTTTCACTATAGGTCTCTGCAGTGAGAGTAAGGAAGCAGCATTTTGGCCATGATTTGCCCACAGAGGAATTGTCATTCTTCAAATTGGCTTGTTCTAGACAGAATGATGGTAAGCAGCTGCAAACATGTAGTAGCTAATTGTTTTAACAGTGAAAAAACTCTCCACTTGAACTTGGTCTTTTGCAGATTTTTTTTTTTGTTTTTCCTTTTTGTTTTTTTGTTTGATTTTAGCTTAAATCTGTACTGTTAGAAATGAACCCTGTTAGTCTTGACTGCAGTCTATGGCTTTTGGAAGTGGTGAGAATATCAAGCAGAACCAGAATGGTGGTTTCCAGGTGCTTCCTGGTGTTTTGAATCAACCTTCCTTTTCTTCAGGTCTTTCTCTGCCATAAAGCTGTTGGTTTATTCATAGCTAATTCCAGCCAGTTTAGCCTCGTGTAGCCTTCGCACTGCAGCTTGTGCAGGCAGTGGTGTCCAGACATCTGGTTCAGAGATGTGGATGGGCACAGAAGTGAGCCCACTGAGGTCTCTGTCAAGTGGAAGGAATGATTTGCTGCTGGTTTTCATGGGGAATCTGTTCAGAGAAAGACGACCTTGACATTACCTGTTCCCTGTGATTCATTTCCTGGGTGTTTTCTTGAAGTAACTTCTCAGAACTGCTTGTTTAAAGCATCACCTACCTTGATTTTCCCCTGTATTTCTTTTCCCTGATGGTCTTACAAATAATATAAAATATAAGTATTAAAAAAATCTAGATGAATATGATAGTCCTACTTTTTCCTCTGCGTTTTGTGTTAGGTTTTCAAAATAGCATTTCCTGTACTGGGCTATTGTAGGCTTCTTAAATGTTTTTCTATCCTTTGGCTGCAAGTGTGCTAGTGATCGTTGCCTGGGAGATGCTCTCATCTGTCAGGGTGCAATGTTAAATGAGGAATATGTATTTTATAGCTGAGTAGCATAGTACGTAACAGAAAAAATAACTGAACTTGAACAGTTTTGCTCAGAATCACGTTTAAGTTAAGAAAAGTCCACCCAAGAATGCTTTGGCTGAACAGCTATTTTGTCAGAAGCGAAAAAGCAAACCGTTCTTTGGAGTAATTAGGAAAATACTGGGCAACACAAACTCTGAAGATTGGGTTTTTAATAGCGATTGCAGAAAAGTGTGAAATGCTGGAACTGTCATTAAAGAAAGATCAAATGATAGCTTGTTCCTTCCTCCTGTGCTGTCAGCTGGCAATTTGCACTGCGTGCTTACATTTCTATTTTCAGGGCGTTTTTAATTACTTCCATGTTAGTGTTTCTCTAGTGCTTGGGTGTTCATGTGAGAGGAAACTCTGACACTGTTTGGCAGTGATTAGTCCTTTGCTGATCGTTTTGGTTAGCCGTGTCGGTATTGAAATAGTTCGAATGCAAGTAGGAGAGGGAAATAAAATAACCTCCTTTTTTTGCAGCAAGCTTTGAGGATTTCTGAAGTTTTATAGATGGTATTTTGGAATCTACAGTGAGAGAGGTATGAGGCAGGCAGAAGTAAAAGGCCATGGAGAAACTGTTGAACATTGGTGAGATGTGCACATCTGTCCTAAGAGACAATTAACCTCAGAGGAAAGACTTTAGAGCAAATCGGGGGTTTAGAAGATTACCCTTTTTTTTTTTTTAAGAAGATTACCCTTTTTTTGGTCTGGCCAAATAAATCAAATCTTTCCAAGTCCGGAAGCGTATGTTTATGAAAACGGCTGCTTTCTGGATGCTGCTATAATTGTGACTTCTGTCTTGCCACAAAGTGCAAGTTGCAACCGTTTGGCTCAGAAGCTGTTTCCAGTTCATTCTGCCACTGCAGCAGTCGCTTTGACCTCCCTGGTTCCCTGCTCTGCCTGGGGGAGCGTGATGCTACTTGTGCAGAGCACCGCGTGGGCAGCCTTAAGCTTGGCTGGCAGTGAGCGACCCCCTGCTGCTGACCCCCTGGCTCCAGGGAAATACCAGGGGGAATTTTGGGGAGTGCTTTTTTTTCACTGTGGGAGGAGGAGGAGGGAACGATGCAGAGCCTTGAGTTCATCTAGGGATTATTCTGTGTCTACTGGTAAGATTGATAGTGCCTGTAGCTGTGCAGCACCCTTTATGTGCAGAGTTCTGACTTCCTACTAAACTTTTCCCTTTCTGTAAGATGTTAATTTTCATCTCAATCTATCAATTTCCCTTCAAAAACAAAGTCAAACAAAAAAGGCAAAAAATCTTTCCCATATTTTTACCCATAACTGATGAGATGTTTGCAAGCCAAACCAGATGCTTCTTTCTCTCTGTTTTTCCTCTTTATCACCTAGGCCTGTTTTTCTTCTGGGATAAAACCCTAAAAAACAAAGTTTATGCACAATTTTGGTTTCCCCAGAATGATTCCTGTTGCATTCATATTTCTGGGAAAGTAAATAATACCTCCCTGCCCCCACGCTGAGGCTGTTGCAGGCCACGTCCACTTTCCCTTTGTTTAATTGCTTCTGTTTCTGGTCATGGGCATGGGTGCTGGTACTGCCTCCTGGGCTTGCTCCATGCTCGCTGCCCTGCCAGCTGGAGAAGCTGTTTGTCCATGTCAAGCGCTTCTCAGACAAATGCTCCCTCACCCGCTTGGGTCAAAACGAGATAGGTTAGGAGGATGTAACGGATTAGCTGAATTTGGCTCGTTTTCATTCATCAGAGCTGCAGAGCCAGCAGATGCAGGCGGGCTGAAGCGACTGGTGCTGGGCCAGGCTGGAGCCGTGTCGAGGTGTAAAGGTGCTTGGCATCGCCTGCCCGCTTCCAGCTGCGGAGCAGGGCCACAGGGGGCACCAGCAGAGGCTACAGGGCCCTACCCAAGGGGCACGCATTTAGAGGGAGCTTTGTTACTGATAAGGAAGGCAAGAAAGAGGCCCTTACGAAGAGGTCTGGATGGCTGCAGTTTATTACTTCTTTTTCTCATCCTACTTTTGCAATTTTGCTAAGCATGCTTTTTGGGATGGTGAGAGTGCTTGAGGGTGCAAGTGTGCACACGTTTCAGATTCTGAGCCCGAAAGGCCTCGCGTGCTTTGGATAGCTGATGTGGAAAACAGCTTGTCGGTTGGTTTGGAGTGACATGCTTGACTTGGGACAAAGGGAGAAAGCCATGTGGTATTTCAGTCATCTTGGGAACCAGATGCTCATCTCTGCTCACGTCCAAGGAATGCTGATTTTCTTTTTGGCACTGTGGAGTCTCCCAGGAGATAAAGCTATTTTGGAAGTAAGTGATCTTCTTCTGGAAGTGCTTCTGCCATGTTAGAAAGCCTTCTGAAGGAGTGAATGTATTCCAGAACTTCGGAAAGCCTCTGCGTTAACACAGTGTGACAGTTCAGTACAAGCTCTTAAATTAAGTGGGAAACACTGGAGAATTTTCTTGTTTTCTACAGAAGGAAATTTTGAACAACTTTCAGGAATTTAAGGACATTGAATACTGAATCTGTATTGGCATTTGTGATGCAAGAGAATCAGCATGATTTTTATTTACAATAAATACTCTTCTTTAAAAAATATAGCTAGAATTCGTGGTATTTTACAAAATAACATTAGACTTGCAAAGAAGACTCTGCTGGATTTTGATCCATTACCTGCTTTGAGATACAGGCTGTGCTGAGGAGAAACTTGGCCTGTTTCTTAATGTGCCCAAATGCTTTGTGTATGCTGGTGTGATTCATGTGAGCCACTGTTCTGCTAATCTTCATGTGTGCTGGGGCTCTGATCCAATAAAGCACTTAAGGGGTTGCCTAATGTTGAGCCTTATCAGTGTCACTGTGATTGCTTCAACAGTTGAAGCATGTGTTGAGTGCTTTTCTTGTTGAGGCCTTCTGTCCTTGATTGCCTATTTGTTAAATTCTTAATTTCCTTTCTTTGTAGTTTAAAAAATAAAGAAGTACAGCTAACGTTATCATGCAGCATCATCTTCTCTGTGAACTAGTGAAGCCCCTAATACAGTTTTGGGAAGAGAGTCTGTATCTCAACTTAGAATAATTTATTTTAGCTATTGTTTAGCTTATCTGCTGTCTCTTACGGACCTTTTGTTCTGCACTTGAAGCAGGTCTGATTATTTGTCTTAGTGCTATTTGTAACCATTTTATTCTTTCCCCCTCACCCCTTTCCTTGCCTTATGATGGATTGTCAGCTTTGGGGGGTACCGGCAGACCCCTCGCTGAAACATCAAACTTCCTTTTTATTCCCTTCTCTGTAACCGTCAGTCTTTACATCAGTATTAGCTACTTATTTCTGGTGCTCCTTTTACTGCTGTCACGTCAGAATGGCAGCTGTGGTTGGACATCCCATAGCGCCTGGAGCAGATGCAGCGCCGGTGAGCTCTTTAGACCGTGCTGAAGTGGTTGGTGGCTCTCAGGAGGATGCCAGGAGCGTGGTTTGACAGGCAGGCAGGTGCCCTGGTTCCTCTGTGTTTCTTTCAGCCTTGTGCAGAACATAAACAGGAACTCGAGAGTTTTCCCCTGCTGAGTTGCTCAAGGCTCAGCTGCAGGCGTCATGTTGGCACTTCTCCCTGCTAAAGTCCAGAAAATGCTGCCTGGGGGGCCCTCATGTTTGTTGCTCATTTTTCCACACCATGCATTGTTTCTTTTTTTTTTTTTTTGTCTTCTGATAGTTCACATGAGGATGAATTCTGCTTTGTGCCTGGCTCTGATAATTGGAGAAATTTTAGCTTTATGCCCAAAACTTGGAGAAATTAAGCTTAAATGCAGTTGCATGATGAAAACCTCTCTTTCTCTGAAGACCTGATTCTCATTTTCTTTGACATAATTTTGCATTGATTTTAAAAAGTGAAAGCTGAGATTATTTACAGGTAGATACTGCTTTGGTAGTGGAAACATTCGTTCTTTTGTTGTTACATGTTTGCTACATGAAAGCATTTCTGTTTCAACGTCCTTTCCTCTCTGGATTATCAAATATCTGTTAGATTTACAATTTAGTATAAAATATTGCTTATTATCAATAAAGCACTGCATAGCCTAGCTTTTTTTGATATAGAAAATCGTTGGTTTTGTGCTGCTAACATTCAACTTCAAACTGTTCAGCTCTGTTGCATATCCTGGCTGGGTTGCAAGAAGCTGCTGTAAATTTTTTCACTGACAGGTACAATAGCTATTACAAAGGTTACACTGTGCTATGAGAGATCTGTGCATTAAAATCAACAAGCTAAAAATAAATAAAACCAATTCTATACTTGTACAAGTGTTTGGTTATTTTTAGCATGTTTTGTGTAGTGGATAGCCTTAGGATAGGTGATAAGAAGCAGTATTTATGAGAGTTTATTAAAGTTATCTCAGTGTGTACTCACGCAGCCCTTAAGAGCTAGTCCTTGGTGGATCGCAGCACAGCAGAGGTCAGCGAGCAAGCAGTGCACAGCCAGATTGGTGAAGGTGGGGCTGTAGTTCTTGTTGTCATAATGTGGACATACAAGAAAATCCAATTTGTTATTTCAGTTTCTGGGAGGTCACTCATTGGATGTGGAGCTCTTTTGGGAGTTTGGTCCTATAGAGCATCCACTGCTTCTGATTGTGAAACAGAAAAGGGAGGGTTGCTTCATATTGTTTTAATTTACCTGCCACGTGGGGAGGTGAGGTTCTGAGAGAGATCTTTTCCCCGACCTGTGACAACCAGGGCATCCACGTAATTGGTCTGCAGCATGTCACGTGCATGCCTAACATGCAAGATCAAAATGTACTGCAACAGGATTTGAGGACTGTGTACATCATGTGTGTTTGAAAACAAAACAACAAAACAAGACACCAAGCATATACGTACAAGAAGCAAACATAGTAATAAACAACAATGGCTCTGTGCCCCGCACTTGATGGAAAACAATTTTCAGCATTCACATGACAAATGACTCTGCCACACTGATTTGTTCACATTTATAGCATACTTTGAAGATGGTCCAAAATAGCTTGCGGCTGATTGACCTCTTGGGCATGTTAAAAGAGATATTTTACTTGACAGGCTCAGAGAGATGTTTCAGGGAGAAAGCATAAATACCAGTAGGATTTTTCTGCTGGTATCACTCACAGTTGTTGAATTTGTTACTGGTTTACAGTATCAAATTATGGTAGGTTGTAATTTAATAAGTTTGATTGGTAAGTCTCTTAGAACTTTATGTATTGGTGATTAAAAAACGTGGCTATAATGTGATGCATGGTATTAGCCGTGCTTGTGATTTGTTTCCCATATTGTCATGTTTATTTATTTATTTATTTTTTTTAAAGCCCTATGTTCTGGAGTCATCTGAATAAATCAGTATTTTTTATTTTTTATTTTTTTAATAAACACTGTATTTATATCATACGAAATTAGGAAAGTCAGTCTTGAAAATGTGACTCCCTAAGCCTGAAAATGACAGAAATCAAATAAGAAATATCTGTGTTTTGGAAATTGTATGCATGATAAGGTATAGTTCTTAGAAGTTTAAGGATGCAGACCTGGCTGTTAATCTTTTCTTTACTTGTGTTTAAAGGTTGATCTATGTGTACAAGTCCATTTTGGGCTGTTCTAACCAACCAGACTAAGTGGTGTGCAGTAACCTTTCTGAAATATGTTGCTGCAATTTTTAGCGGCAAATCTTTCCGAAAGAGACACAAGGGTTATGTTTTTCCTCATCTACAGATATGTTCTGGCTTTGCAGAAGGAGCACTGTGATGTGATAGAGATTTGATTTAGATTTGATTCGATTTTATCTACCTGTAGGAAGGATATCAAAGTAAATATTTCTCTGCAAGGTGTGGTGGAACCCAGTGATAAGAAAGGTGAGGATTATTGGGAGAAAGTGTGTTAGCAAGACCTTGAATTTTGTTCTTTTGCTAGTTGAGACTGTATTTCTAATGATAAATGGAAATACTGGGGAAAAAAAAAAAAAGCATTACTCATTAATAGTAATGCTTAATACTAATGCTTGCAATTATCAGCCATGTTTTCTAACTGGACCATCTGTGGTTTTGCAGGATGCTGAGAAGCGAACTCCTCTTCATGTTGCATCATTCCTTGGGGATGCAGACATCATTGAGCTTCTCATTTTGTCGGGTAAGTAAGCCTCCCTTACTGTTGTTACTGGGTAAATTAGCTAATTTTAATACGACAAGAAATAGCCAGTAAAGCATGTGGGAGTGAGCTTTGTGTAGTACATATTGCTGAGTTCCACAGAGATGGTTGCAGTTGTTTACAAACTTACAAAATGTATTTAAATGTGGTGGTACAACTATAAAAGGTGTAGCAACTAAGGGAAATTAACAAACAAAGCAACTAGTTTTTAAAAACTCTGAAAGCATTCAAACTGATAATATTTGTGTATCCAGAAACATGCTGAAGTACGTGTTTGAAATGTGGGCTCAAGTCCTGGAGCACAAGCCAAGAATTTTTGTTAGGCAAAAATGATTATAGAATAATAGTAGAAAGTTCTGAATGAGTTTGAATAAATAGTAAGTGGTATTTACATTAGAAACATGCTTCTAAAAGTCAGGAAGTTGATTTGGAGAACAGAAACTTTGCAGCAGGATGTATCTACACAACAACTTGGAAATCAGTGAGAGAACAGTTATCTTTTCCAACAGATTGATACTAATGGGTAGGTTTTTGAAAGGCATGAATATTTTGTGTGTAGTCCCTGAAGAAAAGAGAAACTTGTCAAAAAAAAGCTTCTCACAGAATCACAGAATTTCTAGGTTGGAAGAGACCTCAAGATCATTGAGTCCAACCTCTAACCTAACACTAACAGTCCCCACTAAACCATATCCCTAAGCTCTACATCTAAACGTCTTTTGAAGACTTCCAGGGATGGTGACTCCACCACCTCCCTGGGCAGCCCGTTCCAGTGCCTCACAACCCTTTCAGTAAAGAAGCTCTTCCTAACATCTAACCTAAAACTCCCCTGGCGCAACTTTAGCCCATTCCCCCTCGTCCTGTCACCAGGCACGTGGGAGAACAGGCCAACCCCCACCTCGCTACAGCCTCCTTTAAGGTATCTGTAGAGAGCGATAAGGTCGCCCCTGAGCCTCCTCTTCTCCAGGCTGAACAAGCCCAGCTCCCTCAGCCGCTCCTCGTAGGACTTGTTCTCCGGGCCCCTCACCAGCTTCGTCGCCCTTCTTTGGACCCGCTCAAGCACCTCGATGTCCTTCTTGTAGCGAGGGGCCCAAAACTGAACACAGTACTCGAGGTGCGGCCTCACCAGAGCCGAGTACAGGGGGACGATCACTTCCCTAGCCCTGCTGGTCACACTGTTTCTGATACAAGCCAGGATGCTGTTGGCCTTCTTGGCCACCTGAGCACACTGCTGGCTCATATTCAGCCGACTGTCCACCATAAGGACATGTTCTCTAAGCAACAATATGTTCTTAGGAGAGACAGGTATGTGTGTGTGTATGCATTTGTGTATATATATAATATATATATGCACAGGATATTTTGTATGTGTATATTCTCTTAAGATACTTTGCTCAAAACCAAAGTATATTAAACGTTATCTCTAACTGCTTAGGTCCTCCCTTAAAAGCATCCCCTTGTTAGGGTATTGCCAAAAAACTCGGCTTGTATGTTGTCATATAATGTTTTGGAATGACAAGTCATGAACAAAAGTAATCTATTCATATCTCTGTGTGTGGAGTCTGATAGATGTTTGGCTATAGGGGCTCAAAATACCTCTTTTTTATTTATTTTCTTATTTTGTGTGTGTGTGTGTGGCATAAAGACTGAAATACAATCTTAACAGTGCACTAAAAGTCAAGAACACCCCTATTTTAATCTCATGCTGACACTGCTAATTTAATTTGCTCTAGATCTTTTTTTTCCAGCTTGTTATAGGAATGTAATGCTAACCTACCTTTCCAGGAGCACTGTGAAAAATAATCATAAATATTTCCAAACACTTTCAGTGACACACACGTGCGCATGCACACACACACACAAGTCAAAACAAAGCATAAAGGAGATTTCTCTTGATTTCTCTCAAGAAGTACCCTTAATTCATGGTAAACTTGCTTGCAGATTTCAAAGGCAATGTTTTCCTAAACTGGGGAACTGTAAGGATAAAGTTTATGTTGGTTTAAGGGTGTTGGATTGAAAAGAACCTTATGGTACACATGTCTAACTCCTTGCAAGCAACCTTACTGTATGATTCTTGCTGTGTGATGCTGTAATTTGTGGTTTTACAAATGATTAGACTGCCTCTTCAGATGACTTGCATATTCTTTTTAGAAAGTTATTTAAGAAATACCAATCCTGTGATTTTTAGATACCACCTAATTTCCTTGAATCCGAGAGTAATTCTGGGTGGAAGGGATTTCTGAAGGTTACTTGATATAGCTTGTAAAATGAGGTTTGTAGCCCAGAACAAATAGTTCTGTGATCCATGAACTGGAAGAAAACAAGCTTTCTGCAGATTTGTACCCTACATTTTCTGTTGTCCAGCAGGGTAAAAATGCCAACTGAAGCTTTCCCATGGTTGAGGTATTCAAAGCCTTTGACTTTCCTAGGTGCTCTGGTATCTAGCATGGGTTGCACTACTGATTCAGTCTTTTCTCTGAAGTTCTCATGGTACATGTAGTAGATTAACACTAGCTGTGTGTATGTCCAAGGGCCTAAGACTGAAAAGACCAAGCTTTTTTTCTCGGCAGTAACATCATAGACAACGCAGCTGTATACGTGGCAGTGCCTTGTGCCCGCAGTCCCACTCCATCTGCAGGTTCTGCTGCTTCCTGGTCTTCAGCTTTGCTGCTCACCTCACCTCCGCTCTCTGCCTGTATTGCTTTTGTTTTGTATAGCCCTTCTTGTCTCCTTGTTGAAAAATGCAATGGTGCTTAAAAGAGAATGATGGAGGAACAGATATTCTAATGGGTGCATGCAGACAGTACAAATATGTTCTTCTGGATTACCAGCCTAGCTTCAAAAGGAGAAGCCAGAAAAAAAAAAGGAGAATTCAGTTTACTATACCTGTGTGTTTTCTCTGAATGTTTTTTGGACTGTTTCAAGTGTTCTAATTGTTTAATGAGTATAGTTTGACATCGTGCATCAGATCCTTCCGCTCTAACCCTGATGGCAGCAAAATGATTTAGATGAACATTCTTCTGCTGATGGGTTGTGCTTGGATGTTTTTTCAACGTGTTCGATGCAAACAGATTTTTATTCACTAGGAGATAAGAGTTAATAAACTTAATCTGCGCGTGTGTTCTTGCAGTGTATGTTGTTTGTAACATACTGGTATTCCATTGCTGCCTGCCTTTTTTTCAAGTTTTTCAAGTAGCAGCACAGGCAATAATAGCCACCTAAAGTGAAAAGCGAAGCAGTTCTGCCCATTTTTCCTTTGAATCCCAATGGCATTACACAACATCCTGATGAAGGCAGGGTACATTCTGCATCTTGTTTTCCATTGTGTTCCTAATGAGGAAAAGGGACTTCATCGTGTTCTTTTAGACACTTTGTTCCAGCACCTCTCTGCCAAAATGTTATACACAGGCTCTAGGGTTTCTCTGGTCACAACACAAATGTAGGTGATATATCTTGCCTTTTTATGATTAAGTGAATGGAGAAAAACTCATAATGTGGGCTTTTAATAATTCTATTTTGTGTCAGTGAGGCAGCGCTGGAGTTCAATCTGAAGGAACTGTGTGGGGGTCATTCCCAACTAACTCAGCATGTGTCAAAATTAATCTTGTGTTGTATGTTCTACCTACTGATTGTCCTGTAATATCTGAACTATCATTACTTGTGGTACACAGCAGTACTTGCATCCAAGAGAAGGTTTGGAGGTTTGTGAGGCTTGGAGGAGCAGGTTTGTGAGTTATTATAAACACCTTGTTGTTACTGGAATCTGGCAGTGAACTAGGCTCTGAAGAGAACAGCAGCATCTTCCTTTTGTTTCACCTCTTCATTTGGAAAACAGTGTTTCATAAAAGATTAATCTGTTCATAAAATTAAGTTACATAAGAAGAAAAGCTTTGTTGTTGGACAAAAAATAAGAAGGTGTTTTCATGGAGAGGAAGCACAAAAATGCTCGCTGTAAGGCTCAAACAATAATATTCGCAGCCTGAGTAGAAGCTGAGAGAGCTAGCAACCCATTGCATTTTGTATAGGGCTCAGGAGAGAAATTAAATGAAACATGCACATCTAAGATTTGTGGCCCATGAACCAGTGGCAGCGCAAATAAATGTGGTGTCTAATGAATAAAGCTTCTACCCAGGTGTTTGGACTCATACCAGAAATGGCTTTCTAGCCACTGAAATGGAATCTGTTTGGAATTGATACAGGAGACGCAGTGCCAGGTCCCTCAACTAGCATAAATCATCCCAGCCCATTAAATGTTAGGGTTAGGTGGGTTTACATCAGCTCAAAGGTCTGATCCATAGCCATGTGGTTCAAACTGGAGACGTGCTGTGAGGTTTTTCTAGGCTATATGAAAGCTGGCTATACGGAACTTTGAGATCTTTCACTTCCTCCCTGTCAAGAAGGAGAAGGAGCAGAGTAACTGCCTCACGTACGTGAAGCTCCTTATGATGACACATTCATGGATGTGTCAGAACTGTCCGGATAAATCCAAGCTCCATTATCATGCGTGCCTGTACCTCTCCCCCTCTTGGGCTTTGAGCTGGTGCTGAGGGCATAATGTTTGAGCTCAGTTCCCTACAACTTGTTCTCCCCCTCCCACACGAACTTGTGATCTGGGCAATGTTATCATGCCTCACTTTGTCAGGAGGCTCTGAGCTTCTTGGCAAGATGTTTATGCACTAGGGATGTGCATGCAATGTTGACAGCCATCTCCAATAAATTGCACGGTAGACGAGGAGAAGGACAAACCCCAGCATGCTTTGGAAAGGTTCCTGCTAAGCCCTGGCATGCAGATTTGGAAGCGAGACGGTCACACACTTGGCAGGTTCTGGGCCATCCTTAGCAGGGGGAAGGCACTGCCCAATTTGAACTCGCATTCAGGGCTTTTTCTTTTATGGCAGGCTAAAGAGTGAGAGGGTTGGAATGGCAGATTCCAAGTGACTTCGACTTAGCTCTGAGGAGATCTTGTCAAACCTCCTGTTTCTGTCATGTAGGTGTTCCCCGGCTTTTAGGTTCACTTGCTGACATCTAGCTCTACTGTTTTGAGTCCCAATTTCATCTACTCTGTTACATATATTTGTGTGTGTGTGTTGATTTTTGGCTTATATTGTGTATCTTTCTGCATGTGGTGGTGGGTCATTCCTTTTATTTTCACGTGCCTGTTGCTGTGTTTCATAGCAGGGGCTGGAAAGGTGCACATTATTGATGTTTTTAATAGGATAGGGAACAGTCTCCTTCATCTGTTGATCCTTCCTAATTTCAAAGATTTAGACTGCAGAATCTAGATTTATTGGAGACCTGTGGGTTTGGCAAATGTGCTGTATGGAGAATTATAACTCAGCAAGGATAAAGAGATGTTAACTTCCTTCCTGAAAGCCAACATCAGGTTGTTTATTTCTGATCTCAAAAGAACAGAGGCAATTTTAGATTTACTTCCTCTTTTGGCAGAAAAATTTGAGAGTGAAAGATCTCAAAGATTACAGCACAGCCATATTAAAGAAGAGTGGATTACAGAAAGTTTCCTCTCTGTTGATTTTATCTGTGATGTTGTGCGTTAGCACATCTACTTCAGCTTCACAGAACGACTCCAGCAGCCAGGCCTTCCTGTCAGGCCCAGGCCCTACGGGCAGAGGGCTGGGGCTGGGGCTGGGAAAAGTTTCTTATCTGGGCAATGTTTTAAGTGGGGATTTTGTGAGGTCTGTGGCTACTTGGAAGGTGTTAAGGGAAAACTTTAAAGGAGCTTGTCTTCCCAAGGAGGACTGGTACTGTGAAGGCCACCATACTCACTGGTTTCAGTGTTACCAGCTGTAGGCCTCTCACGTGTATAAAAGGGTATTAATTATCCTAACTTTTTAGGCTGCTGTAGGAGTGCATTGAAACATGTTAAAGCGCATGATCCAGGGTAAAGAATTTCTGGGTGACACTGAGGAAGTGTTACGGGATAGACTTGAAAATTTAAGGTTTTGATTCTTGGACACAGGTGATTTTAGGTACGTTAACAATCCGAGCCCTGAGTTTTCAGAGTTGGGTTTCTGTGTTGCTCAGGGCTTTCAAAGAGCTGTCCCCCAGGGTGTCGCAGGGCATTCAAGTCTGTGAAGTGTAGAGGGCGCCTTTGAAAATGTGAGCATTGCTCCCTGGTGGGTGCCTCCTGTTCTGTCCTTTAAAATGGCAGGTATTTTCAGGCCCCGAAGGTGTGCCTTGGTGCTGGTGAAGCTCTTTGATCATCCTTCAGCTGTTGCCTGCAAGATGCCGCTGGAAAACTAAAAGCTGAATGTTGGTGAAGCAAATAGGCAGTAAAGAGGGAAACATTTTGAAGCATCTCTTTGGAAAATGTGTGCCTTAGTACACAGGGAACAGTGGCTTCTGTAATAGGCAGCAGCTGAATTGTGCAGCTCTTTAAAAACATAAATCACAAATGTATTCAGCTGTCACGTTGAATTAGGTATGTAAGAGCAATTTTACTTTGTCATATAAAGAGTCCCAAACCACAAAGAGGTAAGGGAATACAGAAAACTGCTGAAGAAGAAAAGGCTGATAACACGCTGTGGATTATTTTATTTATACTGGTAGTGTTTTGCTTTTGTTGTTTTCCTTAGCTCTGTTCTTGGCAGCTACCTTCTTCAGCTTCTTGAAGGGTGAGTGGATCAGTGAAAGGCATGAATAACTTCTGAAGGAGACACTTCCCTATGTTTTCTAATCATCTTTGTATTCTCTGATGCTCCTGGAGTTGGTGAATACTGAGGAATGACATGACTTTGGTCACACTTTGCTACTCTGTACATAAGCCTTTCTGATTTCCTACCATGTGCTTGTGGGATTTGGTGAATGTCCAGAAATAAGCCAAAAGAAAACTAAAGAAAACTTAGTTAAGAAAACAAGGATTAAAAAAAAAAAAGGCAAGACAAATGCAAAATAAATTTGTAAATGTAAAAAAGAGGCATTTAGTGGCAATCATTAGGAATTCATCCAGGCATTTTGTATCCCTAAAATCCCTATAGGATCACATCAGTGTAATATAAGGTACCTTGGAGTCATCCTGGGTGGAGGGGGCGGTTGCCTTATGCAAATCTGGAGGCGTCTCAGGTAGCTTAGCCTCAGAGTGAGTACCAACATATTTCAATCATAATGGCCTTCTCAAGTAGGTAAAAAAAAAAAGGTAGCAACTTCCTTGCTTTATATATAGATTCAGTAGAAAACACGTTGAAACTATTGCTGTCTGTACTATGAGGTGCTTCTCTAGAGGGCAGGGTATGCCACTGGGTACAAAGTTCTGAGGTGAGATGTTGCCTCTGATTGTTGCAATAGCTATGAAAGTGGCTTTCTTTTTCTTGGAGCCAAAAAATTATATCCCAGTTTGTGGTAATCTGAAAGAACTTGTTTCTTCTCTGATTATCTAGCACAATTCCCAATAACCACGGTGATTCAGAGGCGAGTACCTTAATATTCCTGAGAAACAGCTTTCAGAAAGAGCTTCTGATCCAGAGTGTGATTTATTAATTAAAAGATTTTATATGCACTTAAGTTGTGGTGCACAATGGAGCTTAAGAATCCCTTTGTTCATAAAGTTCAAAGGCATGTCCAGGCTACGTCCATAATGTTTGTGCTTCTTTACATTTTTTCTTCATGTGCCAGGCTTCTCAAACTAGCACTGCTGGCTGTAGGCCTAAGAGGTACAATGTTTTCAGGTTAAGCCCTTTTAAAATTCAAGAGTTTCTCCAGCTCCTTCCACTAGATGTCCTGTTTTGGGGTATCACTTCAGTGGATAGTTTAATATTTCTTTCAAACAAATCTGTCTCATTACAGAAATGTACAGGGTCCATTTCTTTTTTGTAGTCACCCAACACTGCAGTAGTTGTTAAATGTTCTTCCTTTATCCATTATTCTGGCAAGCTACCCTGAAACCATCCTCTTGCACAGCTGTCTTTTGCCAGAGTGCCCATTAGCACTGAACTGTGGATGAGGCAGATGGGGAGTGCCCTTCATCTCCCTTCTGGTGCCTGCTGAGGAGCACCTGCAGATGCAGAGGTGGGGAGGGAGGCACTTGTTTCCCCTGCAGCCAGCACGCTTCCCCATCGTGTTTTCTTGGTCACATCAAGATCTGCTCAACAGGGAAGCAGCATTTTAACAGACATCCTGTATCTGTTAATCCTATAAATACACACCCATAGGCGCACAAGTACATGCGTACATACGTAAATCCCTACTACAAATCCCGCTTCTGCTGTGTCCCGTGAACAAGGCTGCTCCTGCTAATACTGAGATTCGATAAGTTCCCTTCTTTCTCAATTGTGCGCCTGCGCCTGTCTGCCCAGGAGATGGAACTGCATTTCTAAGGGTAACGAAGTGCCAGAAGAGTCAGCAGAGCCACGAGGAGAGCCCTAAATCCACTTCGGCTGCTGTTACTAGGAAACCAGTTGGGCAATGCTCTTTGTGTCGCACCCAAGGCATGGATGTAACCTCTGCTTGTTTACTTGCAGGCGCTCGCGTTAATGCCAAGGACAACATGTGGCTGACTCCTCTCCACCGAGCAGTTGCTTCACGGAGTGAAGTGAGTAAGATTTGAGTACTCTGCTTTTGCACATAAACTCTTGTTTTGGGAAAAAAGCAAATCATTGAAAGCCACAGTAGGCAGCACAGTGACAAACGGGGAGAATATTTGTTGTGTGCAGGGCCTTCAGCATTGCAGGCAGAGTCCAGCTTTTACCAGTTAATTATAGTTGCTTTTGAGCCTTTGATTTTCCCCCTGTGGGATGCTTTATGTTACTGTAGCAAGTTGTCCTGAGCAACCATCAGCTGGACTGAGTGACCCTGGCTGAAGTGGGGTAGAGTCACCGTGGTCTTCAGGGTCATCATCATCAAGTGGTAAAATAAGGAGGAATAAACCCATACAGATGTGTTCATGCTGTGTATGTGTATGTGCCAGGAGGGGAGTGGATGTGTGTGTGTGTGATCCTTACATGTATTACTGCACAGTTCATTTTGGTTAATTGCATTTCAAGGCATCCGTTAGCTTTTCTGTTAATTCACTCGATTCATGCATAAAGGAGGTATGCCCATATTTTTGTACTTGACAGCTAGAAATCTTCTGGCATCACGTTGTACTTTCTCCATTGCTATTTCAAGAAGCAGCAACAGTAACTAACTGGAATGCAGCTCAGGCATGACTGTGTTTTCAACTATACAAGTATTTTGGCTGTCCATTTGGGACCTTCTTCTATACTTCTGTCCTCCTAATACCTTGTTAACAGCAAGCCCAACTGCAGGCTGATTTGGCTGCTGGGGGCAAGGGGAGGGGATGTAGGAGAGACAGAGGGTGGCTGTTTTCCAGAGACTGATGGACTTGAATCACCTCTGTAACAGTCCCAGTGCCTGCCAAGCCTGGAGGCAGGAATCCTGGGCTCGCTTCTGAACTCAGGCATTGTTTGGCTACTGGCTGAGCTTCCCAGCTGCTGGCAGCTACCGAAACCCGCTGAAAGGAATATCTGATAGGATATGAATGCTGTAATGAGACAAAATACAAAAAGCCATGTTGGAAAACAAAGGTCAGACTTCAGCCTTAAAAAACAACTACACTCTTTCTGATTCAGGAATTGCAGTATTTGGTTCCTTCTTTTGGATGTGTCAGAGAACATGATTTTTATTTTTAATCACAGTTCTAACTGAAAATGCACGTCTTCTTATGGGTTTGTCTTTTACTCTTTGGCTGCTGACAGCCAGGTTTAAGATGAGAAGCTCTTCTCTTGTGCTGGCAGTTCTGGTACCCCAGTAAGGCAGCAGGGAAAGGCGTGTGGTGTGAAAGAGTTAAGAGATTTCACTCCGATAACATGGGTTAGCTGTAAAGACTGAAAACAGAGGCTTACGCTATAGCTGTGGACTGGATGCACGTATAGAAATTATGCTAAGAAAAAGGTCTAGCTCATGCTCTCAAAACCAATAAAATTTAAATTTGCCCATAAAGATTTTAATACTCTCTTTGTTAGTCTGATAGAGCAGCAGATCTGCAGATGTAAGCAAAAATGCATACACACTTAAAAAAAATAAAATAAATATGTAACTATTATTAGCTTTGACTTTTCAGTCCTTATTGGTTAGTTTTAAAAATTCTTCCTTAACTTTTTCCTTCCTTCATTAATAGTCAAATTGCATGATTTTTCCTGATGACTTCATTTCACAGCTGGATATATCCCCAGTGAATTATATTTAAATGACTTTGAAAATAGTGGGCCTGTAGCTTAAAAAAAGAAAATCCTGTTGTGACATGAACAATATATCATTCTTGGTGTTTGAAGAGATGCAAACTGAGCTAACTGAACAAATCTGTTAGGTGACAGTTTGTGGAGTGGCTGTAGAAAACGTAGAAATTGATTGAGAACAATTGAGAACAAAGAACTAAAACTCCTAGTAATGGGATGTATTGTTGATACAGACTGCAGGCACTCTCTGCGGCCTTTCTAGATACAAAAGTGCTTTTTAAATGTACACATGATGTATTTGTTATTTATTAATAAAATGTTGGCTGGACTTACCAGAAAACTTTTCAGTTTATGGAAAAAGAATAAGGTAGTATGTAGGGCTACAGCTCTGCCACTGCCCAGCTGTGAGTTGTAATTAGCAGGCGAGGCTACTTGAATGCTACTGTGTCCCTGTGGTTCCTTTGTATTTTGTTGGTTTGTGGGGGGGAAAAAAAAAGAAGAGAAGAAGCAATGTAATTTAGAGAGAGACTTTTTAAATCTGGCTTGCTTAATGGAAGTTCCATGAGTGGGAGCAGAAAAGAGCTGATGGTAAATTCTCAAGTGAGACAGGCCCTCAAGAGAGAAGAATACATTTTCTCACTGGGAAATATTCACTTTTAACCAACAAAATTAACCTTAAAAGATGTTGTTTGGTCTCAGGCTGACAGAATGGATGTTGCAGTGAAGACCCTTGGCCTGTGCTCAGCCCTTGGGGAGGGAAGGAATGCTAATGGCAACTGGGGACACACACCAGTGTCAACCCTTGCCTGTGATTCTCATGTTTTTGCAAAGCTAAAATTTTGTTTTTAGACATATATATATATTTTTTAATTTTTCCTGTTTATAAATAAAACGTAGAGCAATTTGCTGTGATTTCATTGTCCAAAATGACATGCTCTTCATTTTGTAAATAACATGTGTAAGAGGGTGCTCAGATAAGTCCATTAGTTTCTTAAGGTATAGCACAGTTAGGACAACTGAGGTATTCAAGGTTAATCAACCAAACAGGTTGGTCTGTCTGCATAGGCAGCTTTGTATATCATAAAATCTAATTTGGGAATTTTGATTGCAAGCACACTGCTCTGCATGACAGCAAAGGTGATGCAGCAGTCTGACATTTGAATGAGCCGTACTGTTTCAGTAACCTGAGAGGTTGTTTAGGTGAATGTTGTTCTCTTTCCCTCCTCCTGGCCATGCCTGGGATGTGTAAGTAAAATGCATACATAACAGCCCTGAGCTGTCAAGAATATGTGCTCTGTATTTATTCGAACTGCTTGTTTATAGCTCTTAAGTGCTCCCGTTGCAGGAAGCAGTGCAAGTACTGATTAAGCACTCAGCCGATGTCAATGCTCGGGACAAGAACTGGCAGACCCCGTTGCACGTGGCTGCTGCAAACAAGGCAGTGAAGTGCGCAGAAGTCATCATTCCCATGCTGAGCAGCGTCAACGTCTCCGACCGAGGTGGGCGGACAGCATTGCACCATGCAGCTCTGAATGGCCACATTGAGGTGAGTTGGTTAATAGCAAAATTGATCTTTGATTACTTACTCATTTTTTCCTCTTTCAAATGTTTGTCCACTATGGCTGGGTCTGGACTGAGTCTCATATCCCTGACACCCTGTGATTGCTGTCATTCAGCTGCTTCCCAAACTGTGTGCCAAGTTACCTATCTACAGAAGTAAGAGTGGCAGGAAAGCATGTCTGCAGAGCTGGCATGCAAGTGAACTGTGCATGCAAACTTGAGGAGCTGGCTGTGCCACCAGCCCTGGCAATTCAAGTGTGTCCTGGGCTATTTTGCGCTTAACTGCTTGAGAAAATAAAAGAAGAATGGAAAGAAGGAAAAACTGCTAGATTCATTTCATACTGAAGAAAAGTTCAGCTGTGTGAGATCCAGTCTGATTTTCTAATTAGTCTTCTAGAAAATGTGCTTTTTTTTTTTTTTGAGATCATCCATGCTGCTTCTTCTTACCTTATGCAAGTAAACCCTCCTTCTATTTATTATTACAGTTTCTATACAAAAAAAAACCACAGTTTTGTAAATAATGACTCTTCATAAATGGTTTTGATAGTCTTTAAATCTGTGTGGAAGGATTCTTTACGCACCTGAAGTTCATCTAGAATAAAATGTCTTCAACTGGAACAGTAGAAATCCGTCAACAAAAGTTGATCAGTTGACACTGTAATTAAAAGAAGGAAAGGGAAGAGTAGTTCCTGTAAAATAATGATAGTGTTTGGCCTTTAAACTACTGCTTTGGCCTTTTTCCAACTATTAATGGAAAAAGATAGTAATGCTTGAATCTAACAGTCATAATATCAAGTTCCTGATATTTTGAGTAGAGTATATCAGAAATTATAATAGAAATTATGCTGTTATTAGATGATCTCTGTACTGATGGAAAAGCACTGTACAAGGGAAAAGCAAATATGCAGCTCTGTAATTTATGATTTCAGAATGTTTTGCTGGAGAAGAAACTAGTTGAATGACATTCGGTTTTATTTCTTTTTTTTTTTTACCTGATTTTTTTTATTTCTAAACATTGGATAATTGATAATAGGGAAAAAAGCTTTTCACTTCTTAGCCATACTGCCTAAAATTTCAGTATCTCATACAAAACAGCTTGATTTTATGATCCCAACTTTATCACTAGAATGCTTTGTTATAAGCTATTGAGTGTCTGATCCACAGGGTTTGTTTATTTGCTCTCATTACTACTAGATGGTGAACTTGCTGTTAGCCAAGGGGGCAAACATCAATGCTTTCGATAAAAAGGACAGAAGAGCTCTTCACTGGGCAGCGTATATGGGTAAGGCTCAGGTTGTTGTTTCTTGTTCTAATTTCCTGTTGACAAACTGTCAGCGTGTTTTACAATGGACAAGACAGACCTGTCTGTGGAAGGTGGGAGATGTATTCACCCCTGTTCAGAGAGTGGGTTGACTGATGTAAATACACAGTGCTCACTTAGTTGTGGTTTTTGTTCTTTTAATGACTGGAAAACTAATTCAGTAAAGTGAACTTTGACCCATCTGACGAAGGGGAATGTGGATTGCATGCATTTCTTGACCAGGTCTGGAGCTATAATTAAGAATATTATGAAAGTGTTTTTTTTTTTCTTTGTAAAACTCCGGGAGCAGTGTGAAACATCAGTGAAAGGGCCAGTGCATTAGCAAAAAAGAAGTAATTTGTGGATAGTGAGGCGGGTATACCTGTTAAAACTCTTTTTCATTTTTTTGAAGGTCACCTGGAAGTTGTTGCCTTACTGATTAATCATGGTGCAGAGGTGACTTGTAAAGACAAGAAGGGTTACACCCCACTTCATGCAGCTGCATCCAATGGACAGATTAATGTTGTGAAACACCTCCTTAACCTGGGGGTAGAGGTATGTGGTAATGTGCTCCTTATGACTTCCATATTTGGAGATACCCTTTTCCTCTTTCTTATGGATGCTGCTACCTCAGCAGAATTTCTAAAGAAAATTGTTCCTGTTTTCTGGACCATGAAAAGCACCTGGTGCTATGTATAGTTTATTGGTGTAGGAACCAGAAGACATTCTGGAAGATAAAACGTGTGGTATGGACAGTAAACTCCAGGCTACCTTGCTGAAGGGAAAAAAAAGATAATCAGGAAGTATATGTTGTTCCTGTAGAGAAAGATGGAGTAATTAAGTCTCCCTTGGCTTGGCATTCCCTTTGATATGATGAAGTTGTTCACAACACATACATGGAGTACTTTCCAAAACAGCAGTTTAGGCTGTGTAAGTTTAGGATGTGCATTTCCTCTCTAGCTGATGGAGGGAAGGAAGAAGATCACTTTCATTCCAGAAAAGGTCTTTATTTCAGGGCACAGACTTCTCTTAGTCTAATATTGCCAACTCAATCGTCTAAAGCAACAGTGAAATGACCAGAAGAGTCTGTGCTGGTTGATTAAAGATAACAAATAAAGACATTGCATTTATCAGCTTTATAGCCAGCTGACTTGACCTACCAAAAAGGTGTCAGAACTCTGTTTTTACAGGCTGTTGACTGTGAAGTTGAAGGGGAATAGGTGTTTCTGTTATCAGCAATACCATGCAAATAATTACCTTCAACTTCCATATTTTTTGTCACTGGAGATATGAGCTTTGAGATGCCTGTATTTTGTGGAAGGGTATTCACAGCATCCATGAGTCTTTTGTGCAACCTGTCTTGCCATATTTTACAGAACAGTGCTTGAATTCCAAGCCAGTCATCAAGAAGTAATGTAATCTTAATTACATCTTCGTAATACTGAGCTGCTGAAAGCAGTTTCTTATTGAAGTGTAAATGGCTGTGCAATTTCTCCTTCCCTTCACTATGACACTTTCACTCCCTTCCCAAAAGGAATCTCTGGAAAGAGATCTTAAATATGATTCTATTCACAAAAACTCAATAGAAGGTGTTTTTGTGTATTTTTTTTTTTTAAGTTTCTGAGCTTTTTCTTTATCCTACTTTCTCACTTACATATAAAAGCTTTCCAGTTATTAGGACTTTTATCATCATCATCATTACATAGTCCTGCTATCAGCTTTAAGCTTCAGGCTGGCTTTTAGAAATTGCCAGTAGGATAAGACATTAATGATAACGAAGGTAAAGCATTTTAAATTAAGCTCTCTGGGAGCGTATTTTTATCAATGAAATTTGTTGGTGAGAAATATGCCCTATGGTAGTTTAAGCCTCCAGCTATTTCCATTTGCAGAATGTGATGTGTTATGTAAAACAATAAACTGATGTCTGTATTTCTGTGTCTTCTTGTCTTAGATTGATGAAATGAACATTTATGGAAATACTGCACTTCACATTGCCTGTTACAATGGTCAGGATTCTGTTGTTAATGAGCTGATTGACTATGGTGCTAATGTAAATCAGCCTAATAATAACGGATTCACTCCCTTGCATTTTGCTGCTGCCTCCACTCATGGAGCACTGTGTCTTGAACTGCTAGTGAATAATGGGGCAGATGTTAACATTCAGGTAAAACTTGCATTTCAGCTCTTTGATTTTGCTTTATCCTGTTTTCCTTACGTTAGTAGGCTGTGAACTGTAGTAACAAGTACAGCAAGGCTTTAAATCCTTGATAGAAGTAGAGTGATGCTTAGGATGCTAATCATTAAGCTGTTTGAATGAGGTTAACTTCCAGCAGAGGAGCTCTCAGTGCCTTGATAAATGTAATGGCAGCCTTAAACTCTGGGCCAGCCACTCCTCATAAACCACTAGTAGAATTTAGTCCCTGAAGCTCTGTGTTGACAGAGGCAATGGTGGTATGTCCAGGAACTATTCCTTTCTGATGTTTTCCCTCCACCTGCAATATGGGTTTCATTAAACCTGTTCCTAACAAGTTTATTTTGACTTTCCTGGGGAAGTAAGACCTTGAGAATGTTTGTTACATATTTTAGAGGCCTGAGTTTAAAAAGCATGATTCTGCTTAGGTTATCTGAATTCTCTTGATAAAAGAGCAAGTGATATGTCTTGGTGAACCTCAAAGGGACTTGCTAGAAAACTAAAATCTCTGAGTTCCTATAAGACTATGGCTACTTTAAACTGTGTGTATTCTAGTTTCTCATCTGTAAAACTGGTCTTCTAGCATTTAACACCTCTGTCAGGTCCCTTGAGATGAGCGGACAGTCAGTGCACTATTTAAACTCAGAATTATTGAAATGAAATTAGGAATTGTGCTCAGCAATAAATGCGAAACTCCTGTGCCAATAAATGTGAGTAGTGACGCAGGTACCTTCCCCTGTTATTTTCTCAGCTCCTCAGCTTTCCCAAGCTCGTTTTGTTTTCTCTAGATTCCAAAACATTTATCTCAACTCATTGTACTTTTCCTTGCATGTGTCTTCCCTGTTTTCTAATTGTACCTCAGCCCATTTCTGCTTATTGCTGCAGAACTGTTTTACTTATAGGCTTATACTTTTTCATCACATACAGATTCAGTCCTATAGTCTTCAGAAGTCAGTGGAGGTTTTATCTGAAGAAAAGCTGTATGATGTTGAGCTGAGAAACTTCAAGTTGTTACCCCTACTTTACATGCTGAATGGTTGTTTTTACATTTTGTCTATTAGAGTAAGGATGGGAAGAGCCCGCTGCACATGACAGCTGTCCATGGGAGGTTCACGCGGTCACAGACCCTCATTCAGAATGGTGAGTTTTGGTGCCTGTTCAATACCTCTCCAAAAGTGTAGGCATTTTAGAGGTTGCAGTTTTTCAGTTCTGACCCAGAATGCCAAAGGACTGTTCTGAGAGGTGTTCAACTCTCCGTCAAATTCTGACTTGGAGCTGTATCGACATCTCTCATTCCACAGTGTCATAACAAGTGAAGATTTTGCTTCTTAACAAAATCCCATGTTCCTCCAGCTGACAGTGGTCCAGCTGATCTGTTGTGATTCTTAACCTGAAAACAAGAGTTCAAAGCTGTGGCATTCTATCTGATGACAGAAAGGCACAACAAACTTTCCAAAATGCTTTAAAGAGTAAGAAAACTAAAAGTTTCTAACTGTCCTCCCCTGGGAGCTGTGGTGTTCATAGAGTTCACACCATTTTCTCTCTCCTATCACTCAGCAGCTGTACTTCCCTCACCTCCTTTAGTTCTGTATCTTGCTGCTGTCTTCACTGTGTGAACACTTACTTATTCACTAAGCGACGAATAAATATTCTGGAGGGTGGACCAGCGCCACCCTGTTTTTTCTAGCATAGCCAGGAACAGATTTCAGGATTCCGGATTACCTGTCAAATTCATTAAGTATCTCTTTTGTCCAAGCATATAACATATTGTTGTTGGAGATCTGGCAGAGACCTGGTTCTGACTGACAGAGGTGGCTAGAACTGATTGTTTACTTATGCTTCCTAGCTTTGGCTGTTATACTAGACAGGACAGTCTAGGTTTTCTGTTTCTTTTGTTTTATTTTGTTTTATTTTTTAACTACAATTCCAAACTTGTAACCTAATCTAACTGCTGTATCCCTTGATAGAGCTACTCTGTGTGAGATGTTTAAGAAGTCTGAAAAGTTAGGCTGTAAATGCAAGGGTGCTTACATGTACAGAAGACTGTGTTTTAAACAGAAGCCTTCAGTAGGTCATGCTTCCTTCAGGTTGTCATACAACTTACTGCCATATCTATTCTTGGATAAATAAAATAGTAATAAAAAAATGAGTTTGGGCAAGCGGAAAGAAAATGCAGTTTAGTGTTGTTTAGAGTTGTTTAGTGAAAGATGCTCTCTGACTTAATGGTTGTTGTTTGCTTTGTGTTGGATCTGTGTGTGAAAAGATTGGCAGTTCTTCATCTGTCCTTCAGCCGCTCTACTCTTCTTCAAGTTACTTTGTTTTTGATTTTCTTTCTTTGTTCGTCGCCCTCTCTAATTTTAGTTTTGTACACACGTCTGATTGCGAGTGAATCTATGCCTTGTTGCCATGGGATAGAGTGGAAGAGAAAAATGTCAATGATTTAAAGAAATGCAACTTTATCCTATAGTACTTAGTGAACTGGGTAAAAACATCTCAATTTCTGGCTGCTGTTTCTGAGGAGTTTTGGAGGAAGTTGGCTTACCTTAAAATTATGAAATTGGAAGCATGATACCTATCTTTAAAAATGGGCAAAAAGGGAAGCTGGAAAACTTTATATATGTCAGCCAAAAATTCTGAAAGGAATGAATAAACAGACTTTTTGAGTACTTAAGGAGGGCGTAGGCAATATCTGCTATAGCTTCCACAAGAGTGAAGTATGCTGAAACATAGTTCTCCTCTACAGGAGGGCAATGGGCTTTGTGAATATAGCCCAGTCCTCTGACTTTTCTGTGGGCAGGTAATGATCATGGAGACCTCCCTCTATGGATGGAGACTCCACCCCAGGGAAGGAATCTGTTGTGGCATTTCACTGAACTTTATTTACAATTAGAAAATTTTGTATAGTTCTTTAGTAGGACTTTTTTTATTTTTTTCTATGGCCTGTTATCTCCTGTGTGTGGTGGAAATGCAGTAAATCTTACCGTATCCTCATTTTAGCAAGACTTTTAAATACTTTCCTGAAGTATTATCACAGCAAACAAGTGGAGTATAGTCTAGATGAAAATATTACTGTGTGGGTGTGTAACTGGTTGAAAAACTAAGACATTAATAATAAATGTAAAGTGTAATGAAGAGAATTTTGAGTTTCTCTCCAGTGTCTAGTACTATTCAGTATTTTCATTATCAGCTTGAATGGTGGAATAGAAAATGTGCTTTTAGTGTTTGGAGAAAGCATGAAGTTGGGAGAGACTTTTAGTTTGGCAGAAGGTAGAGTGAGAATTGAAAATGATCCTGTACAGCTGGAGGTAGAAGTTATAATGCAAGTGAAGCAAAGGAGAGATAGCACATACAGGCAGGAATATCAGTTACACAAATACAGAATGGCAGCAGCCAGGTGAGTGGCATTTCCTCAAGAACTGATCTGGGGTTTATAGCGCATCAGAAGCTGAACACAAGTCAAGTCAACAATGTCTTGGCGTTGCCAGCTTAAAAAAAAAAAGAGACAGAGAAAAAAAAACAAAACACCACCACCACCAAAAACAACAAAAAATGTGCAACATACAGGAGTATATAGGTATATAGCACAGCCAGAAGGCGTAAAGTGATTAATCCTTTGCTCAGCTCAGAATTGGTAGGCATCAGCTGTAGTACGGTTTTTGGCTTTTGACATTTTCCTTCCAGAAGGATGTGGGCCAGCTGTAGAAAACTGGGGGAAGGATGAGAATGGTTGGAGTGCAGCAAATCTGATCTGCAAGGAGAGACTGAAAAAATGAGGGTTGCGTGGTCCAAAAAGGAAAACAAGGGCTTGATAGGAATCTTTGCACGGGCCAAAAGCTGCAGTAGAGAAGAGATAAAACACGAGATGACAGGCTTAAACTGCAACAGGAAATGTTCTGTTTAAGCCCTGTGTAGTAATTTCTGATGATTAAATATAGGGCAAGAAAATGTTGAAACAGGTTGTGTGGAGTTCTGCGGAGTGTCAGTCTGCGGAGGTCTCACAGGTTGGTTAGGCAGATGTTGGTCAGCAAGATCACAAAGAATAACCTGAACTGCTGACTAGACCTCCTGAAGTCCCTTCTTACCCTTTTGTATCCCATGGAGTTCTTAAATCCATGAGTTCTTAAACACAACAGGACAAATGCAGCCTCCACCTCAGGATGGGGGCTGATGTTCTGCTAGGTAGAGCTGAGCAGATGTACCAAGGAAAAGGTGATTGTGCTGTTCCCTGGCAGCTGCTCTCAGCCCCTGTTAAACACAGAGCAGTCTATTTGTGTTGTAAGACACAGAAAAGGCACACAAAACAATTGTAGTTTGCAATGTGTTCCTTTTGGTCTTTTTAAATGATCTGTTTAACAGTGACGCCTTATAGGTAAGGTTCAGTGGCAATGTGTTAACAAATCATGATGCAATTTCAGCAGTTTATTCTTTTACTTTAATAGGAGGCATGTGTTTGTACCTTTAGGTGAGCAGCAAGTCTGAATCATGTTCTTTGCCCAGTTGTATGTCATCCCATGCACCTGTCTGTTCCCCGCCACTGAAGTTACGGAGGTGAAAGCACTTCAGGCAGACCACATGCAGTGCCAGTGGCTGCCTGGGCCACATGTGCCAGTTCTTGGTCTATGAAGTTCAGTCGCCTGGTTATGCTTCATTCACTAGGGAGAAATATCGTTTGTGGTCACTAGTCCACACTTAATCTTTTGGTGTTAAACTGTATGAAAATGTCTTTTGCAGGAGGGGAAATCGACTGTGTTGATAAGGACGGTAACACTCCTCTGCACGTGGCTGCAAGATACGGACATGAGCTTTTGATTAACACCCTCATAACCAGTGGAGCTGATACTGCCAAGTAGGTGGCTGAGGTGGAGCTGCTTCCAAAGGTTGAGTGTTATGTCCAGTGCCAGGAACCACAGTTACTCCTCAGTTCCTGAAGTATGGAGGCTAAAATGGATAAACGTATTTGTACTACACTTCAATGGGTGACAAGGGACTGAAGTATGAATGGTGGTGCAGGTGGAAGGGAAGGAAGCCCTGCTAAGCTCTTATTTTGCACAGTTATGTGGTTTCAGGTAGTGCCAGTACTGCTTTTTCCTGAAGCTTTGATGTGGCACATGGACATAAAACGTACATGAAGTATGTATGTATAAAGTGTATAAAGTGTATCTTGATCACAGGTATTCCAGCAGGAATGTAGCAAAGAGTTTGTATAGGAAACATCATTGAAGGCACTTGAGTTTTTTTTCCAAAGGGAACTGTATGCATATTCCCTAGAATTTAAGTTAATCTAATTTAGCCTACACCATGACTATTCTGTTATTTCATAACTTTTGATATGCCATAGGATAATCAATAGAATTGCAGTATTGCAAAGCAGATGTTACTAAGCCTGATCTCAGTATAACTGTAGAGCTTGCCTTGATTTTGCATGGTTTCTGATAGCCAGATGGCTGAAATAATAGAACTGATTTTATTTGATTCGTGGGGCTTTTTTGAATAGAGGGGTAATGACTTGAAATTGGACACAAATTTCTAAACGTTGTTAGTATTTTCTGCTTCAGTTCAGCTATTTTTTTTCCTTTTTCTCTTCCTTTTTTCTTATTTTTTTCTCTCTTGTACTTGTGTCAAGACTGCACCCACAATAGACAGTTATTATAGTCCCAAACATTGGGAGGTGCTTGATTTTTAAGAGTTGAGTATTCATAATTTATGTTCAGGTTCTTGTAGTCCATCAAAAAGAAAACAGCAAACCTGAAGGTAAACAAAGGGGTTTAAAAACAGAGTAATATCATGCCATGAGAGATACCTATACTGGGTGTTTTTAGCAGATTCTGATTACATAAATATGTTTTCAGCTATTAGCTGCACATCTCCAAAATAAAATTTAAAAGTCTTCCACCTAGAATGCAGTGTAGAAATGAATGACTCCTCTTGACTTACCTTCTTAGAAAAACCTGATTGCAGATGTAATTGTGCTGGTTTTAGTTTTGAAAATACTTGCAGCTCTTTCTGTTTGCTTGCTTGAGCATGTTAAAGGAAGTGACACTTCTGCCTACGTTCATATATCAAATATGACTGTCGCCATGCAATCTCAGAAGGTGGAACAGATCTTCAGTTGTCATGGGTAATGAATTCCACAGGCTTCAGCTAATGTTACTGGATTCTGTTAACATAGCCAATGTGAAGATCTTGGTGTCTAAATAGATGTGCATTTTTGCTAGCTCTTTTGACAGTACAGTATGTCTCAGTCTGCCTCTTTTTTTGAAGCTTCAGGGTAAAATGAGGTGCTATGGGATAGCCCCTCTTGGACTCAAGGTTATCCAGTTAGAAATTTCTATTTTGCACTTGGGTGACTTGAATATTGATCAAATAAATTACATCTACCAGCACCAGAAATAAGTGGAGTTCGATAACCAGAGATACCAGGCAGACCCAAGTGATGCTGTTGTGCTCAACGAGAGGAGTGAGGAGCGTTGAAACACTGGAAATGGGCTTTTATATGTATTGCGTGTGAATAGCTCTGGCTGAGCTCCCCAAACTGGTTTTGAAAGAGAGAATTCAACGTGTTAGCAACAACTGCAAACAGCTCAGTCAGTCTTTGAGGCAACTGCATTTTAAGGAGAGAGCGTGTAAGTGATGGGAGGAACCCGTGTGAACAGTGTTGTAGAAGTGTGACTGGCTAGCAGATGTGCAGAGTATATTTTGATGGAAACTAGCCAAAACATGTGCTGGGTGGAAATCTGGACCTAAAAGAAGAAAAATATTGCTTGAGATAGCTAGATGGAGGAGGAGATGGAGGGAAATGGGTGTAGAAGCAATGTCGATACGGAATGTCCAATGTTCGCTTAATTAAATGAGTCCACAGCTAAAAAAATGCAACCTGCTTATACAGATGCAGCAGCTTGATGAAGCTTGTGCTGCTTCCTTTTAAAGAACAGACTGACAGATCATCTTTTAAGAGATTTAATCCATCATGTACAAAATGGTGCTGGCAAAAGAATATTTGTGCAGCACCTCAGGTCACTCTTTAATGTAGTGAAGCAGCAAGGAAGACAAATGTAATGTGAAGAAAGAGGAAGGATGGGCCTGTGGATTCTGGAAGGAATGAGGTTGTTTAGTGCAACCTCAAATTTGTTAAATGAACATGTATAAAATTTTGAAGAGAATAAGATATGCTTATAAATATCCAACCACTTATTTGTCTAAAGCATGATAAACAATTATGATTTATGGTGAATCTTGCAGGGAAAAAAAAAGTTCCTTTGTCTTGGTTCTGGATCTAAAATCCTCTTCCATGAGGTGATCACTCTCATTCATCTGTCAGTTGTTTTACAGAGAAGAATCCATCTGCTGTTGTTCAAGAGTTTGTCATTTTTCAAAAACATATTGGCTGGAGCAGTCAGGAGATAATAATCTTGTTGAGATAGTTGGTTACACAGGCTCTGTGTTTATATGCACTTGGAGGACTGCTTAATGGTATTTCTAGAATAACAAGATGGTAATCGCAAATCAGTGCTCAATGACAGAAGCCAAGATACCCAAACCCAGGAGTCTTCTAAGGCATGTGGCATGGTTAGGGTCTGAACTGGGACGATTTGCTGATGTTAATAAAAGCTGCTGAGTGTTCGGCTTGTTTAAGAACTATGTGGTTGCCTGATACAGATTTAGCATAAAGATAGGTGTCTACTTTTTTTGTTTTGTTTTTGTAACCCAGTATGTCTGCTCAGAGGAGTTTATAGTGTAGTTGAAAAGGAGGGTTATGTATTGGGGGGGGGGAGTGAAAGAGCATGTGATGACAGTAGCTGGAGGAAACAGGATTAGATGATTAGTTATTAGGATGTGGGAGGAAAACCCTAAGTGTCATGGCACCCTAAAGGAAAATGTGAAAAAGAATCATTGGTTATACTATCCCCAGGGCAGAGGGAAGAATGGGAGGCTTTGAAAACCCAAGCAAGAGTTGTCTAAGGGACGTTTACTGCAGTAAAAATGGATTTCAGAAATAATACTAAAAAGCTTTTGGTGTTTACTTTTACCCCTCAGAATGGCCACTGTGGTATGTTTAGCTGATGCAGAAATACGTGCATCCCATGCTGGGAGATTGATTCTTAGCAGTGTCTCCTCCCTTGCTTTCTCCTTTACCTTAGCTTTCATCTCCCGTTTTTAGAATCCTTCCTACCACATTCTGTTCAAAGCATAATGCCAAGATTTTTCTGTATCAGAATATTTTTAACTCCTGAGAAGGATGGTAAGGAAATACAGATAAAATTATCAAGGGAGGAAGAATTTTCCTTAAAAAGGATCAAACACGCTGCCTTCATAGAAGGACCTTTTCATGTGCTGTGTTTGTACGCCACCTGTATTGTTACATGACCTCATCTAATGAGGCTGTTGTGCCTTTCAGGTGTGGGATCCACAACATGTTCCCTCTACACCTAGCAGCCCTGAATGCTCACTCAGACTGCTGCAGGAAATTGTTGTCATCGGGTAAGTAAACCAAGGCAAGCGGCATCTGTGGAGCTCAGTAGTGTGCGTCCGTGCTGCCTACAGCCCCTTTATACCCATTGTTGTGAATTGTTCAAATGAAATACTTCCTGTGCTGCTGTCTAGTGTGGTGTATGGCTTTCCTAACAGCATGCTGGTAATTCCTTGCATCCTGTATTGTTCATGCCCAAAGCCCTTTTCTCCTGGTAGGCAAATAGAGTTTATATTAATTCACTTGGAAGAAGGAGAAAATTTAGGATGCTTTTCCAAATTTTAGGCATGCAAGACACCATTTTTTCCCCTCTCCTCAAAGAAGTAATAGAAAAAATTATCTCCTTATTAAGCCCACACTTAAGCACAGGTATTTGTATCTGTATCTTAGTTACAGCTAAAGTATGTTTCTGAATTTGGCCAAAGGCTGGCCAAAGTTCTGCACACGCAGGAGGGGAAATTAGTGAAGGTGTAGTTTATGGAGAGCAGTCCCAGCATCCTTACCAGAGCCCAAAGCAAAAGCAGCAGGAGTCTGCTGACACAACCTTTTCAAAAGAGGCAGTAATAAGCCAAATCCTAAATATTTTTTTTCTAGGCAAGAGTTTTTGTGAGTTTAAAAAACAAAGAAACGAACAAAAACCCAATTAAAAAAAAAAAAAAAAGAAACAAAAACCAACCAAGAAACACAAAAAAAACTAACAAGGATCATTTCTTTTTCCTAGAAAAGTATTTCATTACTCAACACACAAAATCTCCTATAACTACTTTTTTCCATAAGCTTGAATCACCTAAAATATAAAAAAGTGTGAAAAATGATAATTCCCTACCACATTACAGTAAACCTAGCTATCTGTTGGTCTTGACCATCAGATCAGGAAGGGAAAGAAAGCTCTGGGTGACCACTGACAGGCTTGTAGTTTGGCCTTCTGCATCTTCATGACAATCCCTGCATGCTCCTGGAAGCCTCTTTCAAAAAACTAAACCTAAACCCACACACAATAGAAATTACCCTATTTCATGCTCAGGCTGACTCTGTAGCTTTTCTCATCTCTTCATGTTTTCCGTCTCCGTGTCCTGCTGTCATAGTTATCTCAATAAGTATCTAACTCCTGAATGCCTGTCATGTGGTTTTAAATAGGGATGTGGTGCAGAGCTGGATGCAGAACTAAATTCTTGTTGACTTCACAGCTCTTTTTATAGAGCTGCCAAAGTGGAGCAGCGGCTCACTGTTTCCGTGACAACCTCTTTCTGACTGTAGTTGCTTGCGTTCTGTTTTTTCTAACTAACTGATTTTTCTGTCTCTGCAATGTTTCTTGTGGTTTAACTAGGACAAAAGTATAGCATAGTGTCCTTGTTTAGTAATGAGCACGTGCTGTCTGCAGGCTTTGAAATAGACACCCCTGATAGTTTTGGAAGAACATGCCTCCACGCTGCCGCTGCAGGAGGGTGAGTAGTTGTGACTGTAGCTGTTACAAGTTATTTTGTGCTTTCATCGCAGATTTGGTGCAAGCCAGTTTGTCTGTGCAATCCACAGATGTCAAATTCTGGTCACTTGAGGTTGTATTTTGCCACTGCTCTCATGCACGCATTGCTTGCAAAGCAAAGGAGGTGGTCTGAAAGGACTCCTCTAAAACAGGCAGCTGGGTCGTGACTGAAGCACAAGTTTCAGATGTAGGGTAAACCTTCCTTTTTGTGCCCCTGGGAAGACTGCTTCAGCTTTGGGTTGGAGTGCTGTGTACTCACCCAGATCGGTTTATTGCCATAAGAGTTGCTGAGGGCCAGTAGTGAGCAGAAAAGTGTCAGTTCCTAAAGCAAAGCAGAAGGAGGAGAAGGAGCTGTGGCTCCTGGGATGCTGCTGGCAGGGCAGTTATTCCCAGCCTCCTCCGCTGGACTGTATTCTTGCCTCAAAACGCAACAGTGTCCTTGAGGCAGCAACCCTGGAGTCCAAATGCAGCTCTCCCTTCCAATTTTCAGGTACAAGTTCAGAAGTTCCTAAAACAACAACACAAAAATCACCAAATCAGAAAGCCAAAGTCTTTCAGAATGATGCATTCCTGATGAGTGCTGGGAGCATGACATGAAAACAAATTAAAACTGAAATACCTCAATTTATGTTGTAAATGTAGCATCCAGTTAGTTTAAATGCTTCCAAATAATCGTCAGTGGAGCTCTGTGAAGTTAACCTAGCAAAAGGATAAAACATTTGGCAAGCATTGAGTTTTGACTCTTCTTTGGAGGACTATGGCTCAGAAAACAGCTGAAATGGAGCCTTGGCTAGAACCCAGTCTGCATTCTCTATGATTTTAGCAAGCAGAAATGGTCATCCATGGTGAATACTGGGTGATCTTTCAGGAAGTTGCTTTTCTTCTTGGTGAATCAAAATAGATATATCACAAAATTCCCATAATTACAGACACCTAATGAAATTGATCTGAATGCCGTTTTTATAATTCTTACGGTATTTTTCTTGTTGATACTTGTCTCCTGTTCTTAATAGAGGAGGTATGATTGTTGCTTGGATTGAAATTATTATAGTACGCTTCAGATGCTACCTCTTCAATAAGGCTGCACTCCAAAAGAATAATAAAAACAACCTGGAAGTCCAAAAGAGAACGAAAGAGAGGCTTCATAAGAAGCAAAAGTAGTTTATGAAAATAAGTCATATTTTTCCAGTGGTTTACTACAGTTGTCATCACTAACAAGTATTTTTATTTTTAGTATGTTGTGGTGAGTGTTTTGAAGTTAGCAGTTTAGAGTAGGGCTGAACATATGCCAACGTACCGCATCCCGCCATTTTTTCCCTGGAGCTGGAGCTATGCAAACAGCATTTATTTTTTTTTTCCCCTGACACATGCCTGTTTCTCCCATTACATTAATGGGAGTTGTATGTATGTAGAAAACAACATACTTCAAAGGTCTGCTCATCTGGTTGTGAACAGAAATGATTTATTGCCCCTGTTAATGATAAAGAAGTCTTGGAAAGTGCTATGCTTCTTTATGTCACTTTCTGGCTTGGGGTCGTACATTTATTCTCCTAAATTACAAAATGTATCAAAATTTAGCTGCTATATTTTCTATAAAAATCACCTGGCTTTAAATGACATGAAGAAGCCGTGTTGAATTCTTTGAACAGGTAAAAAAAAAAAATACAAAAAAACCCACAATGGAGCCCAACTCATCCACTTATATAAATTTAATTTAAATATGACAATCATTTTAAATACTTATGCCTCTTATTCAGCAATGCACTTAAAGACATGCTTAAATCTATTGTCAACAAATTATATGAAAATGAACCTAACAGTAAGTCTTGTAATTGAATCTCACTAAAGTAAGCAAGATTTTAGCACAGTGCTTACTGTTGAATGCTTTTCTAGAAGGGGGTGGATTTTGTTAAATGTCACCTCTTCATTATTAGACTGACATTTTATAAGCAATCAACAACTTTAAAAGCTCTCTCATAAAATAGCATTTCAGTGTGGGAAGCATTAGAGTACAACTCCCTTTGAAAATCTACAAACACACTGAATTCGGATCATATTTACTGCTTTTTCTTTGGAAAAAAATATCTATTTTTCTTCTGCAGAAGAGAAGTCTGAGGTTTTCTAGAAACAAAGGAAATTGACTTTTAAACAGTCACTTTCTGTTTGCTGTGATTGAATTTCAGGTTGTAGTTGTCTGTACCCTGATATTGCAATGCAAATAGTACAATAGTAGAGTAACTTTTTCCCGTTTGGGGGTGGGGAGGCAATCAAGATGTAAGCTTCTGCTTTGTTTATGCTTTATTATTATTTTTTACTTCTCTTTTCAGTAATGTTGAATGTATAAAACTCTTGCAAAGCAGTGGAGCAGATTTTAATAAGAAGGACAAATGTGGGAGGTAAGTAAATTATGAGGTTAATTTAAAAAAAAAATAAAAGAAGAATCTAGCAGTCAAGGAAGAAAGACCACCTCCATCTGGAAATTGTGTGTTCCAGGAAAAATGACAGTAAAATAAAGTAGGAGTTTGGCTTTCCCTACAGAACTGCTGCTACAGTTATATGCCAGACAGGTGCAGACTTCATTATATACATAAAAGCCATCCCACCCTTCTCAAGTTTTCTGTTTTAAAAATATCACAGGTGTATTATTTTTTTCCCTTATTGCTTTTCTTATTGCCTGAATTCTTGTGCTGATGTGCCCAAGACAGCGCCCTTGTTATGATGGGAAGGATCGCTGCTATTTGACATGCTTCCTAAATTTTTTTCCCTTCCGTATGAAGTGTTGCTATGAGTGTTGCTATGCCAGGAATGGATGCAGAGATTTCACTCCTTGATTGCTGCAGAATCTCTCAAGCATTTTGTCATGTGATTTTTCGACAAGGCAGATGTTTTCCAAAGCAGGTTCCCTAAAACATAGGGGTGGAATTAGAGCAGGGGAAGAGCTGTAGCCAACCTAATAGCACCATTTGGTTTGGTACATTGTGTTTTGTGTGATAGCAGATTGTGCCATTACACATTTATACAGCACTGCAGTGGCCATACAGCCCTGTAATGGGTACATTATCATCCACCCTCAGCTGTGGCAGGGAGGTGCCTAAGCACTGAATCCTGGGTTTCCTGCTTCTTTGAAGCTGTAAATCATGATAGATATGCATGCATTTGCAGTTGCTTTAGATCAGCGAGGAAGGTGAATTCAAGTTAACTGTTTGATGACAGTAACTGTGTTTGAACTTAAGACACTGCAGAAATTCTCTGTAAATACTGCTGGGGTACCTGTTTTTCAGGCCTTGTCGTTATACTAACATAAATGAATTGCAGCTGAAAGGTTCCAGCGTGGCTTGGGCACTGTGGATGGTACTTCCTGGTAGAGAGACAGCAGTCATTATTATTCAGATCCTTTCAGTATATACCCAGTAGAAGTGTCAGATATGTAAAAAAATAAAATAAATAAATTAAGATATTCTTCTGTCCCATTTATATGAGCCAGGTTCAAAAATGAACTATACTCTGTTTCTGTTTTGTTTTGTTTTGTTTTTAAACAACTTCCACCAAATTGAAAGTAGATGATTTTAGGGGACAAATGAATTTAAATTAGTCAGTTAGGATTTTTGTGTAGCAGAGGGAGCCTTTGTGAGTTTCAGCCCTGCTGGAAGTTGTTCTGACAATGTGAGCTCTCTCTGAATGACATTCAGGCTTTGAAGTGGGTGTGCTGAGCATGTGTCATGCTGAATTTTCCTGCACAATGAATCTTTTCTTGGGCTTTGGAATTTGTCAGTGTGATGGGATCCCCCCACATCTCTGTCTGTGTCGCAGTCCACCTCTGGTGCTGCTCAGCCTGCCTATGCCAAGATGATTTTGGAGCTGTGTACAAACTGTAGTTTCATTGTCTGGAGCGGGGTTGCCTCCATGGGGTAATTCTGAGCAGCTGAAGCTAGTCAAAGTGAACAACTGGAGCTGAGCCTTGGCAGAGGCATGTTTAACTACTGAGACACATGTCCCCAGTCATGTTGAGCAGTGCTGCATAGCAGGTGGATTATCAGACTGCAGAGAAACCAAACTTAATTCCGTCCGATGGACAAAGAAACTTTTAAAGCGTTGTCTGTGCATAATAAAAAATATAAAAGCATAGTAATTCTGTGCAAAGTCAGCCTTAAAAGAGAGTTTATATGTGTATTATTATATAAACAGGAAAAAAAAAAAGAAGGCAACTGTAAGGGAGGTGATAATAAAGCCTGGATCAGTTGCTCTGTTCAGTTGGTACAGCCCTGCCTGTTGTAAAGTGTGTGGCAGATTCATTTCCAATTGTTTTTTCCTAAAAAGTCTACTTTAAGTACTTTGAGATTGAAAAATCTTAGTCTGCTCCCATGTGGGAATATTTTTGAGACAGGAGAAACACATTGTGTGTCTCCAGATCATAGGTTTTGTTTTCTTTTTTGGGGATATTAGGAGAGGGATTTACTTTGGAGTTATAAAGTGGTGAGAACTATAGCTGTGTTTTACATATGTGAGATATATATATAAATATACTTATATATACTTATATATACTTATATATATTTCTCTTCTCATGGGCAGTCATCCCTACTAAATAAGATGCTGCGAGGGATGTCCTCCTCTTCTCTGCCTCCCAGCTGGAGGCACATAGTGGTGTATGCAGAGCAGCAGCAGCAGATCTCACTGGGAATAGGTTGTTTGCAAGATGCAGATTTTGGATCTCTTTGCCACTAGGCTTGGTAGGAGCACCAAAACTTCCTAATAACACAGTAATTTGTTCAATTTGCATGACTTTGCATTTCATCAGAGGAACATAAGGTGCTGGTATTGACTTGCTGGAAATCTGTAAGAATACAGCAGTTAAGATTTATTGTTATCCCTGGCAGTGCATGCTGGAATATGAGGTAACAAATTGTCACTTGTGTTTCAGGACACCTTTGCACTATGCAGCTGCAAATTGTCATTTCCACTGTATTGAGACACTGGTGACAACCGGAGCCAATATTAACGAAACAGATGACTGGGGGCGCACCCCTTTGCACTATGCTGCTGCTTCTGACATGGACCGAAAGTAAGAGAACCTGTTTGTATTCTTTATTTAAAGTGTTTTGCCAAATCAGTGTCATTCTGCTCTCTTTGTGATGCTACGCCATTTGAACCAAAAAAAGGATTTTGTTAGCAAAGGAATTTCTCTCAGATATATGCGTAACTTCACATGGAATTGCTCTGACTATATGCCAGATCCGTAGATGATGCGGCATCTCAGCTCTACAGTTTACCTTTCATGTAACACACGGTTTTGCAGCCTATCTGTCCTAATGAACTATTTTACAAACAGTCTGTCTTCTGTTTTCCTCTGTGTAGTAAAGGAAGCTCAGAGAGTTTTCCATATCTGCTCTGCAAGACCGTCAGAAGGGATGGGAGAAGGGGCAGCAGTAGGAGAGGTTTTCCCAGATATACTGCAGTGACAAACATCTGGCCATTCTGACAGACTTCTTGGTAAAGATGGGATAGATCCTACCCGTCAGTCTCTCCACTGTCAGAGTTGCTAAAAACATTCACCCTCTCCAAACAGGCTGCTCTTTAGAGACTAAGAGGAGAGAGGCCTGGGGAACATCCTTTGGCAGAATGCGAAGCTGTTCTTTTGAGAAAAGTTTGGAAGGGGGAAAACAACTGCAAAACTTAAAAATCTTGTGGTTACTGAATGCAGTTTCTGATTCCCAGTCAGCTGCATGTTCTCATAATCTCTTCCCAATAATATACCATATAAAACAAGCCCAATTATCCTGTTAGCGCTCTCTTAAAATTGTTAGTGACCTGTATTTATTTTAGGTTATCCCATGCTTATCTACCTCTTCCCTTCAGACGCTAAGGAACTATTTTTTGGTTGCTAATATGCAGAGGTCTGAGTTAAAGGGGAAAAAAAAAGTGTGGTACATTCACAATAGAATACCACCTCAGAGCCACTTCAGACTTCTCCTTAACCTTGTGGTAGAGGTTTGGATACCATATAGGAGCATCAATAGCTTCCTTGTCATTTGCTTCATTTGCCATGACAATACTGATATTGAAAATGTCTTCCCTATCAACCTGAAACCTGAACAGTGCTGGGAAGAAGGCAGCAGGCTCTTCAAAGGACCGTTCTTGGCATTACAAGCAGAGTAGTCTTACATGAAAGCTTTCAGCACCGATTGTTTCTAAATCTGTCTTGCCAGGGTGAGGTCTTACTCAGGACGTTGAGAATTGCAATTCAGTGTATGTTTTTCAGCTTCTGACTTTTTATAGGTGATGCTCCTGCATGTAAACAAGCTCTTGGTTAACTTAAGGATGTAGCTACTTCTATTGGTAACGGAAAAAATAAAATAAAAACGTAATTTAACCACATTCTGAACATTGGCCGGAATATGTGACCTTTATTTGCCCTCATAATCCAAACATAAATTGATTCTGATGTGGTGATGTTGTCTTATTAAATTTTCCAGTTTGAGATGTTGTAGAAGTCTTGTTACATAGATGAAATGTTCTTTGCAGTCCATCATTTTATAGGACAGGTTTTTTTTTCTTCTAATTGACAAAGATCTCCTTAAGTCAGACAGTGTTAGTCCAAAGAATATTCAACATCATTTAACTTTGAGCATGGGCAGTTAATGAGCAGATAGAAGTCTTGGTGCAGCAAGGTAGTTGTACGGTTTCAGCTATTCTGGTAACTTTTTACTCGAGGACTTCAAAACATTACCCCTTCTGCAGTGGAAATCACAAAAGCATTTTCCTTAAACAGATTATTCAAGTTTCTGATTGTGTGTTGTTTTTCCAGATCATGGCTTATTCCGTTCAGGGAATCCTATATCAGGATCTCACTGATTTTTAGTGACAGAAAGCAGATGCATACAGGGCTTTCATTTGTTATATGAGATGTTTGAAATACTGGTCAGTACACAGGTGTCTCCTAGGGCTTTTCTGAGCTTTGACCAACTGTCTTTATTCAACATAACACACGAGGACTATCCCTGAGCTTACAGTGTTAACATTCAGAGGAGGTTTTTTTTAATTGATAAATAAGTTTTCTTGAGTCAGTGCCCATCAGACAGACCCTGCATTTGTGGAACAATCCATTACTGTTGGCACCCACAGGAAGAATATAAAATCTCAATAATAGGAATGGAAAATAGCATGATAAGGGAAGAATGTACTGTTTTGCGTTGTGCAGAATCCAATTTGGAACATGTGTGTTACATAGGGATTGAAGTTAGCAAACAGTCCTCCTTACAGGCCTTTCAAGGTACTGATCTGCCCTGTTCACTGAAGTTTGGAAGCATGTGTTGGTCTTGGTGGCCAAGCAAATTCATAATCACAATCTGACTGTAAGGTCACGAATCACAATCTTCATCCATTTGACTGGGCAGCAGAGATGCCACAAATGATCCAGGTGTGCAGGAGTGTGAAGACATGCTGAGCTCTTAGAAGAATCTAAAGAATCTGACCGGGCATTTGAGAATCTGAGGCAACATCTCACGGTGTTGCCAAGATATTTCACAGAAAGTGAGGAGAGTCAGCAGTGCAGCTAAAGCATATTCAAGATAGACTACTTCAGTATTAGTACACAAAGTACCTAAAGGGCTCTGAATCTTTGATGTTACTAGCAAGTCATTGTAGGAAGCAGCAAGCTGTAGTAATCCTGAATTCCTCTCTGCAATGGGAACAGAACAGAACACACAACATTGCTGTAGGAGATATGGAAGGATTCTGGACAGTAATGAGCAAACTGTTTCTGATAGAAACTAGAATTTTCTTTCTTTCTTTCTTTCTTTTTTTTTTTTTGCATTGATTGGCAGGATGATAAACTGCCATGTTGTAGTTGTCTCCATTGCTTGCTGCAGACCCATGTAGCATGCTCATTAAATTTACATAAACTTATTTATTTATTTATTTATTTATTTATTACTGTTGGCTGGAGAAGGTCAACTTCTTGCAGAGGAGATTGGGGATGGGTGGCAGACTGCATCAAAATCATTCATATTTTGAAAATAAGCTGCATTTTTCTGTTGTTTATGCTAAGAAGAAAGAATATTTTAGGTAACTCCCATGAAAATGCTGAAGAACTTGAAAGAGCCAGTGAGATGAAGGAAAAAGAAGCTGCGTTGTAAGTTTGGTATCAATAAAGAAGTTAAACTTTGCTTCTGGAGAAAGCCACTGCTTTGCACTGCAGTTTACACTCTGCTTTTGCTCTTTCATTGTTCTGCTAAACAAAATGCTTGGCTTTAATGAGGGCTAACCTAAAGAAAAAAGCTCTCTGCTTTCCTCTGTGTGCATATTCCCTAATATTTCTGCTTCTGTGCTTGTTGCTCTTTTTTAATTGAAAATGCACTGCTTCAGTAATTTAATAATTCTTTAGCACCATGCATTGCCTTATTTTAATGCTTTGCACTGAGAGTGTATGTTGCAAAGAGAAGTCAATCAATGGCTTCTTCAATTTATTTGCTTGGATTAACATTTTCACCTAGCTGCATATTGATTTTTTTTTAAAAATACCCTTTTTCATATGGCAGCCATATATTCAATACGAATTACAAGAAAGTAATAGCAACAAAATGATAATATCTTGATGGAATAAGAAATAAGAAAAAATGTTAAGAGCTATGAAGAACGTACGGGATCCTTTGAAAAACACAATTTAAAAATGCTAACAAAGAGGAAAATACATTAATATACATACATTCCAGGAAAGTAACTCAGTAAAGTCCAATTTTTCAGCTTGCCATAGTGTATAGCTGCAGGCCAATGCTGTGGTCTGTGAGATTTTGCATAAAATAGCAGCAGTTCTAGCTCTTCCAACTTAGTTGTTTGCATTACGGTAAAGGATTGTGACTTTCAGGCTTTGTAATAGAAGACCAATTTGGAACCTAGAATAGCAGCAAAGGTTGGGTTTAAGATGGTTTTTAATGAATTGTTTTTATGATTGTTTTAAATCCCCACTCAAAAATGAGTGGGGATTTTCTGGTTAAAAAACTGGTGAATGTGGTGAAGAGGAAGGCAACCTGCAAATGATTTGAGGTGCGGTTCAAAACACAGAATTAACTGCCTGACTGCCTGTCTGCAGTGCCACTCCTAGCTGTAGTGAGGGCTAAGTCTGTTAAATAGAGTGAGTTAAACTCATGAATTGTTCACAGGTGTCTGGAGTTCCTTCTACAGAACGATGCCAATCCATCCATCCAAGACAAAGAGGGGTACAACACTGTGCATTACGCTGCTGCATATGGGCACCGGCAGTGTTTGGAACTGGTGAGTGCTCACACAGTTCAGAGATCTCTATCTGCTGATATATATATATACATACATGTGTGTGGGGGAGGTCCTATATGCTAGTATTGTGAACAGCCCCAAAGGTTGCAATTTGAGTTTCTTAGATATTTACAATGCTGTGAAAACCTGCAATAAACTCAGGAAGGTGCAATAAACTCAAATCTATGCAACCAGGTGCATCTTAAAAACATGATCATCTTGATAATCCAGTCCTTGTTCAACAAGCTGGTGCTTAAATGTTGTCTTTGAGTGGAGCTCAAATTACTTTTAACTGTGGTCAAAATGTTCCTGGTGTATGTGCCATTAATATGGGATAGTTCCCACTGCATGATGCTGTGTGTCCTCCGTAGCTGCCACATTATCAGACTTGCAGACTGAGAGAGTAAATAGCTTTTGTTAGCTTCATACCTGCAATGCCTTTTAACCTGTAAAGAAATAATAGCAGCATTGTTAAAGTAACCATCATCAACCTTGTATGCCATGTGTCTGCTTTTTAGTTGTTGTATTTTCATTGTTGTTGCATCAGTCAGAAATTGCATCTCGTAAGAAGCCAAAAATCTGGGAGATTTATTGTGTGGACTTATAGGAGTTTGATGGCTCTAAATAAATAAATAAATAGAAGTGTCATGAAAATGGATCTTAACTGAACTGTCTGATATACCGGGAGATCCAACTCTTAATTGCTTTTTTTTAAAAAACAAAACAAAACAAAACAAAAAAAACCAACAAACTATAATTAGAAAATCATATAGAGATCCAGGCCTTAGTAAGACCACTGTGTGCTGTTTATTGTTTTATGTTGCTTGGTTTGTTCTTTGTTAAAGAGCCAAAGTACTTAATTATTGAGAAGGACTATTGTACGACACATGCTGCTTTCATACCACATGCATCAGTGCTGTCAGTTACTGCCACCTCTGGGGAAATCCTGCAGCTGTCCTACCCCAGGGTCACCAGCGCAAGGAACGGCTGACCTGCAGTTACACCAGGGCAGCCCTAGGTCACAATTGCAGGTGGGGTGCTAAGCCTTTTGAGCTCCCACCTGTGTGCACAAATATATTTAGGGCACTTAGGGTATCACTGCTGCTTTTTCACTCGTGGCAGCCATTTGGCCTTTCCTTGTTTAGAGCCATCTCCTCTCACGTGATTCTGCCCGTGGGGACGGAGCAATACTCTGCTGTGCCTGCTGTGGATTTGGAACAAAAGCAAATGCTCCCGGCATTTGAAGGATGTATATATAGTCTTCTCTGTGCAGTGTGCAAGCCTATGCTTGTATGCCCACAGCAATGTGTATCACAGCCTTACCCGTGTCTTATCACCAGATTCTTGCATGACTTGTGTGAGCAGAGCTCTCTCTAACAGTGTCTTTCAGCCTTCAGATCATAGTCCCTGTGTGCTGCTGGGTGCAGAGCAGGCACAGAGCAAGTTCTCCTCTCTTTTCTTATGCTTGCTCCTGGGCATGTTTTCTCACAACATATCTGTTATAGGCAATAACCTGCTATCAAGCTCCAGTGTTACTTAGGCATGCTAGACTAAAGGAAGAGCTAGGAGTGCAGGATGTATCAGAGGTGTTGGGTTTTTCTTTAATTTTGAAGGGTGACGTGCAAACTGTGGGTGAGAGGCAGCAATGCAGCAAGTGCTCTATATTTGGACAGAGAAATTCAGTGTTTTTCCATGTTAATCCTCCCATAGTTGAGACTATAGCTGCAGTATTAAAAATGAAAGCATCATTTACAGAGCTAGAGCCATACAGCTGTTTTGTGTTTCTGTGTGAAAGAACATTGCTAGGGATTCTAGCTTTTTGTCTGCAAAGGACCACTTTGTGTACTAGCTTGTATACCTGAGGACCATGGGGTCCATCGGGATTATGATTTTGCCATTGGTATTTAGGGTTTGATAGGCAGCTCATTGTCTCTCTGGAATACAAAAGCTAGATGTATCAAAAAGTATTTGTGCTTGATCAGCAGCAGGACCAAGACTCATCTTTGCACCCACTGTCAGAGTAGCTGACTCTGTTTTTGCTCAGTGAGCATTTGTCCCTTAGATCTAGGGAGTTACCAAGTCCCAAGTTTAGTATTTATTTATATTTGGTAACAGTGACTAACTAATTGACACAGACATCGCATTTACATTGATTTTTTTTCTTCCCCTCATTGCTTTTATCCACAGTGGCAAAAAAGCTGGGACCAGCCTCAAAAGGTAATTTTGCTTTGAGCATATTTTCAGGTGTTCTTGCTCAAGGAACAGTGGTAGCCCAGCAACACTAATTCCAGTGTAAATATGTCTGTAGATAGGCAGACAGACTTTTTGTTTCGACTTCACACATTCAGTAACAGATAAATTGGTGTCCAAGTGCTAACTTTGAACCACTAATCTGTATCACAGGAACTCTGTCATATGGAATACGCCTTTTGAAATATTTCCAATCTCTTCTACCCTGAAGAAGAGATTTTTCATGTAGGATTACTGAAATAAAAACATGTTTTTCACTGTCAAATGAACTTATTTTACTGTTTTATCACTTGGATAAATGTTTTTTAATTTATTACTGGCAACTTGTAGTCAAAAATATCTAAGAATTATCTTACCTTGTTCCACAAGAGTGTTCTATGTGTGCATAGAACTGTTACAGGAAGAAGAGCATTTAAAATATGGAGCTTTAATTCTGATCAAAACTAAGGCAAAGTGGATGCAACACTGAGTTTGATTTTTATGAGTAATGGTTCCTAGTACTTCTGTATATGCATGATACTGAACTACAGCAAAATGTTAATGAATTTTTCAGTGTTCTAGGACATGTCAAATGTATCAAAGAGCTGGTAAGACTAATTTTTTTTTTCTCCTGACCTTCTGGTTTTTATAACAGGTACCTAAATTAACTTAAATAAATGATCACATAAAAAAAAAAAATCTGAAGAAGTCTCTAGTGGAGTTTCCTTAGCTAAGGGTCTGATCTGTGCTTTAAGCACCATAACTTCCTAGCATGACAAAATATTTACACCACTGAGTACAGTTTGGGAAATTCTGGTTTACCTACAGAAAATTGTGGTTTCTGTGATACCAATATTTTGGGAGGAATTTAGGTAAATTTCTTTGTGGGGAGAGCAGAGGTATTAGGAGAAATAAGGATCAAGAGTGAAAAGGCCATATCCTTTGACCCAAAGAAGTAAGGTTTGTGTTTGTGTGTTCAACCACAGAGCCCGGTGCCAGAAGCGGTTTTCTTGAGGAGCTTTGGGTTGTCTGGGATGTTAGTGGGGCAGCTGCTCTGCAATGAATGACCTGATGTTGCTAAAAAGAGAAGAATGGAAGTAGATTCTTGAATTCTTTCTCCATCTGTAACAAGCCATTCCTAAAGGCTGAGTGGTAGGCATGTGTGCTTGTGAGCCAGTAAAACTCAGTCTCTCTCATCTGTTTTCGTGCTTCTAAAATATAACCTCATGTTTCTTTAGATTGGGACTGACTTCTTGGGTGCTCAGTAGTCAGGGATATTGGTCAAGGTTGCTATCTGGTATGTTAGAGTTAGAGTTGATCACATCACCAGACTGCAGTAGTTTGGGGGGGGGGGAGTGTATGTTTCATTGAAACAATCTCTTATCACAAAATCCCTGTTGGTGTGGAAAGAGTGAAATTTAAATTGTAATTTCACATTAAACTGCAGTCTGGAGGGCCAGTCAGGCACTTTGCGCTGGTAAAAAATATATTCCTGTGCTATGTCAGGGCAAACAGAATTAAGTGTCTTTCTTCTGTAGTGAAATCTCTTCTCTGACTGTAAGAATTGATGGTTATTTTTCTTTTAATCTGCTCTTCTTTTTAGCAAAGCTACATTAGCAAATGAAATTCACTTTTTGCCTAACAGATATTGAACTGCCACAGGGGCTAATTCACTTGAGAATGGGAGGAGAGCATGGTTTAATGGAAAATCATGTCTGAAAGGCAAATCTTGGTCTGTGTGTCTGACTGAAGCAGGTAACCTGAAGATCTGCGTGCACCAGGAAGATTTCCTGGTAACAGGCCCTCACAACTATGCTGTGAAGTTTGAAGAGCAAGAAGACACCTTTTATTAGATCAGCTGTTACCAGTGGGGAAAAAAAGCAATCTGTGCCTTCAAATGCTTGCTCCTTAACCTGGGAAGTAGAAATCTCGGACCCCTTAGGTATTTCATGTAGCTACTACTGACTACATGCATCTCTTATCAACAAGAATTTGTTCATTTATCCATCTGAGAGCAGGACACTGGTAATGAGTGGGGAGTGAATCACAAGTGTGGTTGGGATAGGCATTAAATAGCCTTTTGCCACATGAGGATCTGGCTCAGACACTTGTGCAGCTGCAGCCCCTGGGCCACTTCATGGCCTGAATCTATTCATTTAGGGGCTATGTTCTGGATTTTCTCCTTTGTGAATATCTCACGGTCTCCTTGGCTCCATCCTTCTGAAAGGGCAGCATTTTGTCTGAAAGCAGCAGTGATTGCATTTCGTGTGGTGAATGACTGCATAACGAACTCTGTGATGGCTTTTCGTGTGTGTCAGCTCTGAATATCCGAGCTGTTATTTCACGTACAGCACAGAAGTTTTATTTTTTTTCTCAAGTTAGTTGCTACAGTTAGGAATTCAGATGCTTATTTTCATAAAGAAAGCACCAATAAAACTCCAAAAATACACAGAACAATTATCTAAATAAATAGACTCCACAGGTGCAGAATTCTGAAAACCATACACATATATTTGGACACTGCTTTAAGGAATGAGCCTTTATCAAGCACCAGTTGGAGCTGACTGGAGCTGCTGGCATTTGAGGCTTGGTGGTTGTGCATGCAGCTCTCAGTGCACCAGAACCAGAGACCCTTTCTATCAAACTCATTGGCTGTAAACACCCATCCTTATGTTTTTTTTCTGAGCAGAGGAAGCTCGAAATCATTAACTCTAGTGGATCTAAAAGGAGAATGCAAAAGAAGAAAAGAACTTAAGAACATAATCCTTTGAAAATAACCTTAACAAACCTTCGAATTTCTCTCTTAGTCCTAGAATCCCCAGATCATGGTAGATTGATTTAGTTACTTAAGGTTTGATTTCAGTATTTTTTCAATATGTACCCACAAATTAAATTATCAATAGGAGTAAATATATGCTAGTTATGCTGATATCTGTTAGCTTATTGGCTTTTTTTTTTTTTTTTTTTTCAAAACTATATAATTTTGATCCTAAAAAGGGATTCAAGGATGCTAATGCTGCTTGTGAACTCTGTGGGAGTACAGGAATTCACCATTTGCTTCGGCACCCTGCTGGCACTTTGGCTTGTAGGAAAAGAGTATTGCCTAGCATGTCTGAGGGCTTTTCTGTCTCTGACAGATTTGGTCATTTTTTTGTTGTTGTTGTGTTTTTATTTTTTTTTCCTGGCGGGGAGAAGCAAAGCACTAACATCTGCTGTCTTCTGACAGAGAGTAACAAGGCCATTGCAGAACTGCAGGGGACAGTTTCCCTTCAGTTTGGAAAGGAGTTGTGGACTTGTGCTGTTCCTCAAGTACCTGTCTGTGAGTGTGTATGTGTGTGTGGTGTTTACATGTAAACGTGTGCAGAATGTGACTCTTTCTAATTTACTGAATCTAATGAAAAGGGCATATGGCATTGCATTAGACTGTAGCTCAGGAAGAGCTGCGGGTGCTGGGGTTTTGGGAGTATAATCAGTCTCTTTTATTCAGTAGAAGATGTTTGCCTGCATGAGCAGACTTCCAAGAAGAAACTGGCACTGGTTTATTGGTATTTGTAGGCTTAAAAAGCAAACTCACTTCATTAGGCAAAGGCTCCCACAGTGTGTATTTTGGATCTCTGTTTTGTCAATTGAATAGATTGGTTGTAAACATTCCTGTTGAATATTTTCCTCTTTCCCTTTTTCCCATATGAAGTAATGCAACTGGTAGCTATTCACAGCGGCAGTTGTCTCATAGCTTCAGGAGCGTTTCAACCATAAGTGGACAGAGTAGAGATGGGTGCATAGAGGATCAGGTCCTGGTTAAATATTCTGTTCGTGCAATGCTTGCAACGCAATTTATTCCAAAGAAAGAGGAAAACAAGCAAACAGACCCCACAAACACTTGCAGACTGCCATCATAGTTGAGTATGTCTTTAACTGTTCTAATTGACGTTTTTAATCAGATTGGAAGCAAAACTCCATTGGATATAGTGAGTAATTGAAAAACAATTGCATGTTGTATATTTGGTTTTTATTTAAACTTCTTACTATTTTGCAAGTGCTTGTATTCACTCTTATAGAGCCTGAAGAAGAAAGAATCACTATTCCTAACTGGCATGCCATGTACTTCAAGCAATTGCATGCATGCTGCTTTGGTTTGAGTAGATTACCTCACTGTTGTTGCTTACAGGCTCAAGCTTTGCTGGAAGTCTGTTGCTTTTCCACAGTCTTAGTAGCTATGAGTCAAGTGCACGTACTGAGTGGCATGACACTTTTCTGGATGTTAAAGTAGCTTTGCTTTTGGTAATGTGAAATGGAACCAACGTTGTCTGTTTTCTGGAACTGTGTGACCACTTTCAAAGTGATTTAAAGAAGGAACTTGAATTAAACATCTTTATGTGAGTCTGACTTTAAAACGCACTTGTGTGTATTTCACAATAGAGACATAAATGAGAAGAAAATAGCAAAACATACATTTGAAAAGCACGTTTTCAAAATTGACTGCTAATATATTTAACCAAAGCTCAAATTTTTCAGCTACAGAGGATTTTTTTATATATATTTTTTAAGGAATAACTTGTCTGAACAAAAGCTTTCCTTATACATTTTACAGAAATGTATATAATTTTGCAAAACTTTCACTGGGGAAGGGGGTCCTAAACCAAAGTATGAGGCTTTAGAGAACCTCTGAGGTAAAATCAATTTCTGTTCAGAAAAAAACACGACATACGTGATTCAGGTGTGGAATTTCTACATCTCGGTAAGCGACGTGTTGGCTGGTACTGGATAGCATCTCCCACTCTTGTTTGGAGCTGTCCTGTTTCATACAAATATTTGCTGGGTGAGAATCTACGGTGTGGCATTGACACAGCACTCACATGACTTAATATGAGGTGATTTAGTATTAAGTGGAAGAGCTGCAATGAAAGATTAGGCTCTGGAGGTCTGCTTTAATTTTGTGGTTTAAATATACTTCAAGGCTTGAACTTTGTTTCCCTAAATGCCAGGTAAGTTCTGTCTGCGTGGTGGTGATTGTTCTGGTAAGGTACTGGTTATGTAAGCGTTGTGCTGAAAAAGAGGCATGCAATGACTAATGAATTTCTTCAGACTCAGTCTAGTTAAACACTTGCCAAACTTCTATGTACTTATGTTAACTTCACCCATAATCTGTGCACATGAGCAAAATTGATGTAAACACTGGTTGGTCGGATTTTGAATGTCTGATTTCTGGAAAAACGTACCAGGCTATGTTACGGAAGTATATTGGCTTTAATTTGATCAAGTTAAAATAATTGGACCATTTATCTTTACAGATATGGAGAGAGCTTTTAGAGTTGCTTGTCTCCCATGAAGATATGGTTGTACCATTTCGCCTTTGAATTACACAATCAAAAAAAATCTGAGATTTAAAAATGTGCTTCCCCGGTATAAAATGGTATAGAGGTTAATTTTAATACTGTTTTCTATTTAATTGGAAACAATTGATGACAGTCTTTGATCTTGAGCTTGGTACTTGCTGGAAAAAAAATCTTCATTCAAAAGAAGCTGCTGCTGTTTTCCCTGGGTACAGACAGTTATCTATTGCAATTGATCAGGAAAGATAAGATTCAAAATGACATCCTAGAGAATATATTTCTATTCAGTTTGGAAAGTGACATTAAAAGCTGTTACTAATTGATGTTTTGCCATTTTACGGTTAGTATCAGTAGCACCTAAATATGGTGCTCTGAAGTTAGTTAGCAGTGCTGGAGTTCTATGTGCTGGAATGTAGAAGTAGCCATACAAAAATGGTAAAACCCTCTGTGCAAAGTCACTTTAATGTCAGTGATGGTTAGATCAAACCTTTGACATAACTACCAGTGGTGCACATAGATGGTTGTGCCTGGAGGTGAAGGTGCATGGTGCTTTGTGCAGGATCACATTCTCTTTCTTTTTAGGGTTTAAAATAGCACCCATCATTACAGTTTGAAGTAGTTTCTGACATCTTCCTTTTAAAAATGTAGTTTAAACTTTTTATGCATTATGAAAGTATTATCTCCTTTTCTGCCTAATTCCAATTCGAAATTACAGAGGTGTTCCGTGAAGCTATTTTTTCCAAACAGAGATGAACTTCAGAATATATTATAGTCTATAAGGACAATTATGTAAACTATCCTGCGTCAGTAACTGGCAACTTTAAGTAAAAAAAAATAAAAAAGAAAAATAGAGGAAGCAAAAAACCCTATACCATATTCTCCCCTATAATCCTTTATTATAACCACAAAGTAAAATCAAGCAGTAAATCCTCTTATGTCTGTAAATGTCCTTACTGTACAAATAAAATAAATTTGTGAGAACTAAATGTCATTAATCTTCACACGGAGCTGGGGGAGAGAAGACAGTTGATAATAGCAGTCTTGTAGTGCTCTTAGCTTGTAACAATAGAACTGAATAATTGACATGTTTTATCTTGCTTTGCCTGCATCTCACTCCCAAAGCATCAAGTTCCTGAATGTGAAGAAGACTTCCCAATATATGCATGCAGCATTAAATAGTGCTGTTACGGGAAGTGCCGGGGTAGTACTGGGAATTTCCACAGGGCAAAAAAAGAGTAAGGGTATCCTTACCTTTTAAAAAGTTAGAACCTAACCAGAGGACAGTGCCCACCACTTTGGGTTGCAGCATCTGAACAATTCTGCCAGTGCTGACATCTGCTTAAAATCTACAGACAATTAAGACGTAGAAATGTAATCAGCTAAAGGGCATAATCTCAGTGGCACAAGAAATGAGACATGAGATGTGCTGGACTTTCTCCAGTCAGCCACAACAATGACCTGATAGTAAAGCACCCGTACTTGTCGGTCTTGAGAGAAGTGCACCGGCCAACTTGCTGCAGGCAGGTATTGCACGGCAGGAGGCTCACTGGAGTTGTTCTGCAGGGTCTGGGGATTTAAAATGCCAGGACCATCAGGGAATATGGTTTTGAGTGTTAAATTCACTTTCTTTAATAACAGGTGCAACTGTGGGTAGTTTCTTACAAGCGTGCCCTAAGTTGGAAGCGTTATGAGCTGTAAGGATCACTTTATGTGCTCTTATAACAAGTATAGGAAATTTATTGTGAACGTGTTCTTGGAAACACTGGTGAAGCTGGAGGATTTGCCAGGTAACCTGCATGTGATGTGATGTGTATCCATCAGATGACTTAGCTTTAATTGTGAGCTGTGCCTGACAAGACATCTTGAAAATTATTAGTTATGTGTCCATAATAATCATGTGTTTGCCCTCCCTTATAATAGGCTGCCCAGGGAAGTGGTGGAGTCACCATCCCTGGAGGTCTTTAAAAGACGTTTAGATGTAGAGCTTAGGGATATGGTTTAGTGGATGACTGGTTAGTGTTACATCAGAGGTTGGACTCAGTGATCTTGGAGGTCTCTTCCAACCTAGATGATTCTGTGATCTTTTCTCACTCTGTCAGGCTATGTATGTGGGAGCTACGAAGTTTGCTATCAAGCTCCTGTTTGTGCTTGACTTTATGATGGAGACACTCAGCCTTGTGAATAATAAGCTCATTAAGCTTAGTCTGCATCAGTCTAAGCTGCTTTAACTCTAAGCCATCGATATGCCTTTTGTGAGGGGCTCTCCAGTCCTGCAATTTGTTCCTCTACAGCCTTAATTTTGTCAATTTTTCTTTTTCCCCTTTTTTCATCTACTTGAAAGGCAGTTATCTGTCTTGTTTCAGAGAGAGAATTATTAAGTTTTTGATCCTGGAATTTCAACAGATGATGATCAATGTAATTACAAGTGATTAAGTTAGTCTTCTGTGGTGACCTTACAGACTCAGAATAAAGGCCAGTATGGAACCGACAGGGAAACAGGCTTAGTGCTTGGCTTTGGTTGGATTTTTTTTAAAGTTTGTTTACCTACTGGAGAAAAATCTTATAAGACTTATAATTACTACCTCTTTAGCGCATGTTTGTGATAACTGAGAATTCATGACCATGTGTTCAGAGTTACTGCTTCATCCCATTTCCATCTAAAATATAAGAGAAGAACAGCGTTTTAAACTGGATGTGGTTCCATGTGAAAATACCAAAATACCAAATGTGTTTCCCTAACCTTGCCCCAAATCTACTGCAAAAATGGTGTGGGACTCTTTTTTTTTTTTTCTTCCTTAGCTGTAAAATTGTGTTAAAATTAGTATTACCTGTTAAAAAATGCACCCAGTTGCTTATGAGCAGTATTTGCATTAACACACTTTTCTTTCCTACTCCTGACACTAGGCTCAAAATATACAAATAAACAAAATTACTGCTTAAATTTCCATTTTGTCCCTCCACCTTCCCTCCCCTCCTTCCCAACCCCCCTCCCCGATGCTGATTAATGTCCTTGTTTAATGTGAGATTTGTGATACTTTGGATCAATTTATTTTTGATTTTTGTTACACCAAAAGTTTAGGTATATATGAATTCATTACATACTATCATCTTGCAGTGTAGGGTTGATAATTTCTGTGCCAACTGCAGGCTTTCATTGGTCTCTTCAGAGTTTTCCATGTTGGCATACTGTAGAATAGTCCAGATTGGCACCAAAACTCCCAGTTCCCTTTTCAGGCTTTTAGTTAATTGTTTACCCTATTATAAAAAACACTGTGAAAACCTGACTTGTAACCTTGGAAACATTACAAGTCACTTGTAGTTACCTGTCATGCTTTTCTTTGCTTTTTACAGTTTCTGGCTACTTTTTTTTTTTTTTTTTTTTTTTTTTTTGGTAAAACATTAGTTTTCAGTTACAAAGGATTTTGGAGACTAGCTGTTTGAGTACTTATCAAGTAAAATGTCTTGCACACCAGCAGTGCTACTAAAAGATGTTGAATTCCCAATATTTTGTCAATACTGTGTATCATTTGCTTTGCAACCTCAGCTAGGTAAGTTGCCAGGGTCCGTATGCTGTTGTGGCATGCGGTGTTGGTCAGAGTAAATCCATAGTCCCTCCTTATGATTGGGCAGAAGTGTTCTATTTGTAAGCCTTAAGATGCTTTGGGATCACTTTCCATGAAGAGAATCGTAAAAACATGTTGCATTTTATTAGATGTTAACTGTTTTAGGAGTTCAAGGTGTTCAAATGCATTGCGTTTTGGAAGTCTGTGATTGTAGAAGCAGGTTCTACTTTGATAAATTATAAAAATGACTGTGAAATGACTAGCAGCACAGTTATAATTGTTCCCATATAATATATGTCAGAACTATCCAGACCACCATCTATCAGAAATGGCTTGCATGTGCATTATCTGTGTATTCATGCAACATCCCTTTTTCCAGTGCAAATTGACTTACTGTACTGGGTCTGGCTGGGATGTTAATGTTCCCTGCAGCAGCCCACACAGTGCTGTGCTCTGCACTTGGAGCCAGAACAGCAGTGGGATCACCCCAGTGTTGTGTCTGCTGCTGAGCAGTGCTGGCACAGCATCGGGACTCTCTCCAACCCTCCTAGGGAGTGGGGAAGAGAAACATCCCCAGGGCAGCCTGACCTAACCCAACCAAAGGGATGTTCCGTACCATGTGGTGTCACACTCAGCAATAAAAGGTGGGAAAAGGAAGAAGAGGGGAGGGGTGGGCTCTCATTGTGAAAACGTTGGGCCTCCTCCCGAACACCGGCTGCAGTGCGTTGAGGCCCTGCTGCAAGGACGTGGTCAGGCATCGCTCATTTGTGGGAAGTAGAGAGGAATTTCTTTCCTCTGCACTTCCACACAGCCTTTACTTGTTTTGTTTCTTTCCCTTTCCCCCTCCCGTTTCCCTTTTCCTTTAGTTAGATTGTTTAGTTAATAATAATCTTTCCTCAATAATTTTTTCCCTTTAATTAAATTATCCTTATCTCAACCCGTGAGTTGTTCTTTACTTTACTTCTCCTCCTCCTCATCTAGGGAGGGGGGAGTGAGAGCGGTTGTGGTGTTCAGCTGCCCAGCACGGTACCACCACCACAGGGCTCTACTCCACAAATTCTTCCTTTTGCCTGTTCTGTTGTCACGCAAGCAGTCTCTATGATTTCAGGGAAACTCATTAATCAGGATGAGGATGTTCATGACAAGCTTTCAAATTAGTTTTATAACTTGATCCCACAGGGAAAACAGACTTGAGAATACATAAAGGAAGTGCTGTGAGGTATTTATTTCTACACTGTCCTTCAATATTCAACGCAGACGTCTGTGGAAAAATAAGTTTCTTTGTCTACTGATTTATAGTTCATAAGACCTTATCCTAAGTTTTGCAAAGATGTTTTAAGACTTTTTTTCCCCCCATTTTCAGCTTCTGGAAAAAACCAACAATATGTTTGAGGAATCAGATTCTGCAGCTACGAAAAGTCCTTTGCATTTAGCTGTAAGTATGAGACGTGTAACATGTTTGATCATCATCTCCTAGAATAACTCCTTAACCTCTGTCTTTGAAGCAGATTTAATCATAGACTTGATATTGAAACAGCTGGAAAGAGATGTGTAGGCCTACGTGTAACAAAACCAGGTTCTGGGCGGGAATTGTTAATTAAGTTTCTGGCAGTTGAGGCTCTTTGCTTTTATTGACTGTAATACTCAGGTAGACTGTAGAAGAAGAAACAAACTGTAAAGAAATTAAATGGCAAGTCACAACTTTTCTTTATAACTAGTTCATAAATTTGAAACTGGAGCTTGAGCCCATGGCTTTGACAATGGAATGGGTTGCTCTTGATAATCTCTTGGAGAGATGCAGAGTGTAAAAACTGGTGCACAGCCAGGTGTGATAACACATGCTTAAACCCCAGAAGTGCCCTGGGAGTATGCAGTAGTCACTGTGCTGACAAAAGGGGATCCAGCACCTGTGGCTCAGAGATCACAATAGCTTCCTTTTCCCAAGAGCCTAAGATTCAAGATTCATCAGCCCTCTTCCCAGAGTCTTCTTGCACAGAATCACAGAATAGTGTAGGTCAGCTGGGACCTCTGGAAATCATCTACTCCGTGATCAGAGCAGGTTCAGTTAGAGGTGGTTTTCTCAAGGGCTGTGCCCCATTACATTTTGAAAATCTCCAAGCACAAACAGTTCATGGCTTCTGCTGGCGATCTATTTCAGTGCTTGACCATCCCCATGACAAAAACGTTTTTTCTTGCATTTAAATGGTATTTTCAGTGTTTAAATTTGTGCCCATTGCCTCTTGTCCTGTCGCTGGGCACCACTGAGAAGAATTTGTTTCTTTTTGAACCTTTCTGAACCTTTTCTTTTTGAAGCGGAACAGTCCCACCTCTCTCAGCCTGTCCTCACATGTCTTACACAAACTGGCACTTCACTGAATATCCAGCCTCACCATGAAGCTGCTGTGTAGAAAACAGGATCAAATTTTAGTTCTATAGTGATCATATCTCTGTTTCCCAGTCAGTCATAACAGCTCCAACCTGGCATTTGAATTATCCACACATAATCTGAGGGAACTAGACCTGGAACAGTTTGGTTAAAAGGACCAAGTTTGCCACTGAACAATTCTCACCCTCAGTTCTTTTCCTCTGCAATTTGACTACTTTGGGAAGAAAATTGTCCCAAGATAAAGTAGGGGTTACAACCTGTACTGTCATCAACACAAATTCCTGTGCAGGGAAAAGACTTGACCTGCAGCTGGCCAGACAGCAAGCTCATTTCCTCTCCAGTCTTTCTTGGAAAGAATCCTTGCAAGGAAACTGCCAGTGTCTCTGCCTGTTGTATTGGTTGCTGTTTAACAGTAGTCCATTCACCCAAGATGCCCCCAAAACACAATAAATTAAAAAAAAAAAAAAAAAAAAAAGCTTACATAGAACATTACAATTTCTCACACTTTAACTGCCCGTAGCCAGAAGTATCTTTGACATTTGTTTCAAGGCCTCCCATTTATTGGGGTGCCTGTGGCTATCCTTCCACGAATATATCAGTGTCTCTGAATGTCTCTACCCAGGTGGTCCAGAAAGCTGTACCAAAACACAGAGACCTGTTAAACAGCTGATATGGAGCAGTGGCCATGGCCTCTGCTTCCAGATATTTGACAATAGAATAGAAATAGTTAAGAATTAGAAACAAAGGGGTGAACTAGCAGCTAATGAAATACTGATCTGCCATTCTCTGAGGCTATAGTGCCTGGTTAGGGTCATGGATAAGTAAGAGACTGTCAGGCAAACCAAAAGGAAAAAAAACAAAGAAATCAACTTTATCCTTTCAGGGAGATGATGGGGGTTTACTGTCTGCTTGGCACCTTCAAGATAGGCACTCATATTGTGTCAAAGTTCAGGTTATAGCTGGTTGTTTTCTAAGTAAAACTGTAATAGAGAAGAAAATCTAACAACTTGCATCAGAGTGTTTTCTGGGATATGAGTTCTCTGTGCCCTCACCTTCCTCTGCTTTTTCTGCCTTTGGCTTTTTACTTTTATTAAGTAGCTTTCTTGGTCTAACAGGGAAACTACTGTTTGGTTCCTACTCTATTCTGTTCTTTTAAACTTTAGAGAATGGTCACTAGAAGCAAGCTACTACCACCAGTACTTAACCTGGAAGTTTGGTGGCTGGTTGTTAATTTTCTGTTAGTATTTCTCTTCTGTTGTCAGTAAGTGCTTCAACTCTAGTAACACTAGTTCTATGTTCATGTGTAACTAAAAGATCTTCTGTGTGAGTCTAACAGCCAGCAGAGGAGGGCAGTCCCTACAAGGTTAAATGAAATTTAGTCTGTACTGAATTGATGAATTATTGCCTGAAATTCCTCACCTTGGGTTGTATTAGAAGGTCAGAGCAAATCAATAAGCATAATTTCGCTCCATGAAAACCAGGAATTTTTGAGTGTCGTAGCTACTTGTATCATCCACAATGTAATTTGGAAAAGCCCTTTCAAGCTGAAGAGTCATAAGGAGTCAAGAAAACTATCATTTCTACTGTGTTTGGGAGACCAACAATGGCACATCTTATTCGTGTTTTATGTGAAAGTCTTTGAGAGGCGAGAGTTGTGTTCTTCACATGACTCATTTTGTATTTCTAGGCCTATAATGGTCATCACCAAGCCTTGGAGGTACTCCTCCAGTCCCTGGTAGATCTGGATATCAAGGATGAGAAGGGACGCACTGCTTTGGACCTGGCTGCATTTAAAGGGCATGCAGAGTGCGTGGAAGCTCTCATCAGCCAGGGTGCTTCGGTCACTGTAAAAGACAACGTCACCAAAAGGACCCCACTGCACGCTTCAGGTGAGTGTGCACTTATGCTACACTTGTGGTACGAACCCTGTAACAACCATATGTTGTTAACTTTACTCACCTACTATTTCCAATGCATATTTCTTCTAAGAAGAATGAGATTTTGACGTATATTGAGGACTGCTTCTTGTTTGCCGAGGCCCAGCAGTTAACTCTTCATCTGTCTTTTCCTTGTTTTTTCTCCTCTGTCCCCATGGATCAGTCCTCCTTCACAGAATACCATATTTTTCTATACCACTACTGCTCAGTCCTTACCTGCTTACCTCTGCTTTTCCATACCTCTCTGTTACCACCTACTCTTTATGATGTATGATGTTTCCTCTACAACACCTTCACTTAATGGTTCTTCAGCCAAAAAAAAAGCAGGGGAAGAGATAATGATTGTTTTACTGCTTCTCCTAAGGAAGAAAGGTTGAAAATACAGGTAGGCTTCTGGTGGCAATTAAATTGTTGTGTTTTCAAAACCTTCAGCCTTTCACATTGGCAGCTCTGCAGAAATTGACCCTCTTTTAGATGTTATTCTCCTAAACCAGCTTGTGAATTTGCTGTTGCTAGGAGTTGCTCCATTCACCACGTGTTGAGTACTACACATTGCATAATAACTGGAAACTGAAAATGTAGAATTTGCCATTTATTTAAAGGTTATTATTTAATATGTACCTGTTGGTTAAATACACAGCAGCACCAAAGGGAATATTGCTCCTCTGACTGTTGAGGAACTCTGTACAACATAGTAGTGACCTCTAGTGGGAAGTAAAATTAATAATTTATTGGACTTTTTTTTTTTTTTTAGTTAACAACGTTAATTGTCTTTCTGTGTATTTTTTCATCTTGCTTAGAATAAAATGCATGCACATATATATACCATCTCCTTCTGTGATCACGTTTGTGCAGCCTGGAAGCATGAAGTCAAATTGACCTATATTGATTTTGCCTGCAGTATTGAAGAGACTTCTGCAATAAGTCTTCATAGCATACTAAAAAATGTCTTCTGCCACCATAGACTTTGCATAAAACCAAGTGCATTGCTACCCATAATAAAGTAATAATATAGAAATGTTGTGCCACACTGCACAAATCAGAAGTTTGAGACCAGAATTCAGTGGGGGGGGTGGAGGGGTTCATTTGTTTGCAATAAAACCACAAAATATTAAATCCAGATGATCCCACCCTATTAAAACTGTTGCTTTAATTAATTTAAGTCAAGATCAGTGCTGCCACAGAAGTGCAGTTGCATTGGTCAAGAACTTTTCTATAGCCACTTCAAACCTAGCTGGGGGTCTCATGAACAAGCTGTGACTTTGTCTGGCATGTCATCGCTGCTAGCAATGATTTTGCATTTATTTAAAATTTTGGTTATAGTTGCATAGATTTCTTGTCCCAGCTGAACTTCGGGTATTCTGCATTACTGAAAAAGCTAAATGCTTACAAAGCCATATTCTTGTTAGCAGCTCCCACTCAAAATATGGATTTGTTGACCAGATTTGTTAAATAGAGTTGAGTAGGTTTGTTGAATAGAGGGTTATTTTAAGTAGACACGTTTCTTACCTTCATACAAATTCAGATTGTGTTTTTATTTCTATTTTAGTTCATTTTTTAAATTGCCCTCATCACTGAAGTGTGAGTGCCTTCCATGTAGAACCAGCAGGAAGATCAATTGTAGACTTCTCTAGTCTGTGACTTTGTTGTTTCACAAAATTAAAAAAAATAATAAAAATTTCAGGGATTCGAGCAGAATTTTCTTCAAATCTTCAGTAAAACAAATAAGCTAAATTTATATATATAAAAAAAAAGAGAGAGAGAAAAGGCAAGAAGCAGGAAAACCCTACCCATAGCAATAATAAAGAAATGGAGAACATGTACCCTAAGCAGAAAGGAAAATACTACACAGAAAAATTGAGTATTTGAAGTCTTAGAAAATAACGTTTATCGCTGTCATGAATTTGGAGGCTTTTGAATGCAAAGTAAGAATGCCAAATAATGAAAATTTTGGGTAAATATCCAATCAGACACTGTTTACGACCTTGCACTCAACAGCTGTGCAGAATTCTGTGGAAATCCTGAAGTAGTAAAGCTTCCATCTCCAGCTATTACAAAAAGCTACTTGAAGTCTGATGATTTTTGTTATGCTGTTTCGTAACATTTTGTTTAGGGGTGTTTTAGCAAGGAATGATGCCACCTATCGGAAACCCTGCATGGTTCCACTGCACTATTCAACATCTTTTATTTGCAATGCAAGCGTGAGAGGAAATCTGGCATATTTTGAGAAATCTAACAGAATTCTTTGTGAATTAATCCTTTGAGTGACAGGATGCATTTGCATGCATAAAAGTGAATGCTTGCATGCATTTACTGTTCAGTGGAACAAACAAGAAGGCGTGTGTGCCCATCCCCTTAAACGTGTGTGCCTTCATTCCTGCTGATTGCACAAGCAGAATTGCTGAGCAGAGCAGTTAAGGAGACTTGAACTGGTGGATTGGATTACAGGATTCTGCAGAGCTCTGTTCACCAAAGGGATTTGTAACTTTAGTAGAGAAGTAATTCACCTAATGAAGTATTCTTATTTATCTATCTATTTATTTATTTATTTTTTGTCTGTTCCCCTCAGGGAACAGGCTTTCTTTGACCTCAGAACATGGAGAATTTCCTTAGCCTAAATTGTATGTTCCCTATATAATTTTATTACCACCAATCTTTCCTCTGTCTGGCTTGGGGAATCCATTGGAAATGTTTCCCTAGAGTAGCATTGTAGCTCTGTTGGCAAAGCTCATATTCCCTGCAGGGTCTGTAATGTTTAGCAGTCACTGTGTCCGCTCTGAATACTTTCTGGGAGCATCTATTCTAAAACTGATTTACCAGAATCCTCTTCAGACATCAGTGTGAACAAGCTAGGATTTCTCTTCCTTCTGCTCGCAGAAAGAACTTTTTTTTTTTCTTTTTTCCCCACAAGTCATTGACTCATCAGCCCTGCAGAAGTGTTTACATGTTATATATATGTCATTATCTAGTGGTAAATAACTAAAAGCATCTTTTATTTTTTCTGGGTAGAGCAACTGAGATTATTCTTGGATGAGTGACTTAAATGTGATGATGTGCACCCATTTCTCTGCCAGGATGATGTGACACAGGTGGTGCCCAAGGTTTCTGCCTCAGCCCACAGGGTGTGGGCAGTGTGAATGCATGACTTGCTGTAATAAAAACACAATCTCTATCTACTGAGTATAGGGATTTGGTTTTTATTTATTTTTTTAAGTATGAAATTTCTGTTCCTCCTGTGAGTGAAGCCTTTAAGCCAGCTGACACACAGATTGGTTTCCAGCATCTGGTCCTGCCAGGATTGACTTGGAGACTAGAGAGATCTTGGTCAATGCCCAGGGGACTGGGAGGACATGACTGACGGGCTTGAGTAGGAACAAGCATTTCCTGAGAAGTTTGAGTCTGAGAGAACAAGTGGAGATGCAGTACCTGCTGGCTGCGATGTAGAGGCTGTGATGGCGCTCTCCTCGTGGCTTCCCCACCGCCTGCTGTGGGGCTCAGCACAGCTGAGTCAGCCTGGAGGTTGCTGGAGTGCAAAATGTCAAAGTAACGTGGTGCTTCCTGGAATACAAAATGAGTAATATTGGTCTTTCTTTGCAGATGTTTCTTTTTTCATAACAGCACTGAAGAATTTGCTTGTACAGCCCATGTAATATTAACGAGCTTTGCTGCTGTACTGCTTAATGCATTCCAACAGTGATCATAGAAAACCTTGTCTGCCTGCTTGCTCTGAGGGATTTTGAAATGCTGACCCGTTTAGCAAAGATCTTTTCAGTAGTGAAAATCACAATTTCTGTTTTACCCATTTGGGATTTTTGAATTAAAGAAAAATAATCCTTGTTTTACTGAAGTCAGGGAAAAAAGAGCTCATATTTCATTGTCAGAAGCAAATTGAAAATTTTAGGAATACGAATTTATTATACTGCGAAGTATTTTAATTATTTATCAAGAAATTTCTTATCCATGAATATTATAATGGAAAAGTATCTGAAATTAAGCCTATTTTAACTTAACACACTTTTTTTTTCTTCATAGTTATTAATGGTCATACACCCTGTTTACGGTTGTTGCTAGAAGTTGCAGACAACCCTGATGTGACAGACGCCAAAGGACAGTAAGTTTTCTTTGTGATGGTTTTCTTTCAGTTCTGTGATTCAAATAACATCTCAGATTTCATACAGAAAAAGCATTTATTTGCAATACTGTACTTCCTGTACTACTTTTAGAATTTGGCAGAAACTATAAAGTATACATTCTAAGCCATGTGGAAAAGATTATTCATTAATCTTAGCCCCTGCTTCATACTTCAAACAATTCTTCATAGATGCTTAAAGCCAGATTCAACATAAACTAACGAGCTTCTGAGATGTTTCTATAGACTTTTACTTTCTAAAATGCTGATATTTCAGGGCTTACTTGGTATACTAAGCTGGCGAAGTGAGACTGATAATTTGAGGTGAGCCCTAAATCTGAGATGTTCCTACAGAAGTTTTATGTCGTATTAAATGGTAGCTATAGAGGCAGTATAAAGTATGCTTTAGAAGCTGAAAGCATGAATGCTTAAAAAAAATATTTGGGGTACCTGGAAGATATCTGGCAATCCATACAACTTTGAATGGTATTAGTCTTATCTAAGAATAGAAGAATAGATTGCTTTCAGGAAAAAAAAAATATATATGTTAGTCCAAATGTTGGCTTTAATAGAGTTTCCTCATGTTCATGACTCCACTTTAAACAATTGTGCAGCATTTTCAAAACAAATGCTTTGAGTTGTTGTCATCTTGGTAACTATTGGGCATTCATTCACAACAGTTGGGTACTCTAAAGTTCACGTGTTGCTGGAGGTGACAATAATTGTAGGTTGTTAAGAGAACAGATTGTCCCGAATGATGCTTTGTAAACTGCTTGCAAATGAATCATACTAGTTGGCTGATAATATTTTAAGAATAATTTCATACAAAATATTTTCACCTGGATATTATATAGAAGAGTAGAGTGAAAGGAATAAATTTCTGAGTAGGAATGGAGAGAAATGCAGGGCTTCCTGACTTCCCTAGTCCAGTAAGTTAGCAGTGCCAAGTAGCATGTCATTTTATAGCTGTGACTGTTTTGTTTGTTTTTCTTCTAGAACCCCCCTAATGCTTGCAGTGGCATATGGGCACATTGATGCTGTTTCCTTATTACTTGAAAAAGAAGCATCTGTAGATGCAGCTGATCTCGTGGGATGCACAGCTTTACATCGAGGGGTGACTTAGTTTTATTCTAATTATTTGTTTTACTGTGAATACAATTCATTTATAAATACAGGGATATTGAATATGTAGGGGATATAGTTGGTGAGTGAAAACATGACTAAAAACAGTCAATGAGGTAAAAATCAGGACAAATCTGCTCCGCTTTTGACTTTATCTCACATTCAATTTAATTAGACAAATTATTGATTAGATAGATTTTTCTCTTGGCTCTAGACACTCTACTATAGCAATCATTATTGTTATAAGTACTTTATGAATTTTGAAAATAATTTATTTAAAAGAACTGCCCAGCAGTTGCTATCCTTTTTCTTGGGGAGGATGTTGTAAGTAAGTAAGCCTTAAGTATTGGGCTCATGAGTATTGAGTATGTAACTATTGGGCTTCGACCCATGGGATCGAAGGAGCTTTCATCTCTGTCATCTGAATCCCAGTCAGGCTGTTTCATGTTCACAGGCATCAATCATAGCACATGTTTCCTGGGCATGAGTCTATGTTTATATCAACCTCTTTACTCATTTCTTTGTTATCAGATTATGACTGGGCATGAAGAGTGTGTTCAGATGCTGTTAGAGAAAGACGTATCTATTTTATGTAAAGATGCCAGAGGCAGAACACCTCTGCATTTTGCAGCAGCTCGGGGTCATGCCACTTGGCTGAGTGAATTACTGCAGGTAGCACTTTCAGAAGAAGACTGCAGTTTAAAAGATAATCAAGGTTATACACCGCTGCACTGGGCTTGTTACAATGGTAAGTTTGTCCCTGTGGATTTTTACCAAATTCAAATGCGGCCTCAGTTTTAGGAAAGCATGGTGACAAAGTTTAACCCTTTGAGAAACTTAAAATGAAGAGTCAAATTATTTTCCCTCTTCCGTACTGTCTGTAGTTTGCATTTTCTGTGTTTACACTTCAGTTCAAAATCCAGGGAAATTCCAGCAATAGCTCTCAATGGCTTTGCAACTTATAGAGAAATATCTCAGTCATTGCTCCCATCACAGAAGGCCAGGGTGAAATTCTGGATTTCCTGAAGTAAATGATGAAATTTGCATTGATTAATATGGGGCCAGAAATGCTTCTCTGAGGTGTCACCTTCTTATTTATTAAAGCAAGAAGTGACATGATTAGATGTATGGCCTGAACTGATCATGTTTCTTGCTTAATAAAAGGATAAAACCTCCTAGTACCGTCGTTCAAGACCATCTTTGGAGATGTGTGAGGCCATGTATGTAATATCACTTAAAAAGGAGACTATTTTTCCTTTCCTTTTATTTTGAGAAGGGTTAATATCAGCCTGGATCTACTATGTTGCTGAGATATATATATATATATGTGTGTGTGTGTGTGTGTGTATATATATAAAGTAAAATAATTTTTGTTTATTATTGTAGCACACAAAAGTTTCTGTACACAATGTGTTCAATCTTAAATCTAAAGTGTTAAATTATAATCCTTATAAACCTAGTATTCAATGAGTGAATTACTTGCTTTGTGTAACACTGCAAACTGTCTGATTTCTTATAGGTCATGAAAATTGCATAGAGGTACTATTGGAACAAAAACTTTTCCGCAAATTCCATGGTAATAGCTTCTCTCCGTTGCACTGTGCCGTGTAAGTAGAAATGTCCAGTAACAAATGCAGATATGTTGCTTTAGGACATATCTGGAAAAAGTAGCAGCATGAGAAGAAAACAATTTTTATTTGAGATTATTTGCACAAGCAAATAATTTTAAAGCTGGTCATAGAACTGTGCTTATCTTAAGTTCTCTTATTCCTTATGAACAACAAAAAGTTGGTGGCTATTATGAGTTTCTAATCTTCTTCCATTCACGTATCTTAGACACATTCTTTATTCAAATAAAGCAGTGCATTTTCATACAAGAAGGATTTTAATATGGCAAAAGTCATAACTTTTCATTACATAATTGCAAATGTATTTTTACAAAAAATGCAAGATTACTTTGATATGTACGACCTAACATGCTTATCAGAACATATAAACCATCAGAAGAGTAAGGAATTAAGCACTGTAAAAACAAATGCAAACCTTTCTAACTCTTACCAACAATCAGAATGGCAGAATTATGAATTCTGTCTTCTATTGGAAGAATTGATGTATTCCAGAATTAATGATAGGAGTTACTATTCTGTAGGCTTTCTTTCTACACTTGACGTCATTGGAAAGTAGAGAAGTAATTTATTATATATCAAACCTTGTAATTATCAAAAACAATATATTAGAGAAATAAGAATATTTATAAAGACTTTTTTTTACTCTGCTTAGATGTTAAAAATGTTAACATAAAAATGTTAAAAATGAGTGCAACTTTAAAATAAAAGAACTGTTGCTAAGACAACATGGTCTTCTAGCTATATTAGAGATATAATATATGGCTAATACTGTTACTAAACACTGTTCATAATCACAGAATCACAGAATTTCTAGGTTGGAAGAGACCTCAAGATCATCGCGTCCAACCTCTAACCTAACACTAACAGTCCCCACTAAACCATATCCCTAAGCTCTACATCTAAACGTCTTTTGAAGACTTCCAGGGATGGTGACTCCACCACCTCCCTGGGCAGCCCGTTCCAGTGCCTAACAACCCTTTCAGTAAAGAAATTCTTCCTAACATCTAACCTAAAACTCCCCTGGTGTAACTTTAGCCCATTCCCCCTCGTCCTGTCACCAGGCACATGGGAGAACAGGCCAACCCCCACCTCTCTACAGCCTCCTTTAATGTACTTATACAGAGCAATAAGGTCACCCCTGAGCCTCCTCTTCTCTAGGCTGAACAAGCCCAGCTCCTTCAGCCGCTCCTCATAGGACTTGCTCTCCAGGCCCCTCACCAGCTTCGTCGCCCTTCTTTGGACCCGCTCAAGCACCTCGATGTCCTTCTTGTAGCGAGGGGCCCAAAACTGAACACAGTACTCGAGGTGCGGCCTCACCAGAGCCGAGTACAGGGGGACGATCACCTCCCTAGCCCTGCTGGTCACAGTGTTTCTGATACAAGCCAGGATGCCGTTGGCCTTCTTGGCCACCTGAGCACACTGCTGGCTCATATTCAGCCGACTGTCCACCATCACTCCCAGGTCCTTCTCTGCCTGGCAGCTCTCCAACCATTCCTCTCCCAGCCTGTAGCTCTGCTTGGGGTTATTGCGCCCCAGGTGCAGGACCCGGCACTTGGCCTTGTTGAACTTCATACAGTTGACCTCAGCCCATCGGTGCAGCCTATCCAGATCCTCCTGCAGAGCCTTCCTACCCTCGAGCAGATCGACACACGCACCTAGCTTGGTGTCATCTGCAAACTTACTGAGGGTGCACTCAATGCCGTCATCCAGATCATTGATGAAGATGTTAAAGAGGACCGGCCCCAGCACCGAGCCCTGGGGGACGCCACTAGTGACTGGCCTCCAACTGGACTTGGCTCCATTCACCACAACTCTTTGGGCCCGGCTATCCAGCCAGTTTCTAACCCAACGAAGCGTGCGCCAGTCCAAGCCAAGAGCAGCCAGTTTCTTGAGGAGAATGCTGAGGAGAATGCTTAATGGCATAAGACAAATTACCAGGAAGAGTACCTCCATGAAGGAACAGTATTAGAAGTGTGAGCTGGAAGATCTGAGTTTTGATACCTTAAACATTTTGATACCTTAAACATTAGCTTTCTCTTTGTAAGTGCATATGACCGAGTACTTTCCAGTGTTTGACACTTAGATTAAAGGATTTTAAGGTATTAAAGTTTTAATCCTAGGTTGGTATTATACTTTCAGTTAACCTTGTGCATAGTGAATTGCAGGATCAGCTGTACTTTAGGTGCTGAAATACATAGTAGCAGATGCAATCTTTTTACCTTTTTAAAAAATGTCTTGTCTTTTGGCAGAATCAATGATCATGAAAACTGTGCATCACTGCTTATTGGAGCCATCGATGCCAACATTGTCAATTGCAAAGATGACAAAGGAAGGTAATAGCTTCTTAAAGTGCCTTTCATCATTGTGAATCCATCTCATATTTTTCATAATTCTGTCTGAACCTCTGTAACTAATCTCTATCATATGTAGCTGAGCCAAAACTTGTCATGCTGACTCTGTCAGATAGCAGCTTACACTGCAACAAACTTAACTGGTGGCTGACTTTGAAGTAGGAATACTATAAAGTATTCAATTTGGCTGTCAAAAAAAAAGTAGTGTTTTGTTTGTTTAAAAAACTTACTGATCCAGGCTGTTCCTCTGAATCTGTTTCCTTTCTGTTAAACATATAAACACATTTATTTGCTAAATGGTGTGATACTGTGTACAAATAGGAAAGTATTTCATTAAAAGTTATGTTATTATTCTCAGAGCAAATGATCGAAAACTTCTGTACAGCAAAGTAATTCATACTGGTACAGCAAGAGATATTCATTCAGTCAAATCTTCAGTCACATTGATAATCTCACTGCATGTATATACGTGCTTAAGATTGCTAAAATTCTAAAAATATAATACTTATTGTTTCTCTTAATTAAAACAAATAAAAAACCTCCAGTAATTGTGATTACTTACTCCTGTAAGGGTGAGAGCACCTCTTCCTTACTAATAAGCAAAAACTGAAGTAACACAATTACATACGACATGGGTTACATACCAACTGTCCTTCATCTCAGTTAGTTGTACTTCAGACCCAAAAGGCCACAGGGAGACAGGACAACTTCTAGTGTCTTTCAGTCTTGTGGAAACTGATAATTTTCAAAGTGAACAGAATTCTTCCTGCCTTTCATAGTAATGCTGTTGTCATAGCCAGTTGATGTAGTATCTTTGAGTATTGCTTGAAATACTTCGGTTTATTTAAGTAATGAATCTGTTCTTTTCTCATAGTTTTCCCATTTCAAGTATGTTTAAGAAAAATAAAAATCACATGAACAGGGATTGTACTGGTTTCCATTTTACAGAGTACATTCCATTAAAATAAATATGCTGCTAGTACAAGATTCTACACAACACCATATCCACCCTCTGATGCTCTTTTTTTAAAGTTTATGTTGCACCAGGACAGAGACTGTAAATATTGTTTGTTTAATTTTGGATGTTGCTACTATGGCTTTCCTCTTGTGATAACTTTTAACTTTCATGGAAAAAACATACAAACCATCTTGTGCTTTCAGGTTCTTGAGAAAGCAAGTAAATAGGAATATTGTAATTATTCAGCAACTGCTGTGGTCGTGTTAATTTTCCCCACAGAACGCCCCTTCACGCAGCAGCCTTTGCGGATCATGTGGAATGCCTCCAGCTCCTCCTGAGTCACAGCGCCCAAGTGAATGCTGCGGATCATGCAGGGAAAACACCTCTCATGATGGCAGCTCAAAACGGTCACATAGGTGCTGTAGGTGAGTAAATCCTTGCCACTTTTGAGTGCAACTGCAGTTGCTGATGCCAAATAAGTGATCATGTTTTCCTGGGAAAACAAAGGAAGACAAATAAATTTTGTGCATGCCTGTAAGAAGCTACCTTTACATCTTTAATTTTTGTTTCCTTCTCAGTCATTGTTTCTTAGCAGTCTTTGTGACTCCTTGGAATAACAAACTCGAGTCTTATTTCCTCCAAAGAATGCATTGTAAAGAGCATGACGGGAATAGTATTTATTTTCTCTATTACTTCCTGTTTTTATGGGGCAGTAAAACTGCCTGTGTAAAGAAGTTTTAAGGGTAACCTCTTTTTCTGTTACATTATAGGAAATACTACTCTTGAAATGGCAGCTATCCACAGTTGTTTTGTTCCAGGCTAGACTACATGATACAGACATACGGATTACAGATATATTGACTTAACAAAACTCCCTTTTCTTTAGTTTTGACAGCACAGACTGCACCCTGAATTCATTATATCCACTTAGTCCTCTCAGAGCAGGAATCAGAGTTGTTCTCAGGAGGTGATTTAGGCAGAATTTGCTAAACTGCAAATGGAGAAGTTGATACATAGATTAATCTATGTTCAACAGTTTGAAGCAAAATGAATGAGGTATTAGCTCTCTGTTTGGCTGCTGATTAACTATACAAGATTAGTCTGTTCTCATTATTTTCACTTCATGCTTGTAAAGTTTGCATTGCATCAAGGCTTAATTGGTTAGCATATATGCACATATATTGAAATAGATTTTTTTTTCCCCTCTGTTTTTACATATTTGTCTGCCCATCGGATTTGTGCATTGATTTCTACTAAACTTCAGACTTCTTGGTGAACATTGCTAAGGCAGACCTGACATTAAAAGATAAGGACTTGAATACATCTTTGCACTTGGCTAGCAGTAAAGTAAGTTGCAGATAACTGTGTGCTTCTATAATCTTCACTGTCTGTGTGTATGTTTGTGTTTGTTACAGCTCCAACAAATATGTCTGCAACAGAGATGTGATGGTCAGACATGTAGTGAGAACAGTGTACCAAGTTTTTTTTCATGTCTATTTCAAGGTTTAGTAAATTGAGAAATAAGGATGACAGCTGAAATAATATTTATTATTCTCCAAATTATGTGGAAGGAACGCCAAATTTTATCTTGCACTCTATAGCAGTAAAAGTAGGGGTATTGATTAGATTGGTGGTGGTGGGTTTCCCAACTTTTTTCCCCATTAATTCCAATTGTTGTTGCCTGTTTTTGAAAAAAAAAATTAAAAAAAAAAAGTCCATGGGATTCCCTCTTCTGGGACTTTTCTTTTACTCCTGTTCCCAGATAGGATTCCAGATAGAAACTCCAGTTTCCGTAGACACAAGAGCCTCACTGAATTCTCAAGGTCCTTCAGGCAGCTGTTCACCTGACAGGGCTGTAGACTCACTGTGTTGAAACAGTATGAGAAATAAGGCTCTGATCTGTATTATTTCCAAAGTTTCATTTTCACATGTCTCTGATGTTGAAGGGCTTTTGTAGTAGTTTATTAATAATACAGAAGGCATTTAAAGACCTAGGAAATACAGTATTCATTTTTAAGATTAAGCCCTCTCATTCTCTGTTATTGTGTAGTCCTTGTAAGTCATCAGTTGAATGCACTCTCAAAAGAAATGTCAGTCTTCCCTGAAAGCTGAGAAGGTGAATTCATATATGAATGGAGGGCTGAAACACAGGCGAATGTCTAAACTTGTAAATGTGCTAAAGCATCCTAGTATTGACAGTTTGTTAATGGTGTTTTAAGGTTTTTACAGTTCACTCATTACAGTTCCTTAGAAACTGAGTAGCATATTCCATATTTTAAATTTATTTTTTACATTTTGCTGTTATATGTAACATTTCTTTTGCCTCAGTTTTACATTCCTTGGCAAATTAATACAGTTTTTTGTTTTCAACTACAGGGTCATGAAAAATGTGCCTTGTTAATACTTGACAAGATACAAGAACAGAGCCTTATTAATGCAAAAAATAATGCATTGCAGACGTAAGTATAACCTGATCTTCTCAAATTCAGTTGATTTACCCAGAGATTCTGATTTAGCTCATCAAGTTCACATCCTGGATTTTTTCACAGAAAAAGGAAGTTACATTTCTGATTTTTTTTTTTTTAAGCACTTGCCCTTGAAAACACTAGATTTATATTGCATTTTCGCTTTTAATTTGACTTTGATTCTAATTCTATGTGTGGTTTGTTGGAAAAATAATATGAGGTCATTTATTTGAAGACTATATCAAAATGTCTTTCAATCATGTGAATGTATACCGGCATTTCCTACCTTTTCAAGCTTCACTTTAAATATAAATAATTTATTTAGATTAAGGTACTACATTTAATTTTAAAGTTTTTGGAGCTCAAAGTTTATGTACAACTCCCTTCCATGGCGCTCATTATCCGCAGGATTGTAACCATCAATATTCTTACTCCAGCTGCAAAAGATTGAACCACAGGTTCAGGCTGTAGATCTAGAGCTTGCAGATGAATCCATTCCACCTAAGCCCTTTTTCCCCTCTTCAATGTGAAATTGTTTCTCCTGTTCCATTAGTAAACAGGAGGATGGTGTACTACGAAGGGGGCAAAACTGCAGGAAAAGAAATTATCAATGGAATATTCAAGAGAAAAAAAATGATACAAGGATTTTGAACAGTCTGTAGTAGCCAGAATTAAGGATAGAACAAAGACATTTCTTCAGTCTTAGATACATTTTCCTTTAAATTGTGTGCTGCAAACAGTGGAAAACTGACAGGTTTTAAAAGAAGTCCTTGAGATTGGCAAGTGTTAATCAATCTTTGCATGTATAAAGGTAATTGCATATATTTATTTTCCACATCTTTTATAGATATGGTACACCAGAATTATTTTAAAGCTTGTAATGTAATTTAATGTCTAGATTTTAATTGTTATGTTCCTCAGAAGGAAACATTCTGATGCTGGATATGCTTTAAGTACTGCCTAACTTTTTTTAGAAGGAGTTATTTTAAACTAAACTTTAATTTTGATGTTTTGTTTTGTAGACCTCTCCATATTGCTGCACGTAATGGCTTGAAGATGGTGGTTGAAGAGTTGCTAGCCAAAGGGGCATGTGTTCTAGCAGTAGATGAAAATGGTAAGTAAATAACACACTTTGGTAAACTTCAGTAGTACCTACGAGGTAATTTTACAACAGACTGACGCAATAGACTTAAAAGCTGGTAGACATCATTGATGCTTATATTCTTCCAAGAACAGACAATGAGCTGTGTGAGTATCTATATTAAAAAGGACGCTCTTCTTCTTTTTTTTTTTTTTAATATAGAAATGTATTCTGAACATCACAGTGGTCCCTTTTACTGTTCATTTTGCATGTACTGTCAACAGCTAGTCTTTTTTAATGCTTGAGTGCAGTGGTAACTTGAATTTCCTAAACATGCAAGTGGCACCGGATAATTCTGACGCCTTGCAGAAGAATTAAGGATTATGCATTCAATCAGCGCATGTTTTAATGGGTAGGAAGAAAACCATCACCATATGTTTGATTGTGTCCTAGTTCATTCTGAGATCAAAACTTGTGCTTTCCAATTGTCTGACCTAACCCAAGATGCAAGTAAATTACTGATATATTACCTCATAAAATATATGATTAGTTAATAAATGTGATAATTTTGTTTCAGATCTCAGTGAAATCCTTCCCTAAACATTATAAAGCCCACAGGGAGCTGTGCTTCTATAATTAATATTTTCAAAAATGTCTTCCTGAAATAAGCTGGTTTCTCTTACAATACTGACTTTGTGGCATTAATATAATAATTTGGTACCTCCATCTCCCCATATCTGTAAAGTAACAATAATAAAACTTAGCCATCATTACAAGAGATTTGATATCTATGGATGCAAAGAACTGAGTGGTGAGTATTTGTTATTAACCAATTGCTATTAGGTAAGCTTGCATGAATGAGTCCCACTGAAGTCATCTGGCCCTAATCTCAATTTAGAGACAGGGGACAGAAAAATGAACCAGACTAGCTTCTAACCACTATTTTGTTTTGGTTGTTAAAATTGTACATGCAGATCTAGCTAATTTACATGTATGTCAGGAGTGGAAAATTAAGTTCAAATTTGATACATGTTTAATTGCTATAGGAGCAACTGTTCACACAGTTTAAAGGAGAGAAATTTAAGTACAATAAGTACAATTCTAAAGAATACGTTGGAACTCAGAAGAAGAAGGAATTCTATTTAGGGGATCCATTCACTGCAATTGGTGCTTAAGTATCAGTAGTTTGCTATAAAACTACTCACATTTGTCCTCCAAACTCTGCATAATCTCCATACTGCAAACTCTCCATACTGCAGGTGTTTTCAGCTTATTTGAGGCAGTAAGACAGAAGTAAAGCCTGAGATTACTTTTGCTGCAGCATTTAAGATTTAGCCATCTGCAAAAGAATTAGTATGCTCTTAGCATAAAGGAGGAGTTCTTGGAAAGTGCAGAGCACAATGCACCTTCACAGTACTGCACAGCAGCCTGCAAAACTGATAGATAGCAAGTGTTATTAGCATACTCATTTCAAAGATTTGTTTACATGAGAAGCTACTTTGTGGCAGTCCTTGAACAGGAGCCACATTTTGTCTCTCACTGCAGTGAAGACAAATTTCTGATAGCTCCCCAGTTCTTTGTTTTACAGACATCCATATTATAATATGACTTTATATTTAAAACCTATGCTATGCTTTCTGAATACAGTTATTATTCCTCTGACATAATGCAAATTTTGGATAACTGAACATCCACATAGTCACACTTGCTATACATGTACCACATGCGCTGGTCTAATTCTTTTCTCTGACAATTTCATTCCTTAATGAACTGCTTTCTGACTTGAGTATATGCTCAACCAATCAGTCTTGGAAATTTTGCTAACTACTCCAAAATATGTTAAAACTAATATCTTTTATGTTCTCATGAAAGTCGTTGTTCTCAGAATGAGACTTGTTCATATGTACAGAAACTGAAGCCAGTTTCTGTCCCTGTTGCTGTACACCCTATGTTCTGTATTCATCATATTGCTTGTGCTGTAGAACTGTGTTTAGCAAGTGCTTTTATTCATATTGTGAAGTCTGTTTGCTGCCTGATTTAAAAAAAATAGTGCTTGTTGTGGTCACAGTGATTTAAATGCTCCATAAAGTGTGTATTTTCCCAGCATGTCTAATTTAAAATAAGTAACACCCCCCTGTTGCCTGGCATGATTGTAACTGAACATACATCTCCTGCTTACGAAGTCGCCTAGAGATGTATATGAGGAATGCTCAGTGCCATTCTCAGTACCCGTAGTACTAACCATTGCCTTGTCTGCATTTGTGCCCAGGTCATACGCCAGCCCTGGCTTGCGCTCCTAACAAAGACGTGGCTGACTGCCTGGCACTCATTTTGGCTACCATGATGCCTTTTTCTCCTTCCAGTTCAATGACGGCTTTCAACTTCGCTTGTTTTAAAAAAGACAGTTTGGGCAGGACACATCTCTGCGATGGCTCCAGTATGGGTAGCATTAACTCTTGTAATAAGCCCTTGAGTAATAACATAGGAACAGAGGATGGGTACAATGAAAATGATTCTGATTCTGAAACATTTTGACTTTGGTATTCAAAACTTTTTCTTTCCTTATTGGTTCCTTTCAGCTTGTTGTTTTGGTCTTTTTAAACAGCTCAGATCCCACTGCTATATTCTTAACTATTACTCTTGACAAGTAGGTATTGAAAGATATGTAGTGTTGATGAGAATTAAGCCTTTAAATAACAAAGGGGAACTTACTGGAATATTATTCCCATTAATGTTCTGCAGCTTTTCAGCTTCCTCATGTTTTCCTTAGGCCCTAAGTGCCCCTGTGGAAAGTCTCTACCTCTTATTTTAAGTAAAAAAGAGAAAATGCCTTTTTCCTTTTTGACAGCACAAATAAACAGGGAACTGTTTGTAAAAAGTACTTACATATTTTAGCTGTAACGTTAGTACACAAACATATTTTCAATGTAGCCTTCATAGATTTCAAGCATTGCTCCTTTCCTCTGTTTGTCTGTTTACTAATTCCAGGGGCTCTGATAATTAGATAACTTCTTTTACACAAACCAAAGGTCAAGTTGTAAATCCTAAAATTGCCTGTATTACTTCTCTACAGGAAAAAAAATTACATTCTGCACGTATTAAGCACTTAAACGTACAGAAAGCACTTTTTACAGTTATTAGTTGCAGCATGCAATTAGAAAAAAGTAGTTATAAACTCTTAAGGCCAAATTCTACTTGTCTCACCATGTTTCCCCACTGACATCAGTGGAACCACTTGTGAAAAATTAAAATCACTTGCCCCCTCCCTTCCCCTTCCGCCACCCTCTCCCCCTCCCCTCCCCCCCTGCTTTTTTTTCCCAATTCAGCACAAGCGTGTACAGTTTATTTGCACTACAGAATTAGGGTCATTAGAAGTTTCTGTCACCTGAGCCGTTAACCATGAATCTAGTATCAGAAAAAGAAATCAGGTGTAGACAAAGGTGTATGTAAACATTTATGATGACATGCCAACTTAAATAGATTTAAAAAATTATTTTCTATGCTTAAATAACCAATTTTTACTGTAAACGATATCGTTTTTTAACGTAATTCTGCCAGTGTTTGGATTAACAGAGTAGAGGTAAAACAATGAAAGCATAACACCAAAAGTTGAAATACCAAACACGAGAAAACAAAAATGTACCATGCACCATGCAGGGGATCGGAGATGCATGCTAAAAGAGCCTATTGCCACCAGCTTTGAAAGCAATGTCAGCTTGTGAATATGTTTACTCCTTCTGCCAAAGTTTCTAGGTCAAACGGACCCCGACCCTCATCTGCAACAGAAGTACAAAAGGAAGAATGAGACTTTATAAGCAAAAACAAAACAAAACAAACAAAAGCCTATCATGAACTAACCAGCCGTACCAAGAGGACCAAAATGCTTCAGTGATTAAATGGAAGACTTTATTACTTTTATTTTTTTTCTTCAAATGTGAGTGACATAATGAAGTAGTTTTCTAAATCATAAAACTATAAACTTTTGAGGTAATGAGTAGTCTTGAGTGAATTTTACATTTTATGATGCAGGTTTCAAGTTGACATTTGTAACTAATTATGTGTTGACCACAGTTTGTTTTTTTCCAGGACTAAGGAAAATGTTCATATGCTTTTAATGTAAATGTGTTTATATTTATTTGAAATGAAACAAATACCCAGGAAAAATAACTATGGCTTTTTCTCCTTGTTAGTAGTTGTGCATATTATTTTGTGTAATGCAAAATAAAATGTGAATCTAGGCAAGACTGATGGCCTGAGTGGAGAAAGGAAGGACTGATGCACTTCAGAAGTGTGCCCATCTTAATCTGTGGAATGTAAAGATGGAAGTCCATAGGCTATACTGGTAAAAAGCAGAGAGCAAAACACCTTTCATCATCATTTGAAAGTGTAAGAAAGGGATCCGACACCTTGCTAGACAGGTGAGAGAACACTGTACAACTACAGTAAAGTTATAGAAAAGGTAATGTAGCATGGAGTTAAGGTGTTACAAGTTCCAGTGATTCACACTCAGGATATCTGCAGGCCTAAATCCGTGCTGGGAGAATGAGAAGAGCTTCTTCCTGAGTGCATGCTTTCATCAGGGTAAATGAAAATAAGGATTTCTATTTTAGTTGTAGTTTTTAGCCATGTTCCACTGAATTGTTTAAAAATAATAATAATCGTCAGCAGATTTCCAGTTCTTCAACTGGAAAAAGCACGCAGTGTTTATTTTGCCCTGCTAAAATTACACATTGTTTCCTTGAACATTAACAAATTTCCAAAATTTGCAACGAACTTCCTAAGGGATAGTGTCTATGAAGGTAAAGGTATGTTTTTCCTCAATCCTATCTTTTCAGCAGCAGAACTGACAGAGCACCTGAAACCCTGGTTTTCTCCTCAGAAGTAGCACAGGAAACATTTTTATGATTGACTTTTCTCGAAGTTTTTCATGTAAAACCTGCAGAATAGCAATAACCACCTTATTGTAAGCACTGAAAATAAGAGGAGAGACCAGTTGTTAGTTTTCAGTCATGTGTTTAGAAATAAATGGAAATCCCAAGTTTTAGTTTGTTTGTTTGTTTCTGTGTAGAATGACAGCATTTAAAACAAACAAACAAATGAGAAATAGCTGCCACCTGCTCTAACAGCAGGAACAGCATTTTAATTTTATTTCACCTAGAGATTAAATATGTCTAACCCTGAAATAAAGTTACGCTATCCTACATGAAGTTGTTTCATTAGGAGAAAACAAGTGATCTTTACAAGGAGAATATTGTATTATTTCAAGCAGCCATTTTATACAAATCAGTGTTTTACTTGCTACCGTACAGAGTTACTGAAAATATTTTGTAAATTTGCAATACCTTGTAACTCTGGTAACTGTGTAGTACAACTGCTGCCTTTTATGATGCATACAACGTTATAGAAGCATAGGTGATTATCAAATAACTTTGCTCCTTCTGGGAATCAAATTTAAACTTTACGGATTAAACTTCTCTATAAACTAGCAATGATGTAAGTTTGCAGTATTCCAGAAATCCTAGAAAAATATGATTTGTTAGCATCTTATGGGCATTGGGAAAGCCATGTTTTGAGTATGGTGTTCTTAGGAAAACCGTCACAAGCAAGACATTTGGAAGTACTCAGTATCAGCCTGTCCCCAGATCTCACCACAATCCCTTTTCCTGTATGCTAGTACATTAACCTGTAATATAATTTGTCACTTGTAGAAATAAATTTGTTATTTAGGACAGGTATTTAAGTATGGGAATAATCTTACTCATGTAAATAATCACCATGCCTTTTTGTGGACTTTTTACAAGGGTAGATTTAATCATACAGAATTGTTGCACTTAACCCTGGATCCTGCAATTTACAGTACATGGACTACTTCTGTATTTGCACCAAACAGTGGGTATTTTGTGAGGGGCAGCAGTCTGCCCAGTTTTATTAGCAGGATAGTTTTCATCCTGTATTTTAACCACAGTTGCAGGTGGAATCCATAGCAGGATTGGGTCCCATTCTCATAAATACTGAGTAAAAACCTCCGGACTGCCTGAAATTGCTGTGAAATAGCTCAGGGGATTTCTGTTCATTGCTACTAAAAGGGCACCATAATGTGTTTGGTACTTTTATGCAGTAAACAACTGCCAGATTATTAAATTAGAACAAACACATGAAATGAATTGTTTATCCATTGTACTGTTGAGAAACCTGGTTATGTATCTTGAGGATGACTTTTAAAAAAAAATTGTGATTTTTATTCTTAGTCATGTAAGAAATATTAGAGTGCCTTTTTATATTTGTGTATTATGGAAATGTTTTGTGAAAGTTGTCTCTCTTTTTTTTTTTTTTCATTTGAGTGTTATAAAAGCAATATATTACCAGTAAATTTTCATTTCAACTCTTCTTTGAATGTATAAAGTGTTTCTTCTTTTCATATGTTCTACCTGTATTGAAATGAAAATTAATATGCTAAATTTCTATAGGAATAATGTATAATTTTTGCAGTGCTGAAAATGCTTTCTTATTACACAAAAAGTAAACCTTAGATCAGTGTTATAGGAAAGGGCGTTTTAAACTAGTGACAATCTGAGTGTGTGTATAAAATGTAATTTTATGCGTTTCTTATGCAGTGATCTACATATTAAAGCCAATATCTTACGTTTTGTAGGTTTTGTCTTATATTTTATGCTTTAGCATGTGCAATATATCTTTACAAACCATGGTGATACGAATCTGGTGCCAGTGTTATATTTTGCATACCATTTGTAATAAACAACATGAAATATTGTTTGATGGTTTCAGTGGGGTTTTGTCGGTGTTGTTTTCTTTTGTAAATTGAAGTTTAAAGACTTGGTAAATGTCACGTATAAAATGAGGAAAAAGACTTACTTCGGTGAATGACTTGGAATTCAGCCTGAATCTTCTCAAGCACAGTCTAGTAACTTTTTTTCAACTACTGAATGCCGTGTTCATGTAATGAAAAACCCTAACCTAAACTACTATTGAGATGCATTCAGATGGTTATTTTTACAAATAAAAATGGTACAAATACTGTTGGAAAACCGAGTAAATTTTATTTATTTTAAGTGACGGGAGAACGTTGAAGTACCGAGCGCAGTGAAGGTGCTGAACGCGTATTTTTCCCCCCTCCGTCCCTCCCTCAGGTGCTGTGCGAGGAGCCCCCTCAGCGCGCCCTGCCCTCTCCGTCATGGCGGGCGGGCGGGCGGCGGGCGCGTCTCTGCCCTCCCCAACATGGCGGGCAGGCGGCGCGCCGAGCGCCGACCTCCCCAACATGGCGGCCGCACCTCTCCCGCTGCCGTTGGCGGCCAGGTTGTGGCGCCCGCCCCGTCCCTCCCCGCCCGGTCCCTCCCCGCCGTGCCCGTGCCCGCGGCCGCGGGGCGAGGCCGCTCCGCACCTCAGCGCGATGGGGCGGGCGAGCGGGCGGCTGCCCGCGGCGGCGCCGCTCTTCTACGGGGCGCTGGCGGCGCTGGCGCTGCTGGGGGTGCGCGACGTGCTCTTCCTCTACGAGGAGAACCGCTGCAGCATGACCTACATGTTCGAGTACCCCGAGTACCTGGTGAGCCGGGGGGAGGCAGCCCGCAGGGGCGCGGCGGGGCCGCCGCAACAGGTGGGAGGGAGCCCGGCGGCACCCAGCGCCGCCGGTGGGCGGAGGGGCGGCGGCCTCGCCGGGAGCCGTGAGGGGCGCCAGGGGCGAGGCGGGGCCGCCGCGGCTCCTCAGGCGCCCGACCTGCCCAGGGAGGCGGCGGCTGAGGTCCCGCTGCGAGCCTCCTTCCCCAGTCGGTGGGCGCCCGCCCAGAGCTGCCCGCAGCTCCCCGTTTTGCTGACAGAACCTCTTCGAGACCTGCTGAAAAACCTCCCTGGAAGTCCTGAGTCCCTTTGAGGGAGACAGCTGCTGGGGGAATTGCTCTCCAGACAGCGTGTGGTACATGTTGCGTTACGCTCTGGGGATGTCAACGTGGGAACTGAGGCAGCGTCGCTGCTATGACCGCGTTCACTTGTTTAAAAACAGTTTTTTTAACATAGTTCTTACTGCAGGATTTTCATTGATGTTAAAAGCATCACAAAGCATGTTCTGTCAGTCCTCAAACGGCCGTTTAGCATCGTCTCTTTTGGAAAAATTGTAATCAAATAGTCTGCATCATAATCTGCTGTTCTCATCTAGGTTTCAAGCTGGGCCTGCATAGTAAGGAAGATCTTGCAGCAAAAACTTGTTTCCTAAATTCATAATGAAACAGCGAGTTAATTTTAGGATCCGTTAACTGCACGTGATTGTCTCAACACAGCCAGTTCCGTGCGCGCTAGTGTGCAAAAGGGAGCCTCGGGATAGCTGCAGGGATCGTTCTGTCAGTGCTGTAGAGCAGATGTAGACTTACTCTAAGTGTAGAGTAGAAAACTATAAATACTAACACAGTACACAGCAAATTTCAAGCTCTCCATGTAGTCGAAGCCTACTTCAGTTTCAGTTCAAAGCCAACCAACTGAACGTTACCGGCATAACCTGTTTGATGTTACTGGAGGTTCCTTGACATTGCCATTTGCCAGCACAGGACGGGCACAGGGACAGGGCTAAGGGCAGGGGTTCCACGCAGCAGGGATGCGAGTTGTGTCTCGCTGCGGTGTCTCTCCAAACTCCTAATCCCTAAACAGTCACTTTTACTGTGTGCAGAACAGTGCTTTGGGGGAAAAATATGTCCATGTTTGAGTTTGTTAAAGCATTGTACTTTCCAACGACCGTTATTTTCGCTGAAGAGGTTGGCTGTTTCGTATTTAATGTATTTGTAATGCTGGTGTTGGTGTGAACCGACAAGGTAGGGATTTCAGATGCATGGGACCTGTTCTCCCTGCCAGACTGTGTATTGCATTACGAAACAAATAGTTCTTTGAGCAGGGAAACATAAAAAGGTTGATTTCCTGGAGTCTGTTTTTGGTGTGGCTACCAGTGTGGTATAGCTCACAGTTGAGCTAATACCAAGAAAGGAATTGGAACGGATTTATTTTATTTATTTATTTATTTTGTAGTTAACTTTTTTTTTTTTCTTGAGTTGCAGAATTGCAGTATTTGATTTGAACATTGCCAATTCTTGTTCTGGCTAAACTTGTTACGAGATTCAGAAGTTATTAATGAGGGCTTTTTCACACAAGCCTAATTTTCTTAGAAGCACAGTGAAAACTGAAGCCTGTGTTGACAGTGTAAAAACTTGCCATAGCTCATTACAGCCAATTATGTAACCAGGGTCTTGGAAAATCAAAATTTAAAACCTCTGTCACAGAACAGGGACTTCTGTTTCCCTTGGGACATCTGTGTTACCATTTTGTTGTAGTATAGGAGTACCATACTTTGCAGACAAAAAAAAAAAAAAAAAAAGGCAGCTCATTGATTTTTATTGTCTGTAAAAGATTTTGAAAAGACGGTAAACCAAAATGATATTGTGGAACAATAGTTTAATACTTATTATTTGATTAGTCAGGCAGTATGCTTAATTTACTAATGAAAACTGACTGTAATTAAATAGATTTTATGTGTGTCCCCCCTGCCATTTGAACACCTTTGAAAAAGGAGCAATAGAAAGGAATAAGAACGGGACAGTGAGGTTAGCGCAGCTGATGAGGCGAGGTGATGGAAAGGAAATTGTAAGAAAGATTAGAAAATGGTAAGCCCTGAACAAAGCTTAATGTTTTTGCTCAAAGTGAAGGAATTATAGCTGTTTGTGTGTATATATAACTTGTTATGTATATACCTTTGTTATATATACACCAATCTTTTATTCTATATATGTGTATATATACATATCAAAGACACTAAGGACAGGTTGCAAACAAGTTGAAGACTAAGGGAAAGGAAATAGTCTGTAGCCAAGGAGGGACAGACAGATGAAAAGGGGAGGGGATGAGTATGTGTGTGTGTGGTGGGAATTAGAGCTAAATCGTCTTTACTGTAGTGAGAGGTGGGAGAACCAACTGGAATAGAGATGCTTCTACTTAATTCTACTTAAGCAAAGCACCTGAGAGAGACTTCAGAGAAGTTTCCTGATGCAAAACTGGGTTTAATTTTCACTTTGCTGTGATGTAAGATAAAATGTTACCTTAAGATAAAAAAAAAAAAAAAAAAAAAAAAAAGGCATTATAATACAGTTTGTTCATTACTTCATTTATCTGTGAATTATCATGGTACGTAACCAAATGCTATAACTAGTGTATAATTAGTATCACTCAGGTGTCCTGGTTTCTGGCCTCAAATCTCATGTCCTGGGAGAAGTGACTTCCTTTTTTTTTTTTCTTTTTTTTTCTTTTTTTTTTTCTTTTTCTGTAGTATGTTACTTTAAGGATGTGCAACTTTAACACATACACAATTGCAGTCATTCCCAGTTTGTTTAAAGCTGGTTCAAGTTCGTAACTGTTTCAAGGAGCTGCAGCCACTCATGGGCAGCAATACCTACTTAAAATAAGTACTCAACATTTTATGTTTCTTGAACTTTTTAGAGCAAAACCCATTGAAGTTTTTCCTTCTGTGTTCTTCAGACCGTCCTTGAAACCACTACATAAAACAGAAACCAAAATATTTAAATGGCTGGATAGCCACTGTATTTTCTTGTTTGCGACAGTATAGATTTTATATTTGGTTTCTTTAAGTTTAAATCCACATTCAGAAACAAATGTTATTTAGTTTTCTAGGCACTGGAAAACTAGGCTCTGTAGTCTTCATGTTCAAGAGCAATATGCTATGTTTTCCATGCGTAATAGATTCAAATGAGAGCATCCTGACCTTCCAAACTGCATCAGTTCAGCCTTTTAGTAAGGATAGAGTCTCTTCACCTTGTCCAACAGATCTGAGCTGCCTTCTTTGTAGTAGCCTATTTACATTTCAAAAATCGTTTGAGATCTTGCGTGCTAGAGGACAGTATTTTGATTCTGTGCCATGTTTTCTTTTGCAACAGAAAATAAAATTACCGAAGAAAACAGCCAGGCGATATCCAGCATACGAGCTCTATCTCTACGGGGAGGGGAATTATGCTGAAGAAAACAAAAATCTAGTATTGACAGGAATTCCAGTTCTCTTTCTTCCTGGGAATGCTGGCAGTTACAAACAAGGTAAGCATTTACCTAATTCATAGGTATTTTGCAAAGAGTTCTCACTGTTATGCATTAGTTAACGGCAAGACTTTTTCTGTTTGAAATGATATCAACAATGGCGTAGTTAATCCTTATCAGTCCGTGGTCACTTTCAAGAAGGCAAAAGACTTGATTTTTATTTGAAATCAGTTAAGCAGTTGAGCTATAATGTATTTCTGGAGTGAGGCGTTATCTTCTGAAGGGCAGAAACAGTACAATTGTTGCTGTACTGTGGCAGCACTGCACCGTTGCTATGTGTTTCCAATTAAAAACGTATTTGCTTTTGATTTGAACAGTGTTCAGAGCAGCTGTGCCAAGTAAAGCAATACCTGAATTTGATCAGAAGAAGCTAAACCAGCTGCCATCTGTTATCAGAAGTTGTATTAGGTACATACTATAGAAATAAGCATCATCTTATGGTTTAACTTGTAGCTTCGATATTTCCTAATTCTTTATGTAGTGGTAGTTTTTCCTTAGTATCATATTCCCCCTCGGTTTTCCATGTTACTCCCTGTTACACTTCTAGGCTCCAGATGAAAAGAAGGAATAGTTTTTAAGGCATTCTGTATTTTTCAATGTAAATACCAAGCTTAATAATTTGCATGTGAAGTACATGTGAAGTGTTCATTCAGGTATCCAGAATTCCTTCCAAGCTGGGCTTGTTACTGTTATTTTTGTTTTCTGAAATGTACTTTGAAACAGTAACACCCTTCAGACATTAGCAAAACTTGTGTGTATGTATGGGGAAAAACACTTCAATCTAAAACTTGCTGTTTTACCATGGTATTTTTTCCCTATATTTGCACCAGACTTGGTGATTAAATTATCGAATTTCAGAAAACCTTTACAAGGTTATTTTCTCAGACAACGTACTTGCTTAGCTTATGAAAAAGTAAAATATTTTGCAAACTCGTGCTTTCAGAAAACTCACATAGCTTTGCAGAGACAGTAGTATCCAAAGAACATGATGAACATAACGATTATGGGAGGTACCGTATGGATTTCCATAATCCTCTCTAAAGTATTGGAAATCTTCTGTGAGATAATTGATTCAAAGATCAAAGCCGAAATTTCCTTAAGTGGTATATTCTTTATTGCAGCGCAGGATGCACGGGGGATCTCTCCACCTATCGTGCATGTTTGAAGTGACAAACTATCTCATATTTATACAGCAAAACAATGAATATTCTGTTAACGTCTATACATATTCATTACCTAAACCCGCCTACTCTCGCTTTGTATGCTAATTAGCTTATCAGTCCTTGCGCTTGCGCAAAGCCTTCCAAGAATTGTGGGCTGGGGTCTTCAGGACATGGGCAGTGGGCTTTGGGAGGAAGACCGCAGGTCTTCCTCGTGATGTTCTTTTCACCTTTTGCTTAAAAAATGCCAGGCTGGATGAATCAGTTGTTTTCCAAGCTGCAGAAATGCTGAGTTGGCTCAAGCCGAACTGAGGGTCGGCAGATAACGGGATGTTTCAGTTAACAAGGCATAACAGAAGGTTGACTCAAGTTATCTCAAGTCTCAGCCTGACTGAGGGTCGACAGATGACGGGATGTTTCAATTAACAAGATGCTTCAACATAACAGAAGGTCGACAGATAACAAGATGTCATCTATTTTGTTCTCATTAATTTTTAACCACAAGATTTATTCTATCCTAAAGTGAGTTTATACAATATCATAATGCTGTCTCTAAAATCAGGGCAGTGCATCATTATACAGAAAATAGAACGGTACTTTCAGTGTATGTTAGGAATCAAAATGAAATATATAAAGAAAAACCTAGTTGAGTAGAAGGAGTACTACATGCTGCAAATATTCTGCTACTTTAGATGAGTGCCTTTAAATATTTATTCCTTGTTTTGATAAATTGATTTAGGGAGACTGGCAGTAAGTCACATTCATTTTCCAAAATCTTTGTTTGGTTAAGGCAAAATTGATTTATTCTATGGCTCAGAATATTTTTAATATGGTTTATTATGAAAATTCACATTTCATTTAGAATTTATTGTGGAATAATATATTTTAGGTCTGATACCTAGATGAACAGTTGTTGCTGCTGTTGTTCTTTTCACGCTTGTTTAAAATATGTTCATGGTTGAAAAATGAAAGCAAGCATCGCTGCTGTGTTTCCTGGGCTTATGTTGATTTGTTACAGACACTTTTGAAGGATGTGAATCCATTCTCTTTCACGGGCACTGAAGTGAAATTTGTAAAATTTACAAAATTCAGACTTTGCGCAAAAGAAGATCATCTGGTTTAATCAGTGGGAACAAACCTGGAGTTGGGAGAATTGAGGGTTCCTGAGTTCTAATCAGGAGCCTCTTACCTACTTGCCTTGTGATCGTTCGCAATATTCGTGTTCCTTCTACCATGAATTTCAAAGTATAAAGTTGTGACAGGATACTTGATCTTTTAAATACTTTTTAGGTCTTTTCAAACCATTTTGAAGGTGTTCTTATTACTTATCAATTTTAGATAGAATTGGTGAAAGGATTGACTACAAATTCTACTTATAATTTGCATCTTTCTGATAATATTTGTTTAGGTGGCTGAACGTATAAAATATTTCAGAAATGTTATTTTTTAATATGATAAGCTTTGCTGAAGTTTAGTCGGTTTTGTTCACCTCTCCAGTGAAGTTTTCAGAGGAGAATTCTGCAAGCTGCAGACCTCTGAAGCTGTTCTACTCTAAGACAAATCCTGCTTCTAAATGCCAGACTTGGGCAGATCATTAGTTTATTTGTATAAGTGTCTACTTGTTTGGGGGACTCTTTTCTTTCCTTCTTTCCCTGTCATGCTCTTTGTTTGCAGCTGGTGCTGTTCCTGTCCTGCTGTGTCCCCTCAGCAACAATGCTGCACTCAGAAGGCTGTATTAGCCAGGGTTAGATGAGCACAGGTCAGAAGCAAGGCCTCATAAACAGGACATTTTCTCCCTCAGGACTTCTGGTGGAAAAGTGTTCTTTGGGCTTTGGTTTCCTTCTCCTCTATCCATCTCGGGGTGGTATTTGGAAATGTTGTTCTAGATTGGTAGTCTTCAAAGGAATTTTAGAAAACCGCAGCAATAGCATTGCCTCTCCAGTTGAAGGCAAGAATGAGGATTTTGCATTCTTGTCCTGGTGGTGATGAGAAGGTGCAAACGAGATGAGAATAGCAATGCTCAGGGGAAGGAGCATAAGCTGTTATCTTTTATCAGTTTGGTTTAGACATTGTGTCCATGAAGTCAGCTGCCATGCCATAATATTTAGTTCTCCGTACCTCACTCCAACCTTTTCTTTCATCTCCTCAGACATCTTTTCCACGTGCTTCTGTAAACTTTTATTAGGATGTATTTACTCATACTTCTTTCTGTCAGAAGGATTCTTATAAAAACAGGAAAATTGTTACATTTCTCATTTTGCAATTCAATACTGTCAGTGGCTGGCTGATATTTTTGTTGTCATTATTTATATATTCAAACCTGATTTTGTAAAACAAATGGGATTGCAGTTTAGAAAAGATTTGCCTTCCATCTTTTTTTTTTAACCTTTTATAAATGACATGAATAATGAATTTAAAATAGCATTTGCTTCTTGAGAGGTTATGTATTTGTGTTTGTCTATTAATGATGGTGCTAGGACAGTCTAATAGTCCCTGCTTAATTTGTGATTTTTCCTAGTGCGTTCTCTTGGATCCATTGCACTTAGAAAAGCAGAAGATCTTGACTTCAAGTATCATTTTAACTTCTTCACCGTCAACTTCAATGAGGAGTTGGTTGCACTGTATGGTGGTACTCTCCAACGACAGACCAAATTTGTGCATGAATGCATAAAAGTTATTCTTAAGTTGTACAGGGTAAGTACTGATGTATGCTAGATCATGTACTTGTGTTTTGGAATGGAAATCTGGTCAGCTTTTTCTGACAGGTAACTGAAGAACAATGAATAAGGGAGGGAGATGTTGTACTGTGTGTAGGTAATTGATCATGGCTCTCAAGAGAGAACTGCTGCTCTTTAATAGATTTGTAATGTTTGTGACAATCTTGGAGCCCTGATTAGGTTCTTTATTGTTTATAAACAAACACTTCCTTGCGCAATGCATGCTTTTTTTGTAGTACAGCTTTAAACTTTCTCTAGCTTATTAAAATAATATATCATCACCTTCCATCCTGTTTTCCTAGAAAAGTTTTCTGTTAGCCTATGTTGATACTAGTCAATATTATCCTTAAAGGGATACAAATTGATCTGTGGGGAAAAATGAACAGCTGCTAATCAGAGGAGGCCCATGTCAGAACCAGATTTGAAACTGAACTAATTATCCTTTGCTCTTTCCTTAAGGATCGAGAATTTGCACCAAGCAGTGTTGCAATAGTAGGCCATTCCATGGGTGGTCTTGTTGCAAGAGCATTGCTTACCCTGAAGAATTTTAAGCCTGAACTTATAAATCTGCTCATTACACAAGCTACACCTCATGTTGCACCTGTAATGCCTTTGGATAAATATATTACTGGTAAATAAACTAACCCAACTACATTCTATTTCTTTACTGATTCCCTTATGCATTAGCTGGTGAGATTCTTGCAAATTGCTGAGGCTTGAAGCAGTTCGTGTGTGCAGAATGTTCTGTTTACTGTAATTAATCTATTCCTTTATTACCGTAGTGATTATTTCTGCGCACTGTACTACTTTAAGTGAAATGTCATTGTAAAGTTGACTATGTGGGCCTATGCTTCTGTGAAGGGGCGGAAGTCCAAATAATTTCTAAGTGCAATAGACTGCAGAGTATGGAACAAATTTCATAAGCTCTCCAGAGAGTGACTTTTTTTTTCTTTCTTTTTCTGTAAAACTTGAACTCTGTAATGGCTTTCTTTGTCAAGTGAATTGCCTAAATGGAGTTACTTTTGTTGCAGTTGTTAATGTTTGTCATTCCCAAAGTGTGTTATACCTATATAAAATATATAGGTATAACTATATATTTTACGTAATATATTTATATGTATAGAAGATGCAATGTATTTTCTGCTTACTTTAACTAAAATGAAAAGGAAAGTATAATCATTATGTATGCACTGTTAACTTATTGGAAAGATAGATGTGACTAAATTATGCTGATGAAATACACGTATGTGCTTTGTGGCTACTTTGCTGTTCGATGTAGATATAGAAGGAATTGATGAAGGAAAAGAATAGACATTTATTTTCTTTATTCTCTGTGGCACCCAAGAGGAAGGGATTATCTCTAGTTGCTAAATTTGATTTATTGTGTTTGCATTGCAATCAGTTGTAGGAAAAAAATTAATACAATGCTTCTTTCTTGCTGACTGACTGTTTCTGGATTATTGCCATCCTTAAAATAGAACCGTAATTTGCTACCTAAAGATAATAAGTGCTCAGCTAATAAAGGAAGTGTGAGTGTATCTGTCTCTCCCAGCTACTACCTCCTTGGCATTAAAACAATAATTTTTGTTCCTTATATGAATCAAAAGTGGTAATCAGAGCTTGAACGCCTCTAAGAGGGCTTACAGAAACTTTTAGTTGAATCTTTCTGTAGCTTTTTTAAAATATATAAAACAGAATTATGGGAAATTGATTGATTTTAATGTATTTTATAGATTTTTATACAGCTGTAAGCAATCATTGGATTCTAAACGCCCAAGAGTTAAGAAATTTAACTACCCTTTCTGTGGCGGGAGGATTCAGAGATTACCAAGTTCGTTCAGGACTGGCTTTTCTACCAAGATTGAGTCAACAAGACAGTGCCTTATCTGTTGTGGTAAAAAACAAACAAAAAACTGTTTTTGTTGTTGTTGTTGTTGTTTTTTGTTTTGCATGGAGGTATGCTAGATAGCTGTCTGTAATACGTGTACCAGTGTCTGATTGTAGTTTATATGCATAGCATAGTGTAACTAAATATGAAAATAATATATAAATATGAAATATAAATTATGAAATAAATATAAATATAAAAAGAATATGAAAATTAATAAAGATAATGAATATATATATATATATATATGTATATATAACACCATAAATAGTTGATGTAGCAGAAATGAGTGTCCATTGAAAGAGTATGCGTTGGGGCGGGTTTGAATCATCCCAAGTACTGCTTGGTACTATTGCTTTTCACCACCTTCTTGCACCTTTTCTGTTGCAGAAATCAGGTTTTATTTGTCTTCTGCTTGTGCAGGCATCTATTTCCTCCCAAAATTAATCAAGCAGTATCATAGAGCTAGTTAGGTTTGTTAATCCATGTTTCCTGCCGTATAACTGTTCCCTGCACGGAAGAAACTGGCAAATACTCCTCAGTAGTGCTTGACAGAAAATTTGTAGTTTCCAACTTCCATTTATTGTGTAAGCCAGCTTTTGAACAGGTTTTTTCTGACATCAACTTGAAATGTTATCTGAAACAGTTTTCATTCCCCTGGTGTTTACCTCCCTGTCCATTGTACAGAAGGCCGTCTATAAATAGTCTCCACTCTGATTCTGCTAGGCTGAGAAGATTAACTCTGCAATCCCTTTGTCCTAGCAACCCTTCTCTGCATCTGCTGCACTTTAATTTCTCATGACTGTTGGTTACCAAGATTTTGCATGAGATCCAGTGTAGAGTGGTATAATTTTTTTTATAACCTTGTCATCTGGATCTACCAAGTCATACTGTAGGATGATGTTTTTTTCTTTATTTTTTCTTCATGGCTGTAGCTCATTAATTGTTTATACTTTACCTTATCATACAACCTGATTCAAGTAATGAGCTCTGTTTATGGAAGGGAGATTTTTGGTGGCAGTCTGTAAATGCAGTACATGTACTTGTACAAATGAATAACTTTGGACTGTCCAGTTCTTTCATGCTCCTTTCTGTTGAGGGTGTCCTTGATTTTTCAGCAACAGCCTTCACTGGCATGCTTCTATTCTTATGTGCCAGGATCACTTATTAAATTAATAAGATTGGTAATAGAAGCAGTCTTTGAAGAACCTCTTAGTAAGTTTCTTCTATACCATTATTTGCTCTTTGACTATTAGACACTGCTATCTGATCTATCTAACACACATACTTCTGTAGTCATTTTATTTTACAAGTCCTTGTCTTTGCTGCAGCAAATAATGTTTTTGACTGAAGAAGCCATTCTATTATACCCCTGTCCATGAAACTCTATTACTAATTACCAAAGTAGATTTAAATTGGGGGGGGGAAGGGGGAGGGAGACGGGACACAACTTAGAATTTTTAAATGCTGAACACTAAAAAAAAATCTTAATTGTTTTCCTTCTCCAAACAGAGCTCGGCTGTGCCTAGAGCTTGGGCCTCAACAGACCATCTCTCAATAGTGTGGTAAGCTAATTGAACAAAGGTTAATTGGCTGACCAAACATTCCTTTTGTTTTCTATTGTTCTTACATTATACAATAATGTAATTTCAGCATAATATGGTCTCTTCCTGCCACTTTGTTTCCCCTGGATATTTCCTTTCTAGATTTAATTTTACTTATTCTGTCTTCTAGGTGCAAAGAATTGATCCTGGCTACCATTAGAGCTTTTTTTGATCTCATAGATGAAAACACAAGGCAGGTTTGTATATATGACCCACTGTGTATTCCCCATGATAATTTCTTCTTCCCTCACAGAATGCTTAATCAGGACAAGCTCACTTTTGATTTTTCTGAGTCACACTGAGAAAATTATTGCCTTTTTGGTATCGGTCACTGAAAGAGTCTCATGCCTTTGTGTTATTTGACATGTCAGAAATAATTAGAAGTTAAGACAATTTTTATTATTTATTAATAATGTTATTATTGCTTGGTGCTTCATAGTTGGTTTGTGGATTGTATTATTATTACATGATGCATTAGGTTTAGTTGACCTTGCACCATGCTAATTTTTTCTAGCTGCGTAGCTTTGAATGGAATCTCTTAGAGTGTGTTGGATTCACCTTGCGTAAATAGTATACAAAAGGTGAAAAACTATGATGGTTTATCTCAGACATAATACTTCTTAAATTTCCCCATGTAGTGTCGTCATAGGGGCCAGCAAGTATTTACAGTGTTCTTTTGTGAATAACACAAAAATAGACTGTAAATACAATATAAGGGCAGGGAAAAAGCTGATTTGTTTACCTCTGGTTACCATCATTTATTGCTTTTCTAAATAAATATCCTTCTGAAATGTTTGGCAGCAGTACACTTGAATTGGGATCAAGGTCCAGAGGTTAGAAATATGCAAGAGCAGAGTCACAGACATAGAAGAGGAAGGCTTACAGGTGTTCTTTTTCAGTTTCTGTAGTGCCATGCTGCACTGGTTTCTTAAGGCATGCTCACTTTAATATGGAATTTGTAGGGACAAGAAGGTTTTTCTGAAGTTGACTGACAGTGCACTGGAGGGTAACACTTTGCAGAAATCAGTTGTATTGTCCACAATGTTGAAAAGCTGAAGAGGAGAGAAGAAGGAAAAAATGAAACCAAAGCCCAGTGTACTCTTACAGCTATTTGTTTTCTTGAAGTATTAAGATAGGTGCAATATGCTAGATTTATGAATAAAGACAAGTACATATAAATATTTTTAAACTCTGCCATGAGTATGTTGTTTTGGGAAGAATGTATGGGTGTCTATATAAAATATGTATTTTTTTAAATATATATGTAGAAAATAATTTCCTTTTGTTAAGAACAGATGAGGATACAAAACTCCCAAAAGTTTTATTTATGCATAATAGCAAATGTTGTCTTTCTCTGTTTTGCTGTGATTGACTATTAATGGTACTTTATTTATTCAGATTATTATATTTAGAATAGAAACAGTGTATCATGTCTTCTAATAATTTATTTCCTCTCATTCCCAAAACTGTATTTCTACTGATCATGTCATGATTGTAAATCATACTAATTGGTAAAATAAAAATTGGCAATCTGTTTTGTTGGTAAAATAAAAATTGACCATCTGTTTTGTTTGTTTTGTTAAGATAACTGAAGATCCCAAGAAGAGAATGTCTGTACTGAATCACCACTTTGTGAGACACCCTGGAAAGATATTTGAGGAAAATCCTGAAGCTTTTACAGAACTTACAGGTGAGTAGCAGTTTTCTTTTGAACAAGATTCAGAGATACTCCTTGTTTAAGAGTTGATCTTCTTACTAGCAAGCTTCTGAAATAAAATTTGTCCTTCTGACATTGCTGAAACAATATGTGGCTTTTTAGACCTACACTATTAACTTCCATGTGGTTTCAGCACTAAATAGTTTAAAAGGGGTAGGAGCAAAAATGGCTATGTCATTTTTATATGCCTTTGATTCTGAGGCACAAGTAAGAATCGTATTTACACCAAGGTGTCCAGTAGACAATCTCAGAAATTGGGGATAGCTGAACGCCAAAAATGCTGTCTAGTCTACACTTGCATCCCATTTTTGCTAGAGGGTTAAGGTTGAGTGATTAGGCATTGGAAAGGGTTGCCCAGGGAGGTGGTGGAGTCACTGTCCCTGGGGGTGTTTAAGGAAAAGTTGCACCAGATGATCTTGGGTGTCTTTTCCAACCTTAAATATTCTGTGATTCTGGGTATTATAGAGCCACTATGTTAGTTTTGTGCTATGTAAGGAAATCCTGAATATTCAGGGCTGCTTCATCAATTTAGTGATGTGACAGGGTAAATTGGACCACCTACTAATGGTTTCCTTGTCACTGCAAAGAATGCATAGATAAAAGGTAACAAATCTTGAGCACAAGGATTCTTGGGAACTAAACAGATGTTTCATAAGGCACAGCTGTATTGCTAGTTCTGCTGAGTGGACTGAACTGAGGAAAACCATTTTATTTCAGAAATTTTCTTAACGTAAACTATTGCAGAACTTCTAAGATAGCTTGAACTTTGGTGTCCAGTTTTGGCCACCCTAGTATAAGGGCACATCTAGGCATTGACATGCTAGAATGAACCCAGTAGAGGACCACCAAAATGTTTAGCTTCTGGGGTGTAAGACACGGGGAGGGGGAGGCTAAGTGAACAGTGTTTGTTCCCTCTGAAGAGAATGTTAAGGGGGGGATTTATTGTTATCTTCATCTACCTAGTGAAAGATCAGACTATTCTTGGAAGTGCAAAGTGTTTGCATCTTCCTATTTCTCACACACTCTTGACACTTAAAAATTCATGAGAGAAATTTAGCTTATTCTAGTTACACAAAAGAAAAATATTAACCTTGCATAACAATTTGCAGTATTTACATATCCAATCTGTTCATTATTCTGTCTTATTTTCTTTCTCCAGACATATCTTTAAACTCCTACTGTTTTCTTGTATGTGGCACTCAGCTCATCACTTGAGTTGCTTTTACACAAGTTTCTGTACTAGTTTTCTTAAAAGGCTGAGAGAAACAAAGACTGGGGATGTTTCTAATATTTCATTAGATTTAATGCCGCCCTGTAATTACATCTTGTGTTGTTAAGTTTCTTATTTTTTTTTTGTTTCCTTGAGAGCTTTATTCTAAAATCCATAGGCTTTCTCTTTTTGTAGTTAATATGTAGTAATTGGATCCCAGTGTTTTGCTACTTCCTGTGTTACTGATAATAACTGTTGCATGTCATTCTAAGCAGCAGCAAGCTTGTGTATTGACTAAAGTTTGTGAGGTTTTGAGACATTTACATATAAGGGATAACATATAGGCAATAAGAAAGTATGAGATTTTGTAGATTATTTCCTTCAGTGTCACATATAAAAACATGTTTGTTTTTAGGAGATTTCACGTGGATTGAAGTCAAAACCTCAAAATGGACTTACTCTGTTTACAACGTAAGTGATGTTTTTCTCTATTGTGTGTTTTATGTTTATTTTTTTTAGTAATGAACATTTTTTTTTTCCCTTTGAAGGATTCAGATGGAAAATATTTCGTGTTTCCTCTTGCAAGCCACAGAAAATCATACAGTCATGTTTACTGTGAAAACAGTATGTTGGTGAGAAAATACTTCTTTCATGTCTCGAGTTTGTTTATAAACTTGTTTGATTTTAATTTTGGATATGTTGTGATTTTAAGACAATTTAATGAATAATACATGTAGTAGAAATTAATGACATCCACTTACATTCACATCCTAATACGTTGTGTCAGATGTACTTCTTGTTGAAGCATGTTGTGCTTAGTGTTCAAGGTCTGAAACCTTCAATGTCACCTGAATTTCTGAAATGTGAATGTTTTATTTTGGGCTGCCCTTACAGTTAGCCACAGATTGCTTTCTCATTTAATTTAGTGCAGCTGTACTGATGGCATTGAATGAAGAAGTTATTTTCAGTGCTGCCAGGGTTTAGCTGTACTTAGAACTCAGGAACACTGCATATAGGTTTGCTTTGATGTAATAAAATTTAAGTCAGCCAGAAAGTCTACAGAGATCTTCAGCTAAGCAGTGGACATGAATGGGAGCCAGCTGAGAAAACAGCACCTTCTCAGCTGTTTCCTTTGTTGTGAAGAGAGGTGATAGTATGCCCTGTATTTTTAGTTCCACATTTTAGTTCCACAGCTAAAATGTTTTTGAAATCGTTTTTAAAATACTTTTTGAAAGGAAGAAATGTAATCTCTTGGCAAACTGGAGATGGATAAATATACTTCTCAGTATTAAATGAGTCGTGGAAGATGTCCCTGCCCACGGCAGGGGGGTTGGAACTAGATGATCTTTAAGTTCCCTTCCCACCCAAACCATTCTGCGATTCTGGGTTGATTTTAGATTAGTGGCAAGGAAATGGAGATGCTTTCTTACATGATTCTATGTATCCCTCTTACCTCAAAAGGAGAGGTTCAGACTACCATTGCGGGGAAAAAAAGCATATATCCTGTGTTTCCTAGAAGCAGCTTCAAAATTTTTAGATTTGTTGTGAACTTAGTTGCCCTTGAATGGGGCAATTTTTGCCTTCATTATGTATTAATGACAGGACTGGTACTGTTTGAGGAGGAGGAGGTACAGAATACCTTATGTTCTCTAGTAGTGAGAGTTAAGGGAAACCAGTAGGACAGTCAAAATCTGAAGTATTTCTTGACTACTCAGGATAGAAACTTGAGACATTAATTTTAGATAGAAAAGAATAAACTTGAATAAAATTGAACTTTATATCGTGTAAGGCAGATACTTCTCTTTTTTGAAGAGAAATAATGAAAGTTTGCTTGCCAAACCTTGTATTTCTTTTTTAGAAAAACGTGACAATTCATATATAGAAAAGATGACAAACTTATTTAAAACGATTCTGGAAAAAAAAGCACCACACCTTTAATGTTCGTGTTTTATCTTTCCTTGTGATTCTAATTGCAAGATTATGATAGACTCCTTAATGGAGGATATAATGTCAAATTCCATTACCACGGAAGTTTGATTTTGCTGTGAAATATTTTTTTTAAAAAAAGTTAATATTTTCATTATAAACTACAGAAGGAATTTGAGAGAGACTGTTCTTGTCATCATCCTTGCTTTTACACTTCAGCAAATAATATTCTTAAGAGAGTTTGGTTATTATAGTGATAGTGGCAGCAGACATAATGGAAAATGAGATGAAGATGAAAATCTGTGCCTCTCATTAGGAAGTTATTTGCACCAGGCTCTGCTATTAAAGTATTCTAGAACAATTGCTCATATTTAGTGAACTGAAACTGTTAGCATGTAGAAATTTTGGAGAAGATTATCAGTATCAACTCATGCATTGTTTGCGGTAAAGAATTACTAGTAATGTATTTATAAATTCACACATCAGTAATGTACTTTTTATGGTATTAACAGTTACAGGACACAAGTAGCTGGATTTATGGCTGCATGGACAGCAATTCTTCAACATGGTGAGTATACATAGTTCCTGTGTTTTTTTTTTTTACTTATTTAAGTAGATCTTGTATGACTGTATTTGAGTTTTCAAGCATATAAAGTATCTTTCTTAGGAAGGGATTGGGAAGAAAAAATAGAATTCCTATTCCTGTTGTGCATAATTCATGCTTTCTGTATCATCAATAAACAGGAAAAAATATACTTACCAAAATTGCTATTATATGAATAAAGAATAAATTTTGTGAAGTTTTTTTCTTTAAGCTGTATTTTTGACCTTGATAGCAGTAAAAAAAAAAAAAAAATTGTTCCTTTTGCTCTCTTTTGGACACTGCATTCTGCATTGGAACCCTAAATTGTATGGTTTGTTGCATCATTTTAGAATCCTTTGACAAAGACATAAAACATTACTTGAAGCCCTCAGAAAGTGAATTGAAGCATCTTTTTATTATTTTTTTTTTTCCATTCCAGAATTGCTGTTACCATATGAGAATATTTAGAAGTATGGGTGATCAAGTGATTATTTGAATCAGGTCATTATAATCATTACTAAAAAGATGAAAAGTAATTGTTTTTAACACTGGCTTAATTTACCTCCTCAGAGTCAGCCTCAACATAAATTCAGTCTACCCTTTAGATTAGGGAAAATTCCGGGTGGATTTGAGCTAGTGTAGTGTTTATTTTTTGGGGATCTGTGCTGAGGCATATAGCCACAGTGTCTTGCATCCAGTCAGAGTTACAATTATTCTTTCCTGATCCAAGGAGCAGCTGGCTGTTACTGTTCTGTGTAACCTTTGACTGGCATCAAATGGAGGTTAGTCTAGTGCAGGACTGCTAGCTAAAACTTAGCCTAATAAAATCCATAGCAAAACCACTATTATCCTGAGGTCCTGTAACACTATTTAGAGAACAAAATGTATCCTTGGTATTGTAAAAATCATATTTTATAGTAAGTGAATGAATGTCTTGCTGTTCAATTTGAAAATTAATACACCAGTTTCTGAGCTGCTGCAAGGTCTGCAATTCTTGTTTTATGTGGTATGTTTTGCATGTTCCCATAGGAACAATGGACACATTTGATATTTAACAGATGTTAATAAAACTGTGTGTTAATGCAATGCCAGTGCTGCCTTGGCTCATTAAGAGTTTTAATTCTTTTGGAAGATGTGTGTCTAGTAACTGATGATTGTTGTGTATTACAAAATTAGAGCTTCATTTAATTTCTTTATGCAAAAACAAGATTTGCAGTATCTGAAATTATTATAATTTGATAAATGACTGTAGTAGCTGACTGCAGTAGACCCAAACTTGTTTGCAATTCATAACTATGCATGTTTAGGTAGCGAGGGATAAAAGCTGGTCCACTGTCATAATCTAGTGTCTGGATAGTGAAATATTTGTCCTTTTAATGTGCATGTATTTTTACAGTCTGGAAGCTACTGATTTATCCTGGAGAGCTGAGTTACTTCCGACCATCAGGGTAAGTGTACCTACCTCATAGCAGGGAGAGTTGCTTGGTGTTTGCAGCATGGAACATGCAATTGTATTGCAGAGGAAGGGGTACAAGAGGTGGACATCTGGGAACTGGCAAGCTAAGGGGTGTGTTTTGTTAATGGCTTTTCCTCTTTTTTTTTTCTATTTTTTTAAGGTTGTAATACTGAAACTTCAGGATTATCCTTCTTTGTCCCACATTGTCATTCTTGTACCACCCACGGTTGGCAATAAGGTAAAAAGATGAAACATGGACATTGCTTCTCAGAGTGTTCATAGCTATGATGGAAGTTAAAGGGTTATGTGCTAAGTTACTTTGACAAATCGTCAAACTCTCGGTTTGACAAACAATGAGAGAACAAATGATAGACTTGGAATGGGATGGAAAGTAATTTTCAAGTGAACTAAATATATATTAGAGATGGTGGAACTCGTATTTGCTGCATACGTTTCTTTGCTCTTCATAATTAATCTTCAGGGGACAAACCAGAGCTTCTTGCTGCTTAGAAAACTGTATCCAGAATTTGGACAAATCATGCTCCTTTGCAACATCACACCTCCCACCCCACCCCACCCCTGACCAAAACAAACAAACAAAAAAACAGCAACAACAGAAACACTGAGATGCACCTCAGGTGGAGGGATGTGAACTGCATTCTAGTCATTCTCAGGCTTTTGAAGGCAAATGGCTGCAAATATGAGTAACCTACAAGTTATGCGTAAGGTACCCAGATTTCTACTGCTGTTTACAAGAATAAACTAACTGCCAGTTCCTGACAGTCAGGGAGGAGGGGGTAGAAGTGACAGTTCAGTATTTGTGTCCTGTATTCTGCTGGTGCCTGTGAATAGGGCTTGGCTACAGTCTTGTGTTCAGTTTAGATCTGTACTTAATATTCTGAATTGCAGTTTACTTTGGACTGTGAATTCTTCAAAGAGGATTCCAGAACAGTACAGCTTCCTGTAACGAATCTTTTTTCCTTTGGTAAGTACATCACATTAATACTGGGGGGGGGGGGGGGAAGGAAAACTAATATTAACTAATACCTTAGATAATAAATGTGCTTAAAACTTCCAATGTTCGGGTTGGTTTTTTTTTTTTGGAGGTGGGGTTGTTTTTACTAAAGTTAACACTACTCTTGCTAGTAACAAATAAGAAATGTGATTTTTTTTTTTCTGACTAACAGATATAGGGGATATAAATCTCCTGGGGAAAAAAAAAATCAAATCTGAAGATGTACTGAGTTCTCAGATCATTTTATATAATATTTTAAAATAACGCATCCTTTGCAGGCCTTTCCTCAAGCAAAGTTCTATTAAATTCCACTGGCTTACTTTACAACGTTCAACTCCAGCACTTTAACCAAGTAAGAATATTACTTAATTTTTTAAGCTAATGTAACAACTATTTGGAGTCTAAGTAATTTTTTTTATACGTTTTAGGTATATCAAGCTTTCAGAATATATATAGAGAGCCACTGCCAGTCACCCAATGGTAAATATGCGTGTTCTAAAGTATATATTTATAACCTTGTTTTAAACCTCGTTGAAAATTCTCAAGACTAAAACTTGTGGAACCAGAAGTCCTTTCAGGCAGTGGGGTTTATACAGTATTATTATAATCTGCTCAAATGTCTGTGCTAATATTTCTCATTTTCTACTTTAAGAAGCTCAAAGAAAATGAGGAACTAGTCTCATATGCTTGTTTTATTGCTTCTCAGAAAGGAAGGTTGAATTTTACACAGGATTCTGCATTACATTGCAAGTGTTTCTCAAGAATAGTATGTTTGACTAGGATTTTTATTTGCTAATTTTGGCACTCAAATCTGAGTGTTGAGCTACATGAACTCAAACAGAAGAGGATGCTAAAGGGCTTGGTTTCAAGAAAAAAAAAGAGAGATTTACTAGCTTGAGGTAACAGCTTGCAATTGAAAACCCGAAATTTTCTTGTAACTGTACTGCCTTTAATGTTGGTGTCTTGCTGTCTTGGTCTGTAACAGCATGTGTTAAAAGTCATTTTTGTTCAGTGTTAACTGCACTGAAATTTTAATTCAAATGTAACTGCAAGCACAGTGCTTCTGTACAATGATCTCTAGGCCACCTTTTGTTTTGTTTGTGTTTTTAAGTGTCTTATGGTGAAATTATAGCAGGTCAAATGTTATAGACAGTAAGCAGTATGTACATGTGTGGTTTTGAAGAAATGGCACATAGCATATGTTTTGCCGATATATAGTGAGACTTGAATTTGCTTCATTTTTTTTTTTTGCAGACAGTTGCTATGTCTTGTTCTTAATGAATTTTGTATTTTTAATTATCTTCCTTTTCAGAAAAAACTAGCGTTTACAGACTGCATATACCCTGGTCACATGAAGACTCAGTAACTGTAGCTAAGTAAGGACTTTAACAGTTATAATTTATTTCTTGATATGTTCTTGAAGAGAGTTTGCATGCTGTTGTGGGCATATTTCTGATATGAAACAAATTACCCAGTCTCTTTTGCATCTTCCCTTCATTTACCTTTCTGTCCTCATTGACAAAGAAGTTGTTTTGTTTTTTCTATTAAATAAGTTTATCTACTAATAAATCTACTAGTTAGTTGCTTGTTTGATAGTTCTTGCAAATATTTTGGAAATGGAAATAAGATTTCTTGGTCTGAAATTCTCAGCATAATCTTTGATCCCCTCATGACTGGGGAATAGAGCTTGCCTGGGGTACTGGTTTCTTCCTGTGATCCAGGGTTTTGATCGCACAGCAGCCCTAAGCTGCTTGACAAAAGCAAATGCTGTGCCTTGAAACGTGTGTCACTCGTGACTCAGAGTTGAACAACCTGATTGAACTTTAGTTTTTTTCCTGTATTTTCTACTCCAACAACTTAATGCTTGCAGGAGGCTGAATTTTATTCTTCAGAATCCATCATATCCATTCTCTTCACAGAGCATATTTATGTGTTTTAAGAGAGAGTACATATGCTAATGCTAAACTTGTCTGTTTTCATTACTGAGAATAATAGATAGTCTAGATAGTCTAGAATACAGTGGATTCAGAATGTTAAGTAGCTCTTGGATGGCTGAATGGGGCTTTGAGCAAGCTGGCTTAGTGCGAGGTGTCCCTGTGCATGTTGGGGGTTGCAACTAGATGATATGAAGGTCCCTTTCAACCCAACCCATTCTATAATTCTTTGCGATAGAATAAAAAAAGTTCATTATACTATTTGGCTCACAGCTAGTGGGTGACACTTGATGTATTAGTTATGGTTTATGCATACTTGCTGAAGACTAAAGCATGTAGATCACCTTTTTTTTTTTTTTTTTTTTGATTATGAGGAAAACAATTACCAGTTAAGTTGCTCTTTCAGAGTTCCATCTTCTAGTGAGATTTCTGCAAAACTGCATGTTGCTCAGCCTGGAAATGACAGCAGGGTTCCAGTATTAAACATTTACTCTTCGTCAGACTGTCAGTATGAAGTGAGTAACAAACATTTATTTTATACTTAGTTTGCATTGCTCTGTGTGTGTGTATATATATATATTTTTTTTTTTTTTTGCTTCATTCAATCTTTGAAATCATGTACCAAAATAAATACTAAGCAAATCTGAAATTGAGCTGTTTCGCCTTTTCATAAATATAGCACATGTTACAAGTGTTTTTAAAAGTTTAGAGAACAAGTGGAAGTTGGACTTACATTTAAGCAATACTTTAAAGTATATGTTTTTAAGAAAAGTAGTTGGATGTAAGCTGTTGTGCATTTTAATTACAGGATTGCTGTATTTTAAATTGGCTTCTTGAAAGTATTTTGTATTTGCTTGCTGTTGTGTAAAATAGCATTCAATAAAATCTTAATTTTTATGCAGGTAATTCTGAAGACATCGTTTTTACAAATTCTTGGGCAAGTAAGAAATCTTCTAATACTAGATTTTGTGTTTTATATCAGTCCCTATACAAGTTATTCCTTCCTGCCACTCCTTACTATGGCATATCAAATCCCTTCTTGATGCCAAGAGAAGTATTATTCAATGACCGGTTAAAACCTTGTTACTTGGTAAGGCATCCCATCCCATGCCTTGCCAGGCATCCATTTTCAGAATAGAAAAGCATTCTAGCTTTAAAGAGCTCGTGTAGATGTTGAGCATTTGGCTTTGCAGTTAGCCCAGTATCTATAGAGGTATGACGCTGTAGGTCATTTTCACTTTCTTGCCTGGTGAGTCAATACTGTTAAAACTTTAAAAGAACATTTGGCATCAACTGCAAGTTTTTCAGGGGGAAAAAAGGAAAAAAAATAAAAATCTATATGTCCATTTTAAATATTTTTTCTTTCTTTATCAATGAAGAATACTTTTCTACATTGGTATAAAAATAGACTAGCCATCTGCAATTTTCTGATTCTAAAAAGTAATGTAATTCCCAAGCATGGATATATAGTGCTGGAATATTACTGGCAAGTTCCTTTATTTGAATATGTGCCTTTCTATCAAGGATTTCTCATCTTGTTACCATTTGAAAAGAGATTGTGTAATATCTATATAGAGGTGGATATCAACTCATGACTTGGCACAGTGGAAGCCAAGTGAAATATACAAGAAATTAAGTCTGAAAAATCTTTGCCAAAAGGGTACCTAACTATATATAAGTTTTGCTTCAAACGTGGCCTTTTGCTTTTAGGGTTTGTTTATATATTTTACTGAAACACCATTAAAATGCTATTGTATTCTTTTCACTTCTGTCTTGACTGGAAAAAAAAAAAGCTTTCATTTATCAGAACACATTTGAGTTGTCATTTATGAGATATCCAAATATCCGTATGTAGTATTTATTGCTCATACTGGTTATCAGATACTCGTCCATGAAAATGAGAAAGTATTTTCATCTTCTAGGAAAGATTTTCTAGTCACATTATCATGCTGGTTTTGTGATAATCTTTTGTATATGTTTGCAAGTTATTCTTATATCCTTGTCTTTCAGATAATAAGGTTCCATGCTGGCGCTCTTCCTGTCTATGTTGTTTCTAATATCCTCCTTACCTATGGAGGACAACTGAGCACACTGATGTCAACAGGTAGATTTCTAGAAAAATATTTTTCCAGTGTTTTTAAAGAAATTACTTATCCAATTTACTATTGAAAGGCTAGCTAGTTGGTGTGATATTTTTTTTAAGCTAAGTATCATTGAACTTGGGTGAATTTTCCAGATCTATGCTCCTCAGCTTCAGTTACTGTGTTTTAGTAGTTCTCCGAGGCTGTATGCTGGCAGAATATTTCCTTCTTTTTTACTCTGTAGTCCCTTCCTTGTGGTTGGTGTGTTGCATGGTATTTTAATATTAATAGAAAATACTTAAAAACACTTGTGAAAGTTTAAAACATACTATTATTATGCACAGAACACCTCGATCTTGCATAAAGATGAGATTTGACTGTTATACCTGACTTAAGACAAATAGCATTTTCATTTAAATTCAGGTTTGTATTTGTAGCAAACTCTGTAATTGCTCTAGAAGTTCTTGTGTCAAATTACCTGAATGTGAATGATCCACTGAATAAGGCCTTTGAGGATCATAGAATTACAGGGTTAATTTAGGCTGAAAAAGATCCCTCAAGATTATCAAGTCCAACCATGATGGAGTGTGCTGACTTAGTGTTGTCATAAGACGTGGTTATCTTGTTTTAAAGTGAACTTTCAAAAAATTGTCTGAATTTACTTTTTGTTGTGGATAATCTTTGTTAAAGTTCATGACAAAATAATAATTATAGATACTTTCTGTTCTTGATTCTAGGCCAGTGTTCAGAATTTTCCCTTGAACTAATTAGAACAGCTAAACCCTACAAAGTAGAACCTATTATAAGCATTGTTGTGTTTCTGCAGGGGTAAGTTTGCATAATTTATTTATTTAAAGCAGTTTCTAAAACAGAAGTTTCAAAATTCTGAAACTTGGTTTGGTGGGAGGATTATTATTCTGATTTCGTTGTGAACACCTGACATTTTGTTTGAAAGGGTGTTGTAAGAGTTGATATATGTCTTACCGTAATGGCAAGTCAAAGTCATAAGTAACACTGCTTTCATGTTTTTGGCAGGTTTAACTGGTTTAGAGAGATATGGGATTCACTCTCGCTGCCAGAGGTGGATGCTGCTGTACTGAGTAGTCAGGATGTATGGTTCCCCCTCGTGTCCCTGATTCTGTTTCTTCTGGGGGCAGGCATTGCCTACTGGAGTGCAGTATTTTTCTCTGCATCTCTGAGAGTCTTCTCTACATTATGGTTAATTCTGATTAGGTAAAACAACATTATGCTCTATAATTATGCTTTTTTTTGATGACTGCAACATTCATTTTGGTTGGCTTCAGCATGAATGGTTGGGTAAATGAAATTCTGCAGTACGGTTCATACGTGATTTTAGATATCTGGGTTTGTCAGTGTTAAATATTAATGAAATATCAGAATAGCATTATTTTCCTTGTTTAACATCTCCAAAAGGGAACTTAAATGGCTTTCCTTCATCAGCTGCAATAAAAGTTTTCAGTTTTACTTTTTGAGGAATGCTTGTTGGAGGAAAGAACACGGCTGAACTATTTCCTTCTCAGCAGCTGATGAATTTTACAGATGATGTCTAAGAATACTGGAATGTTTTTGTATGTACAGATGAGTGCTGAAAAAGGAAAAGGGGGTTAAGAAAAGGGGGGAATGGAAAATAAAGGTTTTGAAAGAGTAAATTAGAAATTGGATAATATACTTAGCTAATTTGATGATTTCACTGTTCTCACACTGATAAAGTCCTCACCTAGATTTCAGCCAATAGAAAACTAATTTGGTCTGTCCAGAAAGTTAGTTGGGATGCTCTTTGCTTAGAAAATACCTACTAAATGAACTTTTTATTTATCAGTAGTACTTCTGGTCTTATTCTATCAAATAATACACATGGTGTGAGCTACTTTTTCTCAGCCATCTTATTCATCAATAATAGTGAATGTGAAGACATTTAGTTATAAGCGATGAAGTGAGCAACTTCTAAGTTTTGAAATTACTCTTACTAAATTTAAGATTTTTAGCTCAATTTAGCCCTTAAGCAGAGGCAGGAAAATTAGATTTTGTGTTATTTGCCTGTAAGTCAGATCGTTCTTTGTAATGAATTTTAATACCTCACACAGTTATATTACCTTACACAGGTTCTGATCCAGTCCTGAATTTCTTGAAGAAAAAATAAAAACATATAAATCTCTCTAAAGTATATGGGATTCAATTGGGTTTTGCTTGGTCTTCTGAAAAGATCTGATATAGCCAGCAGCAAAGAACTTGTCACTAGCTGCCTGTGGAGTTCCTTGTTCCTACCAAGTACCCTTCTTGTGGTTATTTTCAAAATTTGTTGTGAAGGTTTTTTAAATTTTCCAAATAATGCTTCTTCCCATTTTCACTGTCTTAACATTGGAATGTTCAGTGAAATTCTGAGAGGTTACAGACTTTTTCACCTTTCCATTGCATTTCCTTACCACCTTCTTCCCTTGGTTTTCATATCTTCTCAGCTCATCTTTGTCATTTCAGATTCATACTGGTCTCTTAGTCATTTCAGCTGGAGTCCAGAGACTTAAAATAAAATTTTCTGTCTCTCTGAAACTGTGAGTAAGCAGAAACCCTTGTTTGGGAAGAATGTCACAAAACGAGTCTTGCAGACTTACAGTATGCTGCTGTGCTATCACTGATCACTGCAGTGTAGTAATGTTTGTAGTAGGAGTCACTCTGATGGTACAACTGTGCAGTAGTAAGAATATGGTTTTGGTTCTCCTGGGCTCCACAGAAGAGCTTAGTGACTGATGCATATCTGGAGTTAGGATAACCTAATGCTTAATGTTCACCAATGTATCCGTTATGTTCCCCAAATGAAGTAAAAATAGTGTCTTAGTTAGAGACTAATAACAACTAATAATGTATTGGTTACAGACGTACAGGAAGGTGTGAGATGGTTTTGTTAGTTTGATAAAGTTATTTGCAAAGTAGCTTACGTAGCAGTTAGTGTATATATTAAAATTTGTTGAACTTTATTTTTTTGGTGTTTAATCAATATTCAGGAGGAATGTATTATTCATTTGAGTCATTCATGAAACAATTATTCTTTGATATCTGGTAACAACGTGAAAACTACCAAGTATAATGTTAAGGTTTTTTTGTTTGTTTGTTTTTAAGACCTACCGTGCTTCAGAAAGATAACAAGTTGTTTACATACAGAAGACTCTGTGTGATGGGGTCTCTTGCTTTGGTTAGCTGGACCACTTGTGGTGCACTGGCTGTATTCGTTATCTATCTTCAATATTTGTTTAAGGTACTGAAAAGCTAAGCATTCCAGATATGTACATAATGTCAACATTTCATCTGCTTTGAATTAACCCAGTGTTAAAAGCAAAAATAGAGGTTACCATTTTTCATACTTTAAGGAAATGTGGTTATTCGCATACTTGAAATAGGTCTTTTTTGAACTCCTCAGACTTTCAATCTCACACTACTTAGAATTATTTTGTTGTTTTGATTGTACTTTTTTCAAAGGAATGTATGGTCCTATATGCCTGCTACAATAATTCGTATAGTTTAAATTTTTTCTTATGAATGTCATGTTATAAAATCAAAGACTAATTGGCTCCCTTGGCTGTAGTGAAAGAAGATCCTTGAATGTTCTGTAGAATACTTTTTATTTTAAAGACTTCACAAATCCTTATGAAGTAAAAGGAAGGAAAATGGACAAATTGTAGAATTAGGACAGTCTTTATTGTGTGGCTAATTTGTGGCACTGGCCAAGGGATCAAGGCTCCATATTTAGTCCCTGCTATTCAGTTTCCATGGTCTTTTTTGCATCAGAGCATCTAACTCATCTAAGTTAGATATCTGATTCACCCCATGGTTATATAGCTGCTAAAACAGCTACTGTACTTAGTTACTAGGGAAGCCTTTGGGAGCATGCACCTGGGAGTTAAGGGTACAAAGTGGAGCAGCCTGCAGGTGGTCTGAAGAAGGTATGTAGCAGAAGAAAGCACAGCCTGAAGAACAGGGCTCTCTTTCAAATCCCTGTGACATAAAGTTACCCTGTGAAGGACATTTCCATGCTGACCCTGCTTCCACTTCTGCAGTAAATTTCTGATATGGGACTTCTCCTTTGTGGCCTGATGTGTGTTTTTACAGAAGGGAAGTAAAACTGAGTTATCAGGAGGAAGAGGAAGTAAGGAATATGCAGATTTTCCGCTGGTATTCCTTTTCTATCACAGTGGAAGCAGACCAGCTCAACTTCTCCCTCTGTGCTTGGAAACCCTTAAGAGAGCACTTTGGATGTTGCTGATTAGAAGGAAGAGGGAGTTCTAGAATCGCGGCTCCATTGGGACCCTAGAATTATCTATCTATAAAAAGGGACAAAAAATAATTAGCCTGAGATTCTTGTATACTGTAGCTATCGTGTGAAGCAACATTTGTTAAAAAGCCAAATGGTCTGTCTTACAGGTAATAAAACTACATGTGAATGTAGGAGCAGAAAAAAACATGCTAAATGGGGTGAGTATTTCCTGTTTCTCCTCAAAATTAAGTGACCAAAAATCGTTTGGCAAGCCCCATGCATTATAAATTATCGTCTTGCCATTACAGTATTGAGTTGTGTCGTGATGACCAGGTGGCTGTGGAGTTTACTTACTGTATGCACGATGTGAAAGAAAAGCCTGGACACAAGTATCCTATATGGTCACTGCATTCACTGCTGAAGATCACTGCAGTGCAAACTTGACTGAAAACATTTTAGGAGAAATATTTAGTCTCTAAAGATATAGCAGAATGACAGTTTTTTGTCTGAGTTTTGGTACCTGCCTTATCTAAAGAAAAAACCTTTTTTCTAGGTATAAACTATGTTTATAATAACGTATACTCTTTTTCCAGATAGGTAGCTTGTGGAGTTCCGAGTTCTTTGTTTGTTTGTTTGTTTTAATCAGGAGGTGACAAATATTACTCATTAGATGGATATGGATTGAGATTCCAGTAAATTGGGAGCTATTTGAAAAGGAGTGAAGAAGCAAAATATTGCTGGGTTTCATGCAATGTGAATTTTGTTTCTTTTTTTCAGTTACTTTAACATATAGGATCTGAAGTGTAAGTGCGTGGATACATTCATATAATGACTACTCATTCTTCTTTCATAAAATAAGGTTAAAAAAGTAGTCAGCCAGGACATGTTGTTGATAATTTTCTTTGGGACTTTGGGGTGTTATTTATGTTTAGTTTTAAATTTTCTCCATCTCTCTTCTTTTATATTCGTATCATCTTTCCTTGTTTCATTTGTATTTTTTTCTGTCATTGGAAGTTATCATCTGCCAACTCATTTATCTTTGTTATTCATTCCTACAGTTAATGTTTTACTCCCAGTTACATTACCTTCTGTATATTTCTTCCATGAATGATTATAAGTGATTTTCACCCACATGTATTATTATTTCTTTTATTCTGTTCTTCCTCCTTCCAGGAACTCCATATTTTTCTCACTGCAGTGGTGTCAGGGTATCTCCATCATCCATTCTTTTTTTTTTTTTTCCAAAGACACACAAACTATTAGTGTAAGAGAAATTGCTGGTTAAATCTAGATGCTTTAAAATTGAACTATTGAACTCTGCTTTTGATGGCTTTTTTGAGGGATAAATTGCAAATTTTCTTCCTGAATCAGAGTTCATATGCGACTGTAGGGACAATTTTTCCCTCCTGCTCCCTTCTTAGGGTTCTTAGAAGCCAGCACGTGTTCTTATGACTACTGTCTTTTATCTTCAGGACCCAGACTGCTCAAAAGAAACTTCACAGAACTCCAGTAGACATACGGTGAAAAGCCGAAGTTTGAGAGACTTAACTTCAGAACCAACACAATCTCACTCCAATAGTACGACAATTGCTGAAACTGTTAACAGTCTTAAGATCCATCTTACAATTCTCTATTTATTCACATGGATTGTGCTGCTGAACCTGCCATCTTTAGTTTACTGGTTTAAAAATCTCAGGTAATTTCTTAAATTGCCAGTAAGGGTGGAGGAAAAGAATCTGAACCTTGGAAGATAGTCACAATTGCAAATGCTTAATTTTTCTACCTACCTTATAGCATGAAAGACTTCAGATAACTACAACTGTAACTAAAGCTAGATTGCATGGAAAGAACAATATAAGTAGATGTTAAGAGGTAATACCAAATGGTATGTTGAAGGAAGTAATGAAACAGAAGTGATTTATATTCAGTTTATGATGACATATACATGACATATATGTTGTTATTAGCACGTCATTGCTCCCACCTTGGATTTTATTTGGTAGCCTAGTTTAAAAGTAACGTGCTCTTAAAACTAACTCACTTTTTTTGGCAGGTACAATGTTAGGCTCGATCCTGATCCTTGTAGATCTACAGCTATTATCCTTGTATGCATTTTAGAAATTCTCATGAATTCAACTACTTCTGAAGTGAAATCAAGGTACTGTAGCCCAGTTCTCAGTTGTTTTACCGCTTCTTTCTTAATTTGTGCTGCACATATATGTAATTGCTCAGCCTACACAGAAATTCCTAAACTCATATAGTTAAATCTTAAGGACTAGGTAAAATGTAAAATGTATACGAATGACCTGTAGTTCAGGTAAGCGAAGGAAAACAGCAGTGTTTACCATATAGACTTAAATGAAATATTACTATCTAACCAATCAGTTGTACAAAGACTCCTTTTATGAATTTTTCATTCACAACTCATTGAATGTTTTTAAATGTTACAGAATCCTAATACATCTTAAAAATTTTTATCTGGAAGTTACAAGGAAAAGTGGATCTGAAACCACTGTAGATATATTCTTATAACGCTCCCTTATGGGCACAATTGAAAAATGTGCCTGTAATGTGGTTTCTGCTGAGTTAAGAAGTTTTGAACACTTGTTTTTGCTGACAGATAGAGAATTTCTTCCTCAGACATAAAAGGTAGTCAGTGTCCTATGAAAGATTACTACTAATAAATAATGTAGTTTATTCTCTTGACCAATACCTGTTAACTCGAATAATTTAAAACATTACACCTTTGTGTTACAGTTGATTTATTTTTAAATTAATATAAGGATAATGTTAATTGACATTTTAATAGTCTTTTGGCATAATTTCTCTTGCTTATAAATCACTATTTTCCACTGAACTTAGACATTCTGTTTAAAAAGAGCAAATCTTTGAAATCTAATTTTCAGAAGAAAATTAAATATGCTTCTTTTTTTTTTTTTTTTTTTTTGCTCCTTCTGCATGTGTGACTACAAAAATACCATTTTTTTCTTTATATTCTTACAGTAAACTCTTGAAGATTGCAGCCAAAGTTCCACTCCCTTTGTCTGTTGCAATGTTGGCTTTTGGACGAATGCATTTATACAAAGTACCCCACTTTGTAACTTTTTCTCTTCTTCTACATGTACTATGTTGTCTTGTGTAACATTGGTTATACATAAGAAGAATATTGCAGCCTAGAAGTAATTCTGGAAAGGGGGTAAATTTCAACAAAGAAATGCCTTGATTAACATGGTAATTTGGATTATTTGGGAAAGATGACAGAACCACAAATACTTTATAAAAAGTTTATAGTTCTGTTCGTGTTGCTTAGAAAGCTTCTCATGGTGTTTACTTCCTGACTGTGAAAATTAAGTGAATTAACAATGTGTGTGTGTGTGTAAGCACATAAATCTTATTAGTATAACATCAATACTGTTTGCCTTGCAGACACTTTGATATTTCACTATACTTCTTTGTTTAAACAGACTTTTTTTACTCAGTATGCTGTGCAATGCATATGTTCTAAACTTGCGTATCTTGCAGGTCTAAAGTATGCTGGTTAAAACTGAATAAATTTCAAGCACACTGTGACTATCACAAAAACTACACAGCCAAGTATAGTTTTAATCATTTTATGCTGATTTAAAAGCTGTCACAGTTGTGTCTAGACAAACTGGAATGTACTGCTTTTATAGAACTGCTATTTCTATCAAAGTATTTGTTCAGTCGCTGTTGAACATTTGTGAGATTATTGAAAGTCTTACACATTTTACTTTTTGTGAGAGTAAAAAAACAACAATACTCTGTGTAGCTTTCTATTCAGGAAAGATGTCAGCAGATTCATAAACAATTTGCTCTAATGTTGTTTTAAAACATTGCCAATTTTTTGTCCATACGTAGAAGCTAGCAAACAGTGAGGTATAGTGTGAGTTTACAGCACAGTTGCTATATTGCACTGTTTACAGGTAGGCAAGGCATTTTTTTTCCTATCATAAATGGAGAATCAGTCATGTTCTAGTAAATGTCCATACAGTAAATTAATATGGAATAGTTAAGTTACAACAACGTAAATTCAGTGCCTTGCCATGCTGTGCTAACTTCCTCATGTGGACTCCTGGTACTAGTGGCAAATACTGACCATAATTATTAGCTCTGCGTAAAGTATTATCGTTGTGCCTAGATGCTACAGTGACTGCCATTTATAACAACGCCTAAAATAGCTGTGTGTAAGAAATTCCATCTCCTGGGTACGTGTTTTGCCTACAGAAGAAATCACACTAACCATTAGGTTAAAATGAGGTATTGATTCTGTGTAGAGATGAGCACTTGCTTCTGTGTCAGCTGTCTCCACTATCTGAGATATCTGTCATTCTCATATGGAAATATTATACCAGCTTAATTACTTTATATGGATAATACCAGGAAATCTGCTACCTACTGTCAATTGAGTGTATTCTTAATATAGCCGTAGATCCTGACACATTGATTTTATTGTATCTTGTTATTCTTGCCTAAAGTGCCTCAGTTACTTCTAGCTTGTTCTTAGGGTCAGTTCATTTGAGCCGGCTGGAAAGACTTATTAATTCACACAGACTTTCCACAATGAACTTGTTTGGTCACCTTATAAATAAGTCAGCAGTTCAAGTTATCGGTAAGTCATTAAAAGCTGCTTTAACTGAAAAGGTTATTAGTAGCTAATCAAACCACTGTCACTGGTGTCAGTAATTGCTGTGCTGGTCTTCCAGTCTTAACATTTTAATCAAAAGGTTAGATTATGCGTAGTGTTTGTAAATCAGAAAAGTTAACTCAATATATTATATCCTGATACTATCTAACCAAATACATGCTACAGTATATGTATAAATGATAATTTGTTGGTATATACTTGTAGCTTGATTTAACCTAAAAATTACTGTTCAGACATAGAAGAATAGAGTAGTTTTTGTACTTTCAAGTGGCTGTGGGTGAAAGACAATGACAGAACCTGCACTGGGGCTGGTAAAAGGCTGTCGTGAAATGTGCAAGATGGATTTCAGTGGAAGATCATTTCCTTGATCTTCATGATTGGTTTGGCTTACTAATGTATTTACTGTATTTTACTTCTGATTTTAGTTTTCCATCTTAATCAGATCTTCATGCACAAGCTCATTTTTTGGAGCTGTTGGTGGAATAAAATAATAGAATAAGGAGAGGAAACAGTCTCAGCATGTAGCAACTTTGATAGCTTACAAAATCGAACAGAGAAACATACTGAATTACAGCAGCATAGAATAGCACCAAATTTTTCATTTAATGGTATTTTTTAAGCTGTGAATTTTGTTGATGTTGTTAAGACTCCTCATGAATGAGTTACAGAATTTTGGGTAGTGATTTTCAAGGTGGAGGCAGGAAAAGAAAAATGTAATCCTTAGTCTGAGATTCCAGACTTTATCACTTCTCTGTTAATGCTCCTTTTTCCAGAGGCTACTTATATTCAGAGGGGGAAGTAGGGGAAGTCTTATCTGCTAGTTTGGATTTTGTGTTCTTTGTCTGTCACTTGCTTGATAAAAACTGTGCTCTCAGAGATGTGCATCTGGATTTTGCAGTGATTGTGGACTGTCTAACTAGCTGTTCAAGAGATCAGGTTTCTAATCACAGTTAGATTCCATGTATAATCATTGAAGGTACTAAGACAAGTTCAGAGGACAATTCATCCCGTTCTAAGAGAGGATGAATGAAAAGATTTTATAAACATCTAAAATTGTTTTTAAGGTAAATACTATGATCTTCCTTTTAGAGAGAAGGCTTCTGTTCTGCAAATTTCTAGTTCTGCCACATCCACCTTTACAATCTGAGCAGAAATGTAGTCTAACCCACTGAAAGGATTTTTAATTGACTGCACGAGGAAGTGTAGGTATTACCGAAATAGCCTTTATCTGAGGAGGCTGTGGTTATAAAACAATTTTTGGGAAACATATTGGAATGTCTCTTAATACATTTAAATCAAAATTTCTGTTTATTCTTCAAACTTTATCTAGACTATGGGAGAAGGCACAAACTGGTCTGTGATAGATTAGAACTCTGCTCCCTAAGGGAAGATTCCTGCTGACATGCAGACTCCAAATTTGTTGTTCTGTTCCTTTTCAGAAATTGAGGTATTAATTTCACAAAACCACTGTACTTTATCCATGTGGATGTTCAGCATGTTAAGATGGAGATTATGGTGTGTAAAACAAGCAATTTTTGGCTTGTACCTCAGGATGCATTCAAAAGAAAAGTTTTTGTGGCTTGTATGTTTTTATAAGCTATCAGAGCAGGAGTTAAAACAAAAAAACAAACAACACAACAGCTACAAACACACAGAAGAACAACAAAAAACACCACCACCACCACAGGAGATGAACCTAGGCTACCAAATGTCACTAATTGTATAGCAAAGTTTTTTGTTGTTGTTTTTTGTTTTGTTTTGTTTTGTTTTTGGGGGGGGGTAGGGGAGAGACTTAATGAGAATCTTTTAGTGAGATCCCCATAACTTGAATTCCTCATGAAGTCTAATCTTTTTTGGTTGATGTAATCAAACGTGGATTTTCTTCACGGTCTTGTGACTCTGCAATAATAGTAGCTACACCTGTAGCTATTAGATCATAAAAGGTCTATATTTGTATGGTATAGAAAAAGTGTTACCGCTTAACTGGAATTACCAAAGGTGATATTTTCAGTTTCATTTAAACGGTAGTTGCAGTATGTCATATTTTTGCATCATGTGAAATGTCTGATAGTTCTTTTTTGTTTAGTAACTGGAATTCCATTTAATTTTATTTGTAAAACTTGGAGTTCTGCTCTGATTTCTTTTGAGTGCGACGATACATATAGCAATTTATTGCTAAGTATTCATTTGCAAAGATTTAAAAAAAAAAAAAACAAACACACACACATACACCAAAACAAACAAACCTGAACAGTGTAATTGTAACATATTGCAGAAGGAATGGAGACTGCCTGTGAGTGAGTTTTTCAACTGTGTTGAAAGTCACCCTAATGGGCTACCTTTAAAGAGTCATGCTTTAGCGAGTAAACAAAACAATGCATTGATACTTAAAACAAGCAAAAAGGATTGTGTTGGTTGGTATTTGATATGAAGTCGAATTCTCCATCTATTTTCCAGTAACAAGTTTATAAACTTGTCACCTGGCTTTTTTTCCTGAAATTTGATATATCTATTTCTGTGCTTGACAGAACGGAAAATTGAAGTTAAAAAATAAAGTTAATTATGTGCCCGTGCATAAATTTAAACACTTACGAAGCCTTTTTGATCAATCTGATAAAGTTTAGTTCAATCCAGTAATAAGCACTGTGATAAACATACAAAAACGTAAAACAAACATTTTCTGGTTTGTATCTCAGGATGCATTCAAAGTAAGATTTACATGTCTCATGTGTTTTTATGAGCTATCAGAAGGGGAATTTTTTAAAAAAAAAAAGGCAACAAAGGACAAGAACCTAGAGTACTGAATGTCAGTAATTGTACAGAAGACAAGACAGAAGTCTTCTTTATACTGCAGAAATAGAGCAGCTATTTAAAGGCTGTCAATACTTAGAGCTACTGAAAATATTTTTGGAGGTGGTTATGGTGTCTGTTCATTAACTGTGCTGCTGTTTTAAGTCACTAAGCCACTACAAAATTGTTAGCTGTAGAACAGACTGAATTCTTACTGTTTCTTTTATATTTCATTGTGAATGTTAGTCACTTAGTTTTCAGGTTTGACTTTTTACATCTCTTTTTTTGGAAGATAATCAAACTGGCTTTTACAAGCACTTAGCACTGTACTGTGAATTGTTTTAAAACTTTCATCGCCATTCCTTTAGCAGAAACATACTTCTGTCCCTAAAGCTATGTGCTGCTCTTATATACCTCTGGAAATGTTTGCCAGGGAATGACAATTGAAGAAAAAAAAAAGTATTTATGTTAAAGTAAAATACTTTTTCTACCTTTCCTTAGAGCTAGAACTTCCAGCTAGTATTCATAGTACAATCCATTAAGTATTTAAAAAGCTTGTATGAAAAACCTATATTTTGATGCATTTTCATATTTACGGAAGAATGTATTCAAAACTTCTAATCAGGTCAGTTATCTTTATCTAAAAGACTAAAATGTATACATTTCATCTTGTTACTAAACATTACTGCTTTTTAAAATAAATATAAGAATTTAGGGAGAAAATTCTATAGCTTTTACTGAAGTAAATCTGCCCACCACTTTAATTCTTCAGGTATCTCAGCATATAACTGTCTCAAATATGTGCTTACTGTGTTGAGTACGGAAACCAGTCACACTTGTGATATTTTGACCTTAATTTGGTTTAATATTTAGGGTCTCATTCTGTATTCTTACATGCAAGTTGCAGTTTTTGCAACTCATATATTCATGAATAAATCTTGTAAACATATACTCTCTGCAGTTAATGATGGGTTTTGGTCTGAATTCTGTAGGACGCGTGTAGTATCAGACCTGATCTTGTGTCTATAAAATCCAGGAATGGCACACAGACCTGTTATTCTGCAGCACATCATTCCAGTTCTTGCTTCCACACATGGCTATCCTTGCTGTGCAGTATCCTTCTGCTGTAGCACAAAATTTAGGCTTCACAGTAACAGAAGGCACTGCAAATGACATAGTGAAGATACAGAGCGTCTGTCCCTGTTGTTTTATTAAGTTGTGCGTGTTTGTTGAAATACCAGCAAAGAGTTATTTTTCCTCCAACTGCATAAATGCTTTCGAGGCATATGTCAAGCATGCAAGTGTTTTGATGTTTAGCTTTTTTAAATGCTAAATGCACTATTCTGGGATCGACTCAGGCTTCCGTATTTTCCATTTGTGTCGCTTTGAGTGTGAACACAGTATTAGAGACTTCAGTACATAACAACTGAAATATTTTACAGAAGTCTACAAAAGTAGACGTGACATATATAATTAGAGTGCCAGATCAAAATTGAAATGTGAAATTTCTCACTGTGACTCGAAACTTGTAGCTTTCTAAAGCAAAACAAACAAACATACCCTGTGCCTTAAAGCAGCAAATTAATACACTTTAGCCTATAGACTTCTGTAGCCTTTTTTCATTTTTGAAACCAACCAAAAATATTTGTGTGGATCATACTGAAACTTGATTTGGGGAGAATATTTTTTGACCCCTCCTCCCTTTTTACTGCATTTGCAGGAGATTAAGATTTATGTGAAGTATGGTGTACTTGTGGTTTGGAATCATCACTTGAAGTCAGAAAGCTTTAGTGACTTACTTCTCAAATATGCCTATTATGACAAAAAGGAAAATAGGGAAGAAAAAATAGTCTCAGATGTGGCTTGTCTTCTGTATGTCTAAGTATTCTAATTTTTTGTTTAGTTTCTTCAAAACTGTAGCTCAAGCAAAATATTTAAGACATTGAATATCAGTATCTACACCAGTGTGAGAGGAAAAAGTGGTTTGGGTGTAGTGTGGGGGTTGTTTGCTTTTAAGCTCCAGCAGTTTGAGTACATGATTTCAAGTTTTAGGGAAAATATTCATATATAAAAGCCTGAAAAGATTGAAAAAAAAAATAGGTGTCTGCATTCTGTTCTTCTCAGAAACAGAAATATTCAAGATCCCAAAATCCTGCTTTGATGTAGTAAATACAGATGTATAAATATAAAGTATATATTTTTAATATGAAGACCTTAGGAAAGCCACTTCTCGACCTCTGTTTTTTTCTTTGTTCTCTCTATAGAATTGTTTGTTTTGAACAAAGCCCCCCAAATTCTGAGTCTGTTGTTTTTCAGTAGTACTAAGTAAGACTGATTCTTGATTAGAGATGCCGTATCTCAAAGACTGTCATTGGACTGTGGATATTTCAAAATGCACACACAATGACTTCATGTCAGGTGAAACAATCACTGTTTGCAGCAATACAAGTAGGAGTTACTAACTTTCTTTTGTGGACATCTGAATCTGGCTGTCGTAATCCTGATTTTAGTGTGGAACAACAGAAACCACGCAATTTTTGTGTCTTCTTTGCTACTTCCTTCCATATGTGAGTTTAGGACTTTTAAAACTCTTGATCCAATTGCCTAACTTGATCTTTGTTCTGTGCTGATGATATTTCAGTAATCCTAGTCATTGTTGACATCCTGGCTACAGGAACACTAGTACGAAAATCATGGAGAGGGCAGAACTACTTTTAAGACTTTATTTACGATGGTGAATCTAGAAAAATTATGCAGGCCTAGTAATCCAAAGCAAAAGACAGCATAATATTGGGTAAAACACCCTATTTAGCTGATGGGTATTGCAGTTGTCTATTTCTTTTTGCTAGGAGGGCTTTATATTACTGAAAGACACACACATAACTTTTGGAGATATCTATTGGTTAACGAACAGCCTCACTTTTAACTCTTCCTCTATTTAGAGTTCTTATATAACTAGTATAAACCTCGTGTTTTAGGTGGAGCTAACTCTAACTGCTAAAGGTTTCTGGAGATGTTGGCAGATTCTTATCAGTAAGTGGTTGAATAATGCTATAAAAAATTATTGTGCTTTTTAAAACAGTTATAACTGAATTCTTGGTTCTCTACAGCGCTCACAATGTAATAAGCTTCAGCAAGTATTTGTCTTGAGATGCTGAGAAAACGTTGGAGAATACGTATCTTCAGCTAATGTTTAAATTACTGAAAGTTGAAATCTCAGTTGTTCAAAGCTGCTTTTTAGATACCATTCCTTTTTTGTTGTTGTTGAAGTTGAAGACAACTTGAATGGGAGCTATGCTGGTACTTTAATGTTTTGTTTGATGGTTTCCCTGTCTGTAGTGTGTATAAAACATGTCTTTTTTGTCCTTTTTTTTTTTTTTTTTTTTTTACTAAAGTGTACATGACTTAAAGTACACTGTATAGCATATGTTCTGTTAGATAAACACTTCTGTATATTTTTGTATGGTGTTCTAACGTGGGTGCATTAGTATAAACAGTTGTAATTCACAGAAAGTGCCACTTAACAATCATACTCTGTAGAGGTTTGTGAATGTTACCTGTACTTTCATTGCACAGACACGCTAATGAGTGTTGTGGTGAATATTTGCCTTTAGTCTTTGCTCAGGTACTGATGTGGAGCAGTTTGGTGCTTTTCCTTCCAACTTGTAATACTTGGGATTCTAAGCAGAGAATAAAAACAATGAACAAAAGCATTGTGGTTGGAGCATTACTTTACATAACAGACACTTTTTTCACATATTACATAGCATACAGTAAAGATGCTTAACGAAGCCTGTCTTAATATCATGCCTCAATATCATGTATCTTAGGCCTTTATATGTGTCTTGCTATCATGAATGGGAAATGTAAAACAGTGGAAAAAGGTTTATTGAATAACGCTTTTTATATATATAGCATCAGATGCATAAAATTTGTTCTGTAAATAACCTAATAGTTTTGATTTTGCTTCTAATTCCAGAACAGGGTTTTAAAGAATTTTTATTTTGAAGTAACTTGCATGAAACTGAAGAAGCAGTGCAATGAACATCTTCAGCTTCAGTGGAATTTTAGAAATATATGAATATTACTGTGTCATATTGCCTATGTCATTGGTATAGCTTCTTTCAGAAGATTTGAATTACTAAAGCTGTGTCTCTATGTAGGCAGTCTGTTGAGAAAAACCTAGTGCTTAAATTTGGCCACATTTAAAATGCAGAATTTGGACATCTGGCTTGAAAGCATTTGTTAAACTAGCTACTGTCCTCAAAGGAGGATACAATTTTGTTCAATCAGTCTAACTATACCAATAGTACTTTAGTATCAATGTGTACTACTTATATTTAACTTTGAAGGAAAGAACTGTAATTAAATTATCTTTAAAAAAAAAAAAATATTGGCATAAAATACATTAAAATGAGCAGTAAGTCTAAACAGACTTTTCTCTCTGACAATTAGCTTAAATTCTTGTACCTTAAAAAGAAAAACACGACTTTGTAGAGATTTTTTTTTTTTTTTAAAAAAAGACCACTTACAGGCAAACATATACTAATTGAATCTCTTGCTTGTCCACTGTGATTCATCAGTCAACCAAAATGTCTGAATTCTCTTATGGGATACCCGTAACAGTCCAACAGCAACAATGCTTGTTTCAAATTTACAAAAGACCTTGCTATGTTTTATTATCTAAATATACTGCATATCCCCCCCCATATTTTTTTCTGAATAAATCAAATGATAGAATAGAGGGGAAAAATGAAAGGGTGGCTGAAATAAACCTGTCTGCTCTTTTTTTTTCTCATTATTATTATAATTTTTTAAAGTTAAATCTGAAGTGTAAGCCCAAACTGTAAATCAAGATTTTTTTTTCCTTCCGGTCATTACCTTTAGAGGAACTTCTGGTTAATTTAGAAGGTAACTTATACAGATGCTAACAAATGACTTTTGGGCACCTCTAGGAAGGAAAAGAAGAACTGTGAGGAAATGTGGTCATCTTGCCATCACAGAGGTTTGGAAAGGTTTGAACCAATGGCTGACCAATTAGTTTTATGCCTGCTCTGACTCAGACACCAGGTTGTAGAAGCCTGCTCAGACTTCACTCCAGCACTGGTGGGAAATGTGTTTGCTATTGCAGTGATCATGGTATAAAGTAAAGATGTCAGACAGAACTGGAACAGGAAGTCCCAGGGGGAAGATGATAATATTTATAATGAAGGCAATGGAGAAATACCTACAAGGTGAATAACTGGGATCAAAACACTGTTTTGCTAAAACAATACGTTAGCTGCACAAGATATTCAGACTCGATAAATGATTAGTGAATAAAATAATGTGGATAGCCAAGTAGTATTAAGTGTTGTAGAGAAGAAACAGGTCTAAGCTAAATAGGTGTAAGATCAATTTGGTGGGATGGGATGGGATTCAGGTTAGAAAACCTGTTATTTAGGCAACAGAACTGAATCATTCCTGCTTTCTTTATCACTGCTGTGTGCTGACAGGCCTGCCACCAGAAGTGCTCTTGTGCTCTGACTAATGAAGACGTGGCACTGGACATGCATTTACAAAGGGGTAGTGAAGGAAAGCAAAGCCGTGTATACACCTGTGCTTATGTGAAGGTAAGTAAATGAAAACCAAGCTGATCAGAGACCTGTTGACCTCAACAGTGAGTACCATCAGAGTGCAAGCAGAAAACGTCCTGCTTGTGATTAAATATAGGTGAATTTTCAGATAGCTATGTGTCTCCTGTCTTAAAAGGAAATAAACCAGCTCTTGGCTTTACAGATACTGATTGTGTATGTACACAGCATAAATGTGCATTAACTAATTGATTATATATTGACTGGAGGAGGAATCAAGACCAAAGATTCTCATATGCAAGTTAACATCACTAAGGTAAACTTTTACCAACTGCTGTTTCAGTATCTCTTTTATTTACATTTATTTAGTCAGTGCCAGAAATAAAATTCCAAACCATGTTTCTGGCTACAGAGCCTGGTGTCTCTGGCAAAAGAAACCAAAGTCTGATAGGAAATCTCAGAAGTCATGTTGAAGATTAAGAAATCTTCCTCAACAGAAGCAAGTTGAGTGAATGATTCTCTGTCCATGTTCCCATCTGGGGGAGAGAAAGAAAACAACTTCCCCGCAAAAAATATTTTAAGTTTTGTTGAATATAAGCCATTAGAGGAATTTACCTTAAATATTTTAAGGTAAATTTAAATATCTTAAGGTGGTAGCTGTAAAATGGCTGCTTAGTAACATAGGACAATGTTTTGGAAAGAAATAAGGGTACTTCCATGCATAGTTTAAACTGCTCCTTAAACCATCTTAAAGTGACAAGTCTATCACCCTAAGGAAATCCAGGACTGCAGTTTCCCTTCATAATTAAATGAAAGGGCTAATTCTCCTTGTGTCTGATGATGAATTTTTTCTGTTTTTCTTTTTTATTTTTTAATGACATAAATATAGTTCCTTCCTTCAGAAATGGAGAGGTACCTTGTTTGTAAGTTTCTTTAGAATTGATTTTAGAGGCAGGTGGATTGGGAAATGAGGCTACTTTGTTTTTTAAACCTTCTGTAATTTCCATTAGATGTTTTACCTTGGCTCTGCAGAAGACTACAGGTATTTGATTTGGCACCCCTAAATATACAGTAAAATACCATATCATTCAATAAACTAACAAAACCCACCAACAATAACAGCAGCTTGGTTTAAACAGCTGTAGCAGCAGCTTATTGTGTCTCCTACACAAAGCGATGAGGAAATCATGAAATTGCTGTGGGTTGTAAGTGTAAATTCTGAGCTACATATAATGCAGTTCTCTAATAAGAAGGATGAAGCCTACCTATAGGCATTATTCCAAAACAGGGAAATCCTCATTTTATAGACTGGTAATCGAGATGCAGACAATCGTGATGTGACCATGGCTACATACATAGACTCTGCTATGCCAGAAATTATTCCTAAAGCAGATATGACAACCAAAGGTGTTTATTGTTTGAAAAAGCAAACATAAAATACTTTGCCCTAATTTTACACCAAATTTCAGAATTAAGGGTGTTTTGGTATTGGAAAATTAAGCAAGCTGCTGATCTTTCTGTTCTTATGCAATTTTTTTCAATAATGTTTTTTATTTCAACCAGTATAGAATAATATACAAGTTGGATAAGTCAACTTCTGGGTGTCAAGCTGCCAGTAAGCTGTCAGCTTGTCAAGCTGTCAATAAGCCAACACTTACTGCAGTGATGACATCAATACTGATAGAATTTTGGTTACTCTGTCGGTAATGATGTTAAGATGCCCACAATTTTGTCTGCATGGAAGAGCATCATTAGGCTTTTGTTTTAGTTTTCAGTACTGAAACCCAAGAAAGATGTAAAGCCTTCTACTCCGGAAAAACACAGTCATCATTAGGGTTAGGATAAATCTTTATCTTATCAAAAATTAGTTTTAAAATGTCTCCTTAGAGATGCATTTTATGTGATGCTAATCAAAAATCACATAAATAGTAAAGACAAGAGTGTAGTGAATGTACAAGCAAAAAATACTGATCAGTTTTGAGATGAAGGACATTACAAAATAAAGCCAAGGTAAATTAGCATAGTCCTTCTTGCACTCTTTGTCTTAGTTTGTAGTATGACAGGAGCGTATCGACTGTCAATAAGATCAGAGAAGGAAAGCAACGCTTTCATTAAAATGTTATGGTTTTGGAAACAGACATTACTTTTCTCTCTTTCTCCAGCATCAAGAAAAAGATCCATATCTCATCTTGCTTGAAAACCATTCTACCAGCTGTAATTATCTGTTAGTCACTGTTTGGTAGATGTGGTTAATATTTTTTAATTAAAAGTAATATTTTGATAGAGCTCTGCTATCTCTGCTGGGAGTTGTATTAAACTTATTATATGCTTACCACCAATTTTCTGTAATGCAGCTTAGGGAGGAGGAATTTGCACTGCACTGTTCAATAGCAACAGGTCTTAAGAGTATTAAGGATGAAATTCTCAAGGGTCTTTATGTCATGGATGGAAATGGAATCATTACTGTATTTTTGAACTGCTAACGTCATTGACACCCACCTACAGTCCACTAGAAATATAAGTACAGAGATCAGTTCGTTCGCAGATTACAAGCAGAAGAACCAAGAAGGGGCAAGCCAGAGCCAAATTCACTGGTAAGCTTTATTTTAAAGAGAGTGAAAGGTTAGAATCTGATTATTTTTTTTTTCTTGAATCAAGTTTTGAAGCAAGTCTCTAGTGTATTATACCAGACTGTATTGTTATTGCACTTATTAATATATGTAGTGCACGTTCATTTCATGAAATTAAAAAAAAAGAGCAATGTGATCTTAAGCCATAGTTTTGCATTATCCTTGGAAGCATACAAAAACTGGATACTTTAACTAATCAGCCAATGAAAATGGCTGTAATGTAATAAAAAATGTAAATTTACAAATGTCAGTTTCTTGTGTTAAGCGCCAAACTGGTCTCTTTCATAAGGAAGGAACTTGGTGTCTAGAAATAGCTTTGTTAAGGGAAACACTTCTTTAGAATAATTTGTTCATCTTAGTACTTCAGTATAGAACCAAAAAAGCTGATAGCACACAGATGTGATCTGTAGTAGGCAGATTTTCCTTGTCATGGATAATTTGCAGTGCTCCTTTGGATTGTTAGCGTAACTTGTTAGCAGTGACAGTTCTGTAGGACTGAAGGAGCCTGGTTCTTTGTCCTTCTAACAGGTAGTCTGTTCATCTTTTCAACATGTGGAAAGTGGTGCTCCTGGGTCTATATACAGTATTGGCTGTAAGAGGATTGACAAAGGGTGCTCCTTTCCAACCAGAAGAAAAATGGAAACCTCTAGATAACCCTAGAAACAGAGATCTGGTAAGGAAATGCTGCAAGAAGGATAGTCTAAGTTTTGTGTGTTTGTGTTTTCTATCACAAGATTTTTTGTCTACTAATATACAGGTGAGAGGGTTTAGTAACTATGCACTTTGTATAGCCAATGACAACAACTGGATAAGCATTCTTCAGTCTAGGTGTACCTCTTAACTGAAGAGACATTCTTAGTGTGATCTTCATCCAGCAGGTTTACTTTTAAAAATGTTTTGATCATACGGATGTTCATTTTATGGTCCAGAACAGGAATGATTATTATGTTTCTTTCAAATTTGTACTCTGTTGATTACATGTTTCATCTTCTAGATGTACAGGTAAGTTTCCATCTGGCATGTTGTTTGTAGCAAAAGATCTGAAAGTTAACCACTTGCAAGATCTTATAAGTAATTTGGGGGGGGAGTTTCCTACAGTTTTCCCCACTGTTTAAAGAAGCATTGATTAAATATTTCTACTTGTAAGCAATCTAAGGGGCCAATTCAAATCTGTTGTCCACTGCTGCTAACTCTTGGAGAACAGTGTCTTTAGCGAAATGTTTAACAGAACTGCACTATTTGCCCTCAGCAAGGGTTTTGCTGTGTCTGTTTTAAAAGGATTAACATTTGCATCTTCTGTGGTTCAATTGGGAGCGTGGATCACCAGTAAAATGCTGGTGGTCCTTAAATGCTATCAGCCATGGGCAGATTGGATGAGTCTCAACTCTATTGCCTATACTGCATCAGTTTATGGTCAAAATAGAGCATTTCATCCATTATAGGTGGAAATGTTTAATCTACTGTGTTTCAGTATGAATAATTAATGTCTGTTGGGCGTGCTTTGTTTTCACATATGAAATATGTTCAGTTTTTCAGAACACTCCAGGCTTATTTTTCGGGCAGGGGACTTGATCTCAGAAAATTCCCAGCTACTTTCACTATGAACAATGAAGGACCGAGGCCTGTCATGTTCTACTCAGATCCTATTGCTTCTGCATTTGCAGATTATGAAGAAAGGAAAAATTCTTTTCCAAATCATTTCAAAGGCTAAAAGATGGTGCTGAACCAAGGTAAAAGAGGATGCCTTTTCCTCTAATGTTGTTACATGTAAGCCAGTGAAAGACTTGAATTCAAGTGATTCTCACTTTTGTCTGAAGTATAAAAACAACTTGTTATTCAGAAGAAATGAAAACTGTGACACCTTAACTCATGCCTGAAGTTTTTTGGATATTGTTTGAGGTAGAGATTTATGAGGTGTTTACTACTTCTGTAAAATAACACGTGGTACTTGTGCAGATCTATATAGACCATGCTTTTTTTTTTTTTTTTTTCATGGGGAGAGGAATGCTGAAAATGTACACGTAATAGAGAAGGCAGATTTTATTTAAGTAACTTAAACTATTAATAAATTGTAGACTATTTATTTCATGTGATGCATGGATATTAAGAAAATGAATTTACATGTATGATACTGCACTATCAAAGCATACATTGTGTACATCTTTGTCCACTTGTGTTGTTTTCCGTATTTCTACCACTACTATTGAAGGTTGAATAAAATGATTGTGAATTCATTCATACATTTCTGTAAATGTGAAATAAAATTGACAGGGGCCAAGTTTGCATTATGAATAAATACAGCCTCACATTATAGTAGGTATTTCTTAGCTATCTTATCTATGTATTAGTACACGCTGTAACACATAAATCATTTTATAGCTCATTTTGAAAGTCATTGAATAGTGCCAATTCTGAGGAAAGGTGAACAACTCCTTACTCCCATTTTAAAAATAGGTGAAAATTTCAGTACGATTTGAATCTAAGCATTTAGGTGATGTGCCCAATACTTCAAAGAGATTCACTTGTGATCAGTGTTCAGCTAAGGATTTTTAGGGTTGCATAACATGTATTTTGTGATCATAATCACAGCTCCACTGTCCTTAGCGTGAATAACAGTGAAAGCTGCAGTTAGATTTTAATACTAAATTATTTTTTTGCCAAGTGTTTGTCAGTAAAGAAATAAGCAAAAAAAAAAAGCTCCCCACAAGGAGTACTATGCATGTCAATTTGGAAATGGACCAGAAGGGCTTTGTCTAATGCCCTCTTGCCCTTTTTTCCCCTCTCTTTCAGGTGTTAACTCCTCAACTTCACGCCAAGTGGTAACTCACAGCAACCCACTCCTGCTTTACCTGTGACACGACACTTCGGGGACCTCTCTGTGTCACGGTTTTCCCCGTGCAAGCTGCCTTCTCCCTCTAGCTGGCTCTTTGGTGTCTGTTGACAAACGCGTGCTGCTGGGCTCACAGCCTTGTGTTAAAACGTGAATAAAAGGGGAGTGCAAAGGGGGGCTTCTCCCTGCTGCCCCGTGTCTGTGTGCAAGGGGGGTAACCCGGGGCTGCCCGTGGGGAGGAGATGTGGGGGAGCCCCTGGCGTGGTACCCCTGGGGTGCTGGGAGGGGGCTCCAGCTCTCCCTTAGCCACAGCCGAAGCCCCCTCCTGGAGTGAGAGGGGTGCAGGGCGCCCCCTGTCCGCTTTTTGGGGTGCAGAAGCAGGGATTTGGGGTCGGCGGCGCGGAACCCGTGCGCGAAGGCGCGGGGCGGGCCGGGCGCCACAGCGGCGGCACCCGCGTCCCGCCTGCAACTCGCTCCCCCGGCCGGCCCCGCCGCCATGTCGGGCTTCAGCCCGGAGCTGATCGATTACCTGGAGGGGAAGATCTCCTTCGAGGAGTTCGAGCGGCGCCGGGAGGAGCGCAAGAGCCGCGAGAAGGTCGGCCCGGCCCGCCCCCCCGGGCTTGAAGGGGAGCTGTGCGTGCCGGGGGGGGGCGGCCGCAGCGGGCGGGGGGGGGGCTCGAGCCGTGAGGGAGGCTCTGCTCTGCTCTCCCTCCCTCCTCTCCTCGCCTGGGTTTGGAGCTTTCCTCCCGTGTCCGCACGCGTTTATGGCCTCCTTGTACAGTTCCCCGCCTCGTGTTACCTCAGCGTAACGCTCAGCTGGTAACAGGCTCTCCAGGCAGTAGTCAGTGGTCACCGCCTGGATAAGGATAGAAATATCTCCAAGCAAACGGTGCCGGGTTTATTCGTTTAAAAATACAGCGCCTTACCACACCTGTGTCCCCTTGCAGGGCGAAAGCTGGAATCCCATAGTCTAAATGCTGATTGTAAAGGTTAGGGGGAACGGGGATGAGGCGCACTGCGGAGCTGATCAATGATATTGTTGGTGCGCACAGGATGGCGAAAATGCGTCCGCTGAGGAAAACAGTGAAGACATCGATGCTCCATCTTCATCCAGAAAGGCATCTGGGAAATCCCACAGTCAGGATGAAACAGAGGGTAAATGTCAACATGATCATGTCCGTGAAAAATATATTTTAAAGGTGGTTGAATCCATTTGCTCTTTAATAGCTGGCTTTCTATAAACACCTGTCAGCTCTTTCAGACCTGTGGGCACTGAAGCACATTGTTACAGTGTATGTCTTTGTAGGACGTTCCCATTCTTTTCTAGGCTTTAACTTTGTTAAGTGTCTTTAAAGGACCGGATATGGCCAAGCGGTCATTTTTTCTGGGAATACCTCCGTTTGTTCCCCTCCTGGTTTGCTAACCATCTGGTCCCTATTATCTACTTTATCTAAACTTACAAATACATTTTAAGTTTTTAACTGCACCTCAGAAAGTCTTCTCGCTGTTTTGTTTTGGTTTTCTGTGGTTATCTCTTTGCTAGCCTCCTTGGCTGAGACTTGAGTGTTTCAGAATATTTGATTTGACTGTATGAGAGTGTTGCCTACTTGCACTGTCATCCAAAAAGTAAAATAAAGTAGCTAAAAAGAGGGTTTGTTTGCTTTTATGTTTTATTTTTTTATTTTTTCCCTTCCTGCTCAGTTATCTCCTGTACTGATTAGAGGGCCTGGGTCTATTTCTTCCCTTATTTTTCTGCCAGATATTCCTGGCGATGGATTCCTTGGATGGCTTTCTGTGTGAGGTTACTGTGATGGTAATGTCTCCTTAGATCCCTTAATCAAATAACCTTAATTTCTTTGGTATTCCTCCATAATGAAAGGACTTGTAGGAAGTAGTAGGAGTAGCACTTTGTTTAGTTTGTATCACTGCTTGGTGATCCCATGCTTCAGGTTCTGGATTTGAGCCTGGGCCATATAGCACTGCAGTCTGTTTCAGACACCAGGACTTTAGGAGGTAAATGTGTACTTCCCGCACTGGCCAGGGCGTATCTTGCATTGCCAATACTGTGAGACAGCAAAGTGTGACTCCTGATCTCTTTGTGTTGGTTCCTGGACTCAATTCTTCCTCTTTTTTTTTTTTTTTTTTTTCTTTTTCCTTTTCTTTTAAATATCAAAATAGGATTAAATTGTCTCACCTTACATATGCCTTGGTGATGCCTTTTACTGATGCTTCTGAAGTATTTCCAAGCTGTGGTATTCTGCTCTGTATTCTGCCCATGATTTTTTCATATACATAGTCTTTATCAAAGAGAAAATATATCCCAATAATATAGCGCTAATTTTTCTCTTATTATGGAGAACACAGAAGTCTCGAGAAGTCTGTAGAATCAAGGATGCATTGATAATATTTATCACTATTGAAAGAGTTTTTAGTAGAACTCAGAAGTAAAATGATAGAAAAGTTCATTGTTAAAATCATTTTTGATACACTGATTTTCAGAGCTGGTGTTCTGTTATCTACAACCAAAGAAAGTGAAATAAAAGAGAAATGACATTAATCTTTTTTAGTCAGAATAAAAATAACCAAATATGTTCTGAAGACTTTCAAATGTATAAACCCAGCTGTAGTAGCCAAAGTTACTCTTGTCCATAGGCAAAGTATAGTAGGTTTATTTTTCAGTCACAGCGTTATTCTGTCTGTGTGTCTCTAATCCTCCAATCCTCCAACTGAAATCTTCCAACACTATTTATTTTGATGGCTAGCGGATGAAGAGAAATGAAGCAAAAATGATTGCTTTTAGTCTCTTTTTGCACTGAAATAAACTTGTGGGCAGTTATAACCCTGGGTTAAGATTGTAATTAAAGGTTTTAATTTAAAAAAAAAAAAAAGGTGAATGTGTCTAAAATTATATGCTTTAAGCATATTTATTTTGGACATATAGCATCATATATTTATTTATGTTAAAGAATTTTGTTATTTCTTTTTCTGAAGATAAGTTAATAATGTGGATTTTGCATTTACACAAGTGAAAAGGTACTCATTGTCATGGATAGAGCGGATAGAAGATCTTATTTTAAATTATTTCTAAAAATTGTCTGTTGCGTTATTGTTTAGTGTAATTGTCTACTCAGCCTCTTCAACTGAGAAGCTTTATTCCATCTGACCAGTTCAGTGCTTGAAAATTACTTAATATGCTCCTCTTGTATGGATCGAGAAAAATGTTGAATAAACTATTGCTTCGTTCTGTGTGTTCATCCCTATGTTTGTTCGTATCAAATATCCAAAAAATGTTAGAGGCTGGGAATACCAGGCATTGGTGATGAATAACCCAGTGTTTGAAAACCAAGGAGGTTGTTAGAAGCTCTTCTGCATTTCTGTAGGTCTTTTTCTTACAGAATAGCTCTTTAAAGTGGGCTACTAATTATGAAGAATTCTGTTTTCTCTGTACTTGTCCTAATAAAGCAGTGTGTGCTTTTGATTGTTATAAGCCTTTTCTGCTTCTTTCTCAACCAGGAGAAACTGCAGATGGCGTCAGTAAATCTGTTCATCGAGTCTTTGCATCCATGATTGGGGAAAATGAAGAGGAGGACGATGACGAAGAGGAAGAGGAAGAAGAAGAGGAAGAAGAAACTCCTGAGCAGCCCACAGCTGGAGATGTTTTTGTGTTGGAGATGGTCCTAAATCGAGAGACCAAGAAAATGATGAAGGCAAGTATTTAAACTTTTGTGTAACTTCTTTGTATCTTGCAAAATGTAGTAAAGGCCAGTTTGCATGATTTTAGCTACATGCTGAGAGACTTGCCTGTAATAATAATTCTGTGTAGGAGACTTCTGCTTGTGTTGGTGTCCTGTCTTTGTTTTTTAGAAGAGTACTGTTTGGAAACTTTCAAAAATAATGAAGTAAATTTTTCCAGTGTCTGGATTTTATTTATTTTAGATATCGGAATTATTCTGTCAGTTATGAAAATTAGCAAGTATTTTGGTCAGGTCATTTTGATATTGCTAGCACTTAAATAATTCGTTATTAGGTTGTGTAAAGCACAAGTGTGATTGGTGTCTTCTGTATTTCGGGCACAGCTGCATCATTGATAAAAATATCAATATCCCTTTTCCATTTAGGAGAGAAGACCTCGCAGCAAACTTCCTCGTGCCTTGAGAGGTCTGATGGGAGAGGCCAATATCAGGTTCGCACGAGGAGAACGTGAGGAGGCTATTCTGATGTGCATGGAAATCATTCGACAAGGTATTTTAGAATGCTAAAAAATCCTGGCTTTAAGAGTGGGGTGAAATGGTCTTGTGCATTAGGAAATTCAGTGTGGCTTCACTGATTATGAAAATACTCAGTACAAGGAATGTCATTGTGTAATTAGCATGAAATTAAGAATCCGCAGTGCGTTTATGTTATTATTTTGCTTTAGAGAAGAAACTGTTACCCTAAGTTTGCAGCTTTCCACAGATTACTTCCATCTTTGTAAAACTACAACCAAAGTGTAAACAGCTATTGGCATAACTTCTAGAGTGGAAAAAATGCTGTAAACTGGTTGTTTTTAGGTTTAGTCAGGCTGTTTAATGATTTATAAAAAAGGAATTGGAAGCTTATCTGCATTTTTTTTTCTGAATTGAAACAATAATGTTGATGTTTCATTTAATTCTGGTATCTGTTGTTTGAAGAAAGACAAGTTTCTTGTTTTCAAGTAGGTCTTAAAACAATAGTTCTTAATTGTTCTCTTTCTTTTTGTAGCTCCTCTTGCTCATGAGCCCTTTTCCACTCTTGCCATGATCTATGAAGACCAGGGTGATATGGAGAAATCATTACAGTTTGAACTGATTGCAGCTCACTTAAATCCTAGTGACACTGAGGAATGGGTTAGACTGGCAGAAATGTCACTAGAACAGGATAATATTAAACAGGCTGTTTTTTGCTACACAAAAGGTAAGGTAGCAGCGATTTTAATATTTTAAAGTAAATGTTAGGTGCTAATGGCAAGTCGTTGTATTGTTTTCTCCTGCTTTCCAATTTAGTTTCTTCAGTTTGCTAAGATTCTGGTACTTCTGTCCAGACTTTGGTAAAAGATTCATGAATCTTTATCATAGGATGTCCTTTCTTACAAAAAGCTCGTGCATGTAATGATGTGTCCCTTAATATTCTGTCAGTAGGCGAGTGATGTTACCCTTATGGTTTTGGAGAAGAAAAAGAGAGTCCTAGCTGAATTTATTTCTGGTAGCACATACCTGCGTTTCAGTCTGGTTTGCTTTTCTCAGGATATTTATTGATACAGCTTTTTCTGTTATCTGTTGTCAACTTAAAAATTGCTGGTGTTTGCCAGGGCTTTGGCAGTGGAGTAATCAAGTAGATGAATATGAAATTTGTTACTGCACGTTTGTAAACTTGGGTACTAATATGCTTTTTCTTGTTGCAGCTCTGAAGTATGACCCAACCAACGTGCGTTACCTATGGGAGAGATCAAGCCTGTATGAACAGCTGGGGGAACATAAGAATGCTATGGATGGCTATAGGCGTATTTTGAATCTCCTGTCTCCCTCTGATGGAGAGCGTTTTATGCAGTTGGCTAGAGACATGGCAAAGTAAGTTGGACTTAAAAATAGTGTGATTTTGTTTCCCAGAGTTTCTCAAAAGCTGTTATTAAAAATTCTTTGGGTGATTCAAGCTGGGTGTGTAGCTGAAATCATGCAGGTGATTTTTCTGGGAATGACCACATACAAGCATGCACCCATGCATCACATGTGTTGTGATGCTTCCAAAGACTGAAATGTGGGAATTATCCTGTGCATGATCATTGCATCATCACAGA